AACCTAAGACCAAAATTTTGCGGTAGATTTTTTTTAAATTGCTGTATTTTTGCGGTAGATTTTTTCAAAATACGGTAGTTTTTGCGGTATTTTTCAACAAAAGTGCGGTAGTTTTTGCGGTAGATTTTAGAAAAAAACGGTAGTTTTTGCGGTAGAGTTTAAAAAAACGATAGTTTTTGCGATAGATTTAAAAAATACGGTAGTTTTTGCGGTAGATTTTAAAAAATACTGTAGTTTCAGAGGTTTGGGGTAGATTTTTGAAAAAAGTGTAATTTAGCGGTAGAATTTTGAAAAAAGCGGTAGTTTTGCGGAAGATTTAGAAAAAATGCGGTAGTTTTACGGTAGATTTTAAAAAATGCGGTAGTTTTTACGGTAGTTTTTTGAAAAACCGGTAGTTTTGCGAAAGATTCTGAAAAAAATGCGGTAGTTTTACGGTAGATTTTGAAAAAATGCGGTAGTTTTTACGGAAGCTTTTTGAAAAACTGGTAGTTTTGCGGAAAATTTTGAAAAATGCGGTAGTTTTACGGTAGATTTTGAAAATTGCGGTAGTTTTTACGGTAATTTTTTGAAAAACCGGTACTTTTGCGGAAGATTTCGAAAAAATACGGTAGTTTTACGGTAGATTTTGAAAATTGCAGTAGTTTTTACGGTACTTTTTGAAAAACTGGTACTTTTGCGGAAGATTTGCCAAAATGCGGTATTTTTCGGTCGATTTTGAAAAATGCGTAAGTTAAACCTTTATACAATGCGGTTTTCTATATTAATACAATGTTTACGTGGTCATATTGTTGTTGTTATTGTGATTACATATTTTACTGCAAGAGTGCTTTTGATAATAACAGTTTGTAAAGCAGAACTACTACCTGAGAATTATACGAAGCTATTATTTTCAAGAAATAATAGATATACTATTTTCAAGAATAAATAGCGACTAAACACTTTTTATTCTTCATTTACCATGCCTACAATGGACTGACAGCAACTTTGGATTTTAATGTTTCAGCAAGATTGATTCAAAATACGAACACAATATTCATATCTCCACTTTTATTCACCTTCTAACCATTTTTTTAGATATCGGGATGTTTGGAAATACCATAAATGAAACATTTACTGAAATACAAAATATGGATTTTACACATTTTTACTCACCATCTTAAATGATCTATCACTTTTACGAATTGAAATGACAGACATAATGTTCATATAACATTGGAATCATATGGTATTAAATATTGATTTGTTCACTCGCAAGTCTCTAATGATATCAATGTGTTTGTCTGGCACAAATAGAAAATAAGTACAGGTCAATTGTCTTTCAAAAATAATCTGTTATGAGCATTTGCTGAAACCTTTCCCCTGAGACATCGTTCAGATTCGGATATCACAAATACTTTTATAATAAACCAGAACTCAATGCTTTATTTTTTAATTATGTATTTGTTACTGATAATGTGTTCTGATGAAAAATACAACATTTTATCGTTCTGTAAACAAATTGATTAAACTATGTATAATGTATATGTGGCGTTCATTACTGATCATAACAAATCAAACTACGCATATTTCATACGCTAAATATGCATACGCATTTCCACTCATTTATTTAGATGAAGCGCAACTAAAATCATATTTTTGTTGCATTCGGAATAAAGATCTGTGTACAAAAGGGTTTGGTTAACTACAAAAATCATGGCAGAAAGAATTCTTTCTAGCAAGTGGTAGTTGGTGTTTGGACTGATTACACGCAAGCTTACTTACAGGGACAGTACAGGAAGACTTCAATTTTTCAGCATTTCTCAATAACAATAACGGGAAATTTTACGGTAGTTTGAACAAAAATACTGTTGATTTTAGCAGAAATACGGTAGATTTTCGAAAATTTACGGCAGATTTTCAAAAATTTACGGTAGATTTTACGGCCATTCTCATGGAATAAACGAGTTTTTTAAAAAGAAAATTTACGGTAGATCACGAAAAAAATATGGTAGATTTTTTTACGGGCGTTTTTACAGGAAAAAATGGTATTTTTTTACGGTAGTCTGTCATTTTTTTACGGAAAAACGAAAAATTTACGGTAGATTCCCGTGAAAATACGGTAGGTTGGCAGGTATGAATACATATATCATGGTAGGCTATGTGCATGTCACTGATAGACTCCAAGCCAATTTTCTATAGCATACTGATTTCTCCATTTTCAGGCTCCAGACTACTATGACCTCATCAAAGAACCAATGGACTTCCAAACTATGCGCAACAAAGTCCACAAATTCGAGTATAAAAATCATGCACAAATTCTTAGTGATGTACGTCTTGTTTTCAAAAACTGTAAAACATACAACCAGCCTGGTTCTGAGGAGCGCCAGCTAGGTGAAAAACTGAGTAAATACTTTGAGAAGAAAGTTAAAGAGATGAAGTTAGACCAGGCAGTGAAAGGAAACAGTCCTGGTACGACTCCCACTGGATCAGGAAGCTCTGGAAGACGATCCCGACGAACTTAAACAATGTAGAGGACAAATATTTTTGATTCAAAAATCTAAAAGTTTTGTGAAAGCCACAACTCCTTCCTGTGGTATTGGTTGTTAATTTGGACAGTTTTCAGAAAGTTTCAGCATCATGAAAGATGGAATATTTATGATTTCCAATTCTGAATTAAACAAATTTTGACGTTGTTAATGATATTATAAGTTTAAACTTAAGATTATTATTATCCTATTTTTACATTTAGTTGTACCCGAGGACGTCATAACTCTTACATTTAGTCACAAAAGCAATTCTTCCTAAAATCATGCTGTTTGATGAATCAGGAGTGAATAAAAATCTCGGGAAAATGTTGTAAAATTTTCATCTTGATGAATGGTAATGTACATGTACTCTGTTGCATGAATTGTATCATGTTTATCATATTTGATCTCTATTAAAAAATTATGAAAGCCAAATATTTAGATGTGAATATAGTATTTTCATTATTTAAATATACCTGTCATTTAACATGTAGACGATTGGGAGTAATTAATTTTACTTCAAAATGTTATTCGACTGAACTTTTTCTCTTGTTATTTTCCGAATTAATCGTTTTATATCAGGTCAAAAGGTTATCTCGCAAAAAATCAAAGCAAATACAAATGTTGTGATTCACCAAATTTACCTTTATATTGGATCAAGCTAGAGAACTCATGACCATTTACGTTCTGTATATATGTAAATAAACAAAGCATCCTGATATTAAAAGTACTGAAAGAAAATCTAGCAGGAACTGAAAAAGTCTAGGGGAAATTAATAACCAACTTTTTTTGTGTTTGAACTGAAAATGGGCTGTGTACACACACTGATCAATGTGATTCATAGGTCTTATCTAATAAGGATATTTAAATTAGATGTTACAAAGTGCTCATTCAGCTTCACTGTCCAAGACATTCCATAGGTGAGCCAATATAGAAACCAAGGTCTGATTTGTTTTTATTGCTATTGATATGTCCTTCATAAAGCTCACTGGAAATCTGCATTTTTGAAATGGCAATCTATTTTTCTTTATTGTTTACATGTATTGTGCCATCAAAAGTTAAGTAAGGAGGTTAATGGTGCACAACACTCACAAACTTTAAATCTTATTTTTGGATGAAAACCTGGGAATTTTCTATTGTTCATTACTCTCTGTACATAAATAAGATGTGTATTTTGTTGTGCATGAAATATAATAACTTGGCTATATTACAAACAAAATACTTTATAAAGGGGTTAATAAATATCTTTATTTACCAAAACATCTGTATCATTTTTCTGTGTAGATTCATCATTTCGAAATGGATTTCGAAACGTCAAAAAAAAATCATTACATTTCCTGACTTAGAAAAATCATGGACTTTCAATAGATATCTATCGAATGCCCATGGAATAATCGATAAATTTCAAAATCTATAAAACTTCATACTTTGTACCTTTATGTGATCTTTTCTATGAGTGAAAAGAGTATTTTATTATCTGGACTCTCAAAAATTACTTTCATGAAAGACTTCTCTGAATAATATTTTCAGACAAGGCATTAACATAACAAAATGTCACCACCTAGTTGCTCACAATATTATGAGTTCAATCTGAAGTCAGATTAATTCTGAAAACTTGTAAATGATTTTGGAAAAATAAATTTGCCAATTTGAAGCAAGTTGAAAAAAACCTTTTTGAACATAAGGTCATTGAAGGTGAAATCTCAAATCTATTGTCAGATTTGAACTTCTGAGAACTTGTAGATGATTTTGAAAAAAAAATTGGTCAATTTGAAGCAAGTTGAAAAAAGACCTTTTTGACCTTGAGAAGGTCAAATCTTAAATACAAAGTCAGATTTGAAATTCTGAAAACTTGTAGATTTTGAAAAAATTGAAGTCGGTCTAAATTGTATTTGTTAAGTTATTGGAAGTTTTAAGAATTTGTAACAGGCGCCAACCACCAACCGCCGTCCAAAAAACCGGAGACCATAACAATATGTCACCACTTTTTGGTGGTGACATAAAAAATGATAAAAGCGATTTCCCCTTACTCCTCCAAAAATTGGTAAAATAAGTGATTGAGTGTAGGTTGCCAATCACTTGTGACATGTGTCCGTTGGTACATGTATTTCTAGAATGATAATGAAAAACCTAATGGGTGCATGGATACAAGTGGATACTGGATAGTTATATGAAAAGGAAATGAATAGTACATTAGCAGAGCTCTCTTTTAATGATTTCTTAACAGTATTGAGAGATTCAGCCTCATGCCATGCAGTGAGTCTTTTGAAGTACTCTCACTTCAACCCGCAATGCATATTTTGTGGTAGAATACCATATCAAATTGTAATGTAATAAAGACAAAGATTCTATGACAGAAAACTATTCTGTTTATTGTTAAAACGCAATGATGGTCTTCGGCAATGGCCAGAATAAATTTGTGGTCATGAATCATAGAATCGAGGTCTTTTTTACAATTCTAATATGATAAATAAGCCATAAAGACAACTATTTGCAATTATGAAATTTAGTGGTCATACATAATGTACGTACATTACTCCATTATAGATCAGTAAATCAATTGTTCCAGTTACTGTGGAGGCATGTAAAGATGTTGATAATATTTTGCAAAATAAGGCAACAAACTTAAAAAATGTTTGTCCAATCTAAAGTAGCCATTTTCCACTCAACACGGCTGCAAAAAACTAGGTCTTGCAAAGCATTTACCCAAGTAAAACTATCTTTAAAAAACTAGGTCATTTTATTTTTAATAATCTAGTGGAAATGTTCATGAGAGATTGGCAATTGAAAATTAAATGATCCAGAATAGTAGTCCGATGTTTTTTATGAACGCATTTGAAAGTACATTTACATGTACAATTGTACTTGGTGAGTTATTGGTTACTTGTCAGCAGTCTATTTTATTCTACTTGTCACTGCGAGTGGCAGCCCTCCAGAGAGATGCTACAGATGCCATAAGACCCCCTGCTGTGCTCTGGGTTAGTAATGATCCTGCAGGGGGTGAAGTTCCTGATACTAACATATCCTGAGTTCTAGACATGACAAACTCAGCCTCAGGTAGACTAGTCGGGACTGGCTCCCACTCATTTATGCCAAAGTCTGTTTCATCTTCATCTGATGTAAGATCATCATCGCTGTATTCTGATTGGACGTTCTCTTCAAGAGATTGCATTAGTTCAGGATTGACATCGAAATATCCATTTCTGAAAATTACACACACATAAATATATAGTTTTAAAATGACAAAATGTTTAACCATTTATTATAATTTTCTAGTACAAGGCATTAACATGACAAAATGTCACCACCTAAAACAATTTGGTCAATTTAAAGCAAGTTGGAAAATACCTTTTGACCTTAAGAAGGTTTTTGAAGATTTGAGCTTCTGGGATCTTGAAGATGATTTTGAAAAAAGAAATTGTTCAATCTGAAGCAAGTTGAAAAAATACCTCTTTGAATTTTTTTGACATTGAGAAGGTCATTGAAGGTCAAATGTCAAATGTCAAATGTAAAGTCAGATTTGAACTTCTGAAAAGATGTAGATGATTTTGAAAAAAAAATTTGGTCAATTTGAAGCAAGTTGAAAACAGACCTTTTTTGACCTTGAGAAGGTCATTAAAGGTCAAATGTCAAATCTAAAGTCAGATTTGAATTTCTGAGAACATGTAGATGATTTTGAAAAAAAAAATTAGTCAATTTGAAGCAAGTTGAAAAATACCTTTTTGACCTTTTTTGACCTTGAGAAGGTCATTGAAGGTCAAATGTCAAATCTAAAGTCAAATCTAAAGTCATATTTGAATTCTCTGAGAACATGTAGATGATTTTGAAAAAAAAATTTAGTCAATTTGAAGCAAGATGAAAAAATACCTTTTTGACCTTTTTTGACATTGAGAAGGTCATTGAAGGTCAAATGTCAAATCTAAAGTCAGATTTGAATTTCTGAGAACATGTAGATGATTTTGAAAAAAAAATTTAGTCAATTTGAAGCAAGTTGAAAAAAGACCTTTTTGACCTTTTTTGACTTTGAGAAGGTCATTGAAGGTCAAATGTCAAATCTTAAGTCAAATCTAAAGTCAGATTTGAATTTCTGAGAACACGTAGATGATTTTGAAAATTTTTTTTAGTCAATTTGAAGCAAGTTGAAAACAGACCTTTTTGACCTTTTTTGACCTTGAGAAGGTCATTGAAGGTCAAATGTCAAATCTTTAGTCAGATTTGAATTTCTGAGAACACGTAGATGATTTTGAAAAAAAAATTTAGTCAATTTGAAGCGAGTTGAAAACAGACCTTTTTGACCTTTTTTGACCTTGAGAAGGTCATTGAAGGTCAAATGTCAAATCTTAAGTCAGATTTGAAGGTCAAATGTCAAATCTAAAGTCAGATTTGAATTTCTGAGAACATGTAGATGATTTTGAAAAAAAATTTAGTCAATGTGAAGCAAGTTGAAAAAAGACCTTTTTGACCTTGAGAAGGTCATTGAAGGTCAAATGTCAAATCTAAAGTCAGATTTGAACTTCTGAGAACAAGTAGATGATTTAGAAAAAAATTGAAGTCAGTCTAAACAGTATTTGTTAAGTTATAGGAAGTTGTAAGAAATTGTTACAGACGCCGGACGCCAACCTCCAACCGCCGGACGCCAACCTCCAACCGCCGGACGCCAACCGCCGTCGCAAAAAAACAAAGACCATAACAATATGTCACCACTTTTGGTGGTGACATAATAATTACACACCAAATGCCTAATGCTGAATGATGGTCACAAAAAAAAAACAGTTGCAATAAAAAATATTTATGTTCAGAACATTAGAAGCCTTACAGAACGATAATGCCAAATGGTACAAAGGGCCTTGCCCGACTGTTTGTAATTGATGACATCCCAAATGAATTGCCAGATTTTCCAATTTAAGTGTCATGCAAGAACAATCTCCAAAGTTGGCTCTCCGATCTGTGGCCTCTGATTTATCAAAATTAATGCTACATTCTTAACTTGATCTACATTTTGGTGGCCATCTTGATAATCAAGTCTTCACTTTCATATATTTATGCAAGCTAGACAAAAGTGGGAACTTGAAAATAAATTTTGAATTTGCTGGAAAACAGTTCATGAATTCAATTCTCTCCTAGATTCTCTTACATCCATAAATAGTTTTGCATAATTGCTCATATACACCCTCCCCCTCCCAGATACCCTGATACATACCTTCCAAGATGTGCAGTCTTGAGCAGGGTAAGCAGATTGTGAACTGTGTGTTTGTAGTGAAGAGCATCAGAGTCAACATTCTGAGAGAAACACAGCTGTAGTATGTTATGGTTTAGATGAAACACCAATCTTTCAAACTGGCCCTCTGACAACTCCTTGCAGAAGTCTCTACAAAACAAATAACACAGCTGTAGTATGTTATGGTTTAGATGAAACACCAATCTTTCAAACTGGCCCTCTGACAACTCCTTGCAGAAGTCTCTACAAAACAAATAACACAGCTGTAGTATGTTATGGTTTAGATGACACACCAATCTTTCAAACTGGCCCTCTGACAACTCCTTGCAGAAGTCTCTACAAAACAAATAACACAGCTGTAGTATGTTATGGTTTAGATGACACACCAATCTTTCAAACTGGCCCTCTGACAACTCCTTGCAGAAGTCTCTACAAAACAAATAACAGTATGGGCAATAAGTCTTTTATCTAAAGGATCAAATTCATGTGTACTATAATATTGATTAAATAAGTATGAAATACACTCTACCCTCCACTGTAGCCTCTTTAAAAGGGATACAGGCAACAGTGAAGTTGAAAATGGAGGGTGTTTGTTTATTTATATTTGAAACTTTACTGTAGCCTGTATATAGTTTGCTCTTCATTGCACATTTACCATGATTTTATAATGAACTTTTGAAAAATCATATTTTACATTTTAGATATGATACACCCGTAAATGTGGGGTTGATATTTCAAATCCCCCCATAACCACTTGTCTGTGTATTCAAATCTTTGGGTTTTAAAATGTTGTCAGTGGTTGACTTCAGCTAATTTTCAACCCCAAGATTTCAATACACATTACACAACCAGGTGTGGGAGTGATTTGAAAAATTAACTCCAAATTTATGGGGGTAATATATGCTTACTCTTAGCCAGTTTTTCAAAAGCCCATACAACTGTGAATGTATTACGCACTTTTGATATAACGGTATCATGTATGTGATCTGAAAAATGATTAAAGAAAACCTCTCTTTAACCTACCCAAACTGCACCTTCTTAGGTAAGTTAACATCCAAGAGATAGGACAGAATCTGCGTGAACTGTGCAGTGAAGGCAAGGGCGGCTCCTATAGTGTGATGTGGGTTCCTCTGGTCGAGTTCACCATCAGCACTTGGAACACTATCTCTGTTAGCTGTCACTAGAATATATGATTTCACTTTAAAACTGATAAAATGTGGATGTTGCAAATAAAATTTCACCATTCACATTATCAGACACAAAATTCTGAAATACAATTTATCCATCATGAAGTTAAATCAAACATTCAGAATTCATGAACATTACATACAATGGATTAAGCATGATTTAAAATACATGTATGTTATCAAATTACTTACACCATATTGTATAAGGTGAGTAGTCCCCATTGCCAGGAAGGGTTGGTTCTACTATAGAGTACTGCAGTTCTCCCCCATTATCAAGGTAGATCCAGCGACCTTTGATGTAAGATGTCCTCCTAGCCTCAGCCAGGGCTGACACTGTGCTCATCTGCATGCTGTCTTGCTCTCTGCAATACACAATATAGAGTGTACAAATTCAGTATTTTCAATGATATGGACACCCTGTGCTCATCTGCATGCTGTCTTGCTCTCTACAATACACAATATAGAGTGTACAAATTCAGTATTTTCAATGATATGGACACCCTGTGCTCATCTGCATGCTGTCTTGCTCTCTACAATACACAATATAGAATGTACAAATTCAGTATTTTCTATGATATGGACACCCTGTGCTCATCTGCATGCTGTCTTGCTCTCTACAATACACAATATAGAGTGTACAAATTCAGTATTTTCAATGATATGGACACCCTGTGCTCATCTGCATGCTGTCTTGCTCTCTGCAATACACAATATAGAATGTACAAATTCAGTATTTTCTATGATATGGACACCCTGTGCTCATCTGCATGTTGTCTTGCTCTCTGCAATACACAATATAGAATGTACAAATTCAGTATTTTCAATGATATGGACACCCTGTGCTCATCTGCATGCTGTCTTGCTCTCTGCAATACACAATATAGAGTGTACAAATTCAGTATTTTCAATGATATGGACACCCTGTGCTCATCTGCATGCTGTCTTGCTCTCTGCAATACACAATACAGAGTGTACAAATTCAGTATTTTCTATGATATGGACACCCTGTGCTCATCTGCATGCTGTCTTGCTCTCTGCAATACACAATATAGAGTGTACAAATTCAGTATTTTCAATGATATGAACACCCTGTGCTCATCTGCATGTTGTCTTGCTCTCTGCAATACACAATATAGAATGTACAAATTCAGTATTTTCTATGATATGGACACCCTGTGCTCATCTGCATGTTGTCTTGCTCTCTGCAATACACAATATAGAATGTACAAATTCAGTATTTTCTATGATATGGACACCCTGTGCTCATCTGCATGTTGTCTTGCTCTCTGCAATACACAATATAGAATGTACAAATTCAGTATTTTCTATGATATGGACACCCTGTGCTCATCTGCATGCTGTCTTGCTCTCTGCAATACACAATACAGAGTGTACAAATTCAGTATTCTCTATGATATGGACACCCTGTGCTCATCTGCATGCTGTCTTGCTCTCTGCAATACACAATATAGAGTGTACAAATTCAGTATTTTCAATGATATGGACACCCTGTGCTCATCTGCATGTTGTCTTGCTCTCTGAAATACACAATATAGAATGTACAAATTCAGTATTTTCTATGATATGGACACCCTGTGCTCATCTGCATGTTGTCTTGCTCTCTGCAATACACAATATAGAATGTACAAATTCAGTATTTTCTATGATATGGACACCCTGTGCTCATCTGCATGTTGTCTTGCTCTCTGCAATACACAATATAGAGTGTACAAATTCAGTATTTTCTATGATATGGACACCCTGTGCTCATCTGCATGCTGTCTTGCTCTCTGCAATACACAATATAGAGTGTACAAATTCAGTATTTTCTATGATATGGACACCCTGTGCTCATCTGCATGCTGTCTTGCTCTCTGCAATACACAATATAGAGTGTACAAATTCAGTATTTTCAATGATATGGACACCCTGTGCTCATCTGCATGCTGTCTTGCTCTCTGCAATACACAATATAGAGTGTACAAATTCAGTATTTTCTATGATATGGACACCCTGTGCTCATCTGCATGCTGTCTTGCTCTCTGCAATACACAATATAGAGTGTACAAATTCAGTATTTTCTATGATATGGACACCCTGTGCTCATCTGCATGCTGTCTTGCTCTCTGCAATACAGAGTGTACAAATTCAGTATTTTCAATGATATGGACACCCTGTGCTCATCTGCATGCTGTCTTGCTCTCTGCAATACACAATATAGAATGTATAAATTCAGTATTTTCTATGATATGGACACCCTGTGCTCATCTGCATGCTGTCTTGCTCTCTGTAATACACAATACAGAGTGTACAAATTCAGTATTTTCAATGATATGGACACCCTTTGCTCATCTGCATGCTGTCTTGCTCTCTGCAATACACAATATAGAATGTACAAATTCAGTATTTTCTATAATATGGACACCCTGTGCTCATCTGCATGCTGTCTTGCTCTCTGGAATACACACAACAGAATGTTCTATTCAGTATTTTCTACGATATGGACACCCTGAGCCCCTTGGCTGATTTAGTACACTAGTAACACTACTCTCTGACTGGTTATTTCATAATTTCATTTGTCTGGTGCTCAGGCAATCAGAGTCTTTCTCTAATGATTGAATAATGTATCAAATTATGTACCCATTTTAAGTCAATTGACAGTATATTGCCATGTATATGTATTTTAATATTTCTATTTTGATTATATTAAAGCATTTACAAAACTATATGCAAAAGTACTAATGTTTCCAATAAATAGGCACATGCACACTAACTTACCCCTGACCTTTAGGTTGGATTTCCTCAATAGGGAATATATATGTGACTAGATCATTAATATGAGCGCAACTTAACAGTCCTATCTGTTCACGCATTTCATGGAACCGTTCTGTATATTTTTCAACATGATTTTCAGTTTGTCTCATGTATTTAGTAATTCGTTGAATCTTTTCTTTGTATTTTCTTGTTTTGGCACTTCGGATTTGATTTTGCTCTTCTAGTTCTTTCAACCTGGCTTTTCCTGAAAATTTATATTGACAAAGTTTATTTGCATGCAATTTAGACAAGTCTATACGTATTCAGGCACATCAATAAATAAACAAGGCATTGACATGCAAAATGTCGCCCCTGCCATATATCACAAAAGCCAACTGCCAAATGCCGAATGCCAACCACTGAACGCCAAATGAATATCCACAAAAAACAACAACAATATCTCACCAATTGTGGTGAATCCTTGAACCTCATTCATAACAAAATAATTCTACGGTGATAAAAAAATGTTTATACAAATGTATCTACCTTCAGTCAGTTTGTTTTTCCTTTCATCTACTGCACTTTTGAGACACTGCAACTTTTCTCTAAGACACCTGATTTCAGTTTGTTTCCGATCCCTTAAGTTGTGACCTTGAATTTCTTTGTTGAACCTAAAAATATTCAACATAATGTACTATCTCATGTTTAATGACTGATATAATTTGATGCTTATTTCTCTTCACAGCTGTCACATTATGGAAGGTTTGCCCAATGCCTACCTTGCCAAAACAACTCTCTAGCCCAAACATTAGGCCTGCCATGTACTACAAAAAAAATTTAATGACCATGAAAACTCATTTTAAGTATTTATTATTCTGAAATATTTGTATAAAAACAAAATTTAAACCAAATCCGTTCACTGGTATAAAAATACATTTTGAAAAATAGCCACCATCTTGTTTACGAAAAAAGGTGGCATTTAAAAATATAGCTGCCATCTTGAAAATTTCTTAAGTATATATCCTTTTTTTATAGGTTATTGTTATTTATTTCTATATTATTCAACATAATTATTTACATAGATTGTGAGTAGCCGAGGCTACATAGCATTATTGGCCCCCTTAAGAAGTATATAACCTTTGTCCCTAGGTAGCAGCATAAAAAAAATTTGAACCAAACTGTTCACTGGTATAAGGCTTTTTATAAAAAATGGCAGCCATTTTGAAATTCAGCAGCCATCTTGAAAATTCTTTATCGAACAGGGCAACTATGTCCCTAGGCATAAGCATATAAAATTTGAACCAAATCGGTTTACTGGTATTTGAGTTATGATAGAATACAATTTTTGGGGAAAAGTCACGGCCATTTTGAAATTCAGCCACCATCTTGAAAATGTTTCTCGAACAGAGCAACTGTGTCCCTAGGCATCAGCATATAAAATTTGGATGAAATTCATTTACTTGTATTTGAGTTATCAAAGATAATGTTTTCTTGCGAAAAATGATGGCCATTTTGAAAATCAACAGCCATCTTGAAAATCTCTTCTTGAAGAAAAGCTCCTTCGTTCCTAGGTATCAGCATATAAAATTTGAACCAAATCCGTCCACTAGTAATTGAGTTAACATAGATTACATTTTTACGAAAAATGGTGGCCATTTTGAATAACCCAGATGCGAGTAGAAATAATCTTGATTTACATTATTAAAAATTCAAAATTCAGTCAAAGTAATATCATATTTGAAATCTACATGTAAAATTACATCTAGAAATGTGGTTTTAAAAAGTGTTTATCAACTTTGAAAAATTAATTTTCTTTGAAAATGTGACTTCTAGCTCGGGGAGATTCCTCATAGACCCCATGCTATAAAATCACAAAAAATTAAATATTTTTTCTTTTAGTGGACAGATAATATTTTGCTTTGCTCGACATATTTTCATTAGTATAAGTATCAGGCACATAAGGGTTATATGAAAATTGAGCCACTCGAATTGATAATATTCAAGTTTAAGGGAACTTTCTTATATACCTGCCATGTTAATTGACCCGAATCAGCCACCTGGTGGTGAAACTGGTAACTACCTACTCGCATTTGGGTAATTGAGCGGCAATATTAAAAATTCCTCCTCGAGCAGAGGTCCTACAGCAATAAGGCATAAGCCTATAAAATTTAAATCAAAACCGTCAATCGGCATTTGAGTTATTGCCCGGACAGACGGACGAACAGACGGCTTTCCTTTATCCCCCTTGAACTTGGTTCAGTGAGAAAATAAATTTCATGGTGATTCTTGGTAATTTCTGGTGTGACATCATGTGGAGTGACGTCACATTCTCAGAATAAACATATGATATCAGGAATAGACATCATGATTATCAGAGATCTGTGATAGTATTAGTACTACATCTGACATAGTAAAGAGAAACTGAATACCTTTCTAACAGTTTGAGCCTCTCTTGTTTCATGACACACCATGACTGCTGCTTGTCTGAATACCTAAAATGAGAAGAGAATTGTGCTAATTGTCATTAAGACAGTACAGAAACGCTTATACTAACGAATACCTCTAAAATGTAATATGAGAGTACGAAACAGCTGACAATAGAGTGATTCAATGATGACCGACTGACTGATTGATATTTTTGTTTTTCTACCTTTGACTAGATTGCAGCTTTGAATGCGTAAAATCCCCGTTTCCTACGCATATATGACAATAAATCGGACGCCTAGTGGTAAAACATAAAGGGCATCGTTCAACTGCAACACTAATAGCGCATAAATTGTCATCCGTAGACTCTGAAAGATCGAAATCGGTCGGAGCTAAACTGGAATCCTCCGAACTTGATGTCGCCATCTTTTTACGTCATACTTTGTTTTGAATGTTGCATCCTGGGAAAGTGCACCTGCACTATGTATGACTTGCCAATCCTTCATATTTTTCTTTTTTATACCCGGAGAACGACATGTGGCACTGGCATATAGGCACTGGCGGATCCAGAAGATAACAAGGATAGGTGGGGTGGGGGCACATTTCAAGTCAGAATGGGTTTTCCCCGGGCATTTGCCCATCTATATTGACAATCCAAGTATTAAAATTAATATTATCAGATCTGAAAATTGTGACATGATTTTTGCGGGAGGAAATCAGTGTTTGGGTCTCAAAATCATGGCCCCTTTTTTAAACTTTAGACCATTTTCGAAATTATGGGCCAATTTTGCGAAAAACTGAGTCCCATTCAAAAAAGCTACATTTTGAAAATGGCGCATACTTCTGAAATTGAGACCCAATGGTGTTTTTATAGGCCTATTCTACTCAAATATATTATTCTATAACTCCCGAACGTTCCATGGGGATTCACAATCCCTCATTAGATCTATTTATAAAATTACATGTATCAATACACGGTATGACGATTTCATTAGTAACTTTTATGATTTCAACAGTCATCACGCGAAAATGAATGGACGTATTATTTGATAAAATAAGTAAACCCCCAGAATACTAGGGTCGAGTCAGAATACTTCGGCAAGAGAAGTCGGAATACTTGCGTACAAGCCCACTACACGGAACACTTACTTGCTAGGAACATGGTAAATTCATAGACTGATTAACTGCACAGTAAATTAAAATAATTCTATTATATTGGGTTTTCTGGAGCAGTCTTTACATGGTCATGGGGAACTGTCCGCGTATTCTTAGATGTATCTGTAAAAATCAATTGAGAGGGGGAGGGGGCAGTATTCCCTCGATCGGGGTCATGACATTACACGTTCTCTTAAAAACATTATCAACCTCCATCTCTTCAACATGTATTTTATGACTTCATTATGATTGTCCCATGGTCTTGGACTTTTTGGTTGTGATGGTTTTTGTTGGGGAGGGATGCCAGGCATTTTTTCTTTGGGCGTTAGATCATAGTTTGGGATACCCTTTACATTCGAATTCGTTATACTTCTCAAACGGATAGCTTCGTCTACAATTCATTCAACTCGCCGTGCCAACTAAAACAACGCCAGAAAGACACTTTTCTCTCGAAGCCTATTGTCATTTCTACTGAAGTCATTAATTAATATTTATCCAGCGTTGACCAGCATTAAATATTATTTAAATGTGTTACTTTAGAACAAAACCTCTGCAGCAGGGGTACGTTTGGGATAATGGGGATTTTTTTTATATATACTTTGACATTCTGCTCTTGAGTGATTCTCTTTCATTCCGTGTTTTGTAACACGATTTTGTTCTCCCATTTTAGCACTCGTGCGGACATAAAATCGTATAGGTAAAAGCATTTTTTCTTGTTATACTTGAGAAAAAATAATATTCGATTAAACGTATGTTTATTTTCTATTTTATTGTTTAAATAATAGTTCTTGCTATATATATTGGAGTAATGTGCCCTAGGTAGTACAGAAAAAATGGGAAAACAAATTCCACTAAAAAGTATAATTGTTTGTTCAATGAATCTGCTTCTTAACGAGAATCGTTTACTTTTTGGTCCATATACGCAAGAATTTTTCATTGTCTCAAATGCTCTTGTAGTGGTTATATCAGTCCAGTTATTTGTCAGGTTTAATATTCATACAAGAAATATTTTCCTCTGCTAGAAGGTCCGCCTGCTCCTCAAAGTAACCGTCTGCTGCACGAAGGATCTGACGCAATGCAACCAAGGAAAGGATGTCTGAAACAGTACATTGCGGTGGTTTATAGAGTTCATATAATATTCTAAACGTTGTTTTATTACATTTTTTATATGCTCCACAATATTAGCATTCATACCTACATTAGGCTTGAATCCGATCTTCACAGAACTATGACTTAAAAATACACAATGCAAAATATTATTTTTTATTTTATTATGCTTTCTTAATTATAACAGTGATCGACTGGCAATATTACCCGCGCTGACGTCCAGTTCTATTTGACTCTCATAATTACGCACTGGAAGTACACTCGAGCTGGGTACGCCAAATTTATCGCTAACAAGCTTCACCATGTCGTGTACACTTGTACTTCTTAGAGCAACAGACGTGTCCTGTTCTACGTCACCACACACCTGGTCTATCTTCGTCATCAGCACTAACAATGGTATACCTATTGGGAATCAACTTCAGGTTATTTCCAGACTTTTGAGAACCAATACGAAATAGATGTTAGACTGAAGTGATTTGTCTTGTTAGTAGTATGTCGAATGACGATTTTATTTATATAGCTCGTTAGTGATCTTGATGCAATATCAGAATCTAGAATATTACCTCTTTCATTTACCAGTTCTTGGATGGCCTTTAGCTTTGCCATCATCTTCTCCGACATCATAGAGACGGTGTTGACATCTATCACGAAAGTTACACAGTGTATCATGGTTGCGAGTGTTGGGTCTTTTATGAAACCACCCACCCTAGGAGTCACCCTTGCAGCAGGATTAAACTATAACATGGTTAAATATTATCAAAAGTAAGTTTTTAACATATAGGAATAAGATACAAGGTGAGCCAAAAATACGTAATCCAAACAAATGTTAATTACTTAGTCATCAAGCATGAGTTTAACCTTATATTTGGCACAAGTGAACCATGTTCAATGTTTCTTTTATTCTACTAACACCGTGACTAAGTTTGTTTGGTCTATTCACGATGTTCACGATTTTATGCTCATTTTACAAAACATTGTCAGTCTTAATCCCAAAACATGCCAATTCACCCGATATGAATTTCCAGACTTTATTTGAAGGCTATTTCAAAGATAATGTTTACATCAGTAAACAAAGATAAAGCATCGGGAGGTTGAAACAAGAGAAAAGAAAGATCGAAGATGAGAGTCATTACACAAGATATCTGTGAGCGTGTAACCAGAACATCTTAATCCGATGCGTTAAAGATTGCCCCCAGAGACGAGACCGGCATTTTGAGTGTTTTATAAAATGCCCTCCTTCCTCCACTAAACGTCATTTATCGGTAAAAGCTAGATGAAGAAAAAAAGTTACTAGTATCTTGAGTTAAGAAACTCGAGTCTGACATTTTCGCGATATGCTTTTATATGAATTAGAATGGACTGATTTACCTGGAATCTATCTGGGATGTTCCCATCAAGGATATAAGGAAAGTCTATAACATTCAGCCCTCCTTCCTCCTCTAAACCCATGGTGTCACACAGCTTTATTGACAGTGGACCGTTCTCTGACCTGATGTCGTATTTTCGGAACTGGAATCATAATCATCAACTGCAAAATAGGCTATATGAAGATGGAGTCTTGCTCAAAGGTTGTGGACCTCCCCCCCCCCTCATCTACACAACACAGTGTAAAGTATATAGGGGGATCCAGGGTCTTGAAGCAAGACTAATGAAGATGGAATGAATCCGAATCGGTCCAGAATTACTGAATTATCAGTACCAATGGAATTTGAAACTTATTAAAAAGGACTATATTTTCTTGTTTTGTGCGAAATTATAATCTGCAACTTGACTTATAAGTAGGTTTAAATCGAGAAAACAAAAAACTCGTAACCAGGAAGTTCATCCATTTTGTTACATTGATGTTCCATCAAAGTAATTAGTTGTGGAACAGTGTACATAGGAGTTATGCATTGGGAGGTTTGGGACACAGGGAATATCCCGAAAGTATACAAGGGAAGAATTGTATATCCCAAGGGATATTTCCTGTATCAAAACCGACCGTGCAAAACTGTTGTATTCCATACCTGATGAGGTTTTTATTAAACTACTAAGCATATCTCCCATATGTTGATGTGTTAACTTGCTAACTTGAACACTAAGACGAGTTTTCTTTGCAATGTGTTCGTTTTCTGTGTTTACTAAGAATTGATTCCCATCAATTTTTAAATTTTAAATTTTGTTCACTATATATAGGTTATTTACTGGGAGGGACTGAATATGGGTTTTATTCCGAGGGACAATATGATATTGACTGAAGGGTAATATGATATTGACCGAGGGAGCGCAGCGACCGAGTGTCGATTTCATATAGCCCAAGGTCAATATCATATTTTCCGAGGAATAAAACCCATATTCAATCCCGACCAGAAATAACCTATTTATTCCATTATACACCCCTCCAAAATGCTACATTTGGATAACGCATATAACCGGGGAAAATAACCGGGAAACCGAAAAGAGGTTAATATGCTCCAATACGATTTTTCCCGAGAACAATACGATTTTTTCATGTAATACGCTCCAATACGATTTTTCCCGGGGACAATACGATTTTTTCATGTAATACTATTCAATACGATTTTTATTCCTTCATAATTCAGCCTGGTGAAACAGTAGTATATTGGAATAAATTCGTCTACCACCTTCAGACCTTTGTCTTTTGTTTAGTTCAGTGCTGAAATAGCTGTGACGGGAATTCCTAGGGCTTGATGTATAGCCATCGTACAGATGGTATAAGGTATAGGAATATATTTGCCTGGAAATCGAATATCTTCCGATTAATATGTCCCTGAAACCTCATCAGGTATGGAATACATGATGGTATGCTGTCTCGATGCTAAGTCATTGGCCAATGGCGTATGTCCCCATATTAAATCAATGCACCCTTGCTAAAATTCTCATTTTCTCGGAAGAACTCAAGAGTACGAAATGATAGTGGTCAGTGGTACCGGAACTGAATTTCAGGGCTTCTAAGTATAAAAGGATAAAATAATCATTGAAACATGTTACTCACACACTCAATCAAATATGATACAAAGATTGATTTGCATTAATATTGAACCTAGAAAAAATGACGCACGTATAAAAATACATTTGAAGTTCAGATATCTAATGCACGCCAATGTTTGACAAAGTGCAAGTTTTAAATAACTCTTGATTTAAATGATGGCGATACTTCTATAGAAATGAATGGATCCTGTGATACAAACAACTTCGCCATCTTTCATTGACATTGGCAAAAACTTGTTAAATAAAACTTGACTGGTAGAAAATATTTTTTGATAATTTATTGTAAGCTTTGACGTGGCCCGTATGAGCTGTTTTTGGTGTCCAATAAACGGATAAAGTACTTATCAACCCAATGGAAATACGTCAAAAATCAAATCTTAATTTGGCAAAAGAATGTTGAAAATGCGCATAGTAGCCCTTTAAGTGTGTCATAGTACAAAAACTCTATCAAACAAATAACGATCAAAAGGCATTTCAAGTAATTGACACATCGTATTTGATAAATACCTTTGTTGTGATGCTATGTGCTCCACTTCCACTGATGGCTTTATTAACGACGTATCCCTTGAAGATGGATTGTAGAGTATTGTAGAAGCTGGACTTGCCAGACCCTATCTGACCAATCAATAGGATGTTTGCGTGCCTCAGATTCATTTCCTCGACAGGGCGGTAATGCTGGATACTCTTTATCAATATATCACGGTCCTGAATATAAAAGAGTTACACGTTATTACATGTTGAAAATAATAAAATTATTAGATCTTACAGATATTGTCTAATAAGGGCTGCATACGAAAACCAACAAGGAGGGAGGGGGACTGAAAATACATATTGGGGCTTTTGAAGATTTAAGGCCAATTTCTTGATTTGACAATTTACCCTGAAGTTAAGAATAAGACCCAAAAATGCTGGTAATTCAATTAGCAACACCATCATCAATTTCTGCTTATATTCCATTAACCCCCCCCCCCCCCCGCCCCATTAAATAAACATATTGTCATGTCCAGAAAGAATCTGCAACTAAGTAATATCCAACACCCCCTGGTCCCACACCAAGCTCAATCCCGAGTTTTCAAACCACTGTATTAATAGGTGCGAATTCATATTCAACAACCCTGTCATTTTGGACTCACTTTATTCTGCCATGAAATACCCTTTCGCCATGGTGTTTCTTCTATCTTAACGTCTAGGATTTCATACACTTCGAAGTCAGTGTAACACTGGTTATTGCCGCTGAACTCTTGAGTAGTTAAGCCGGCATATGAATGGCCAAGCTTGAATGCACCATTGCCCTGCCAGTATGTGCCTGATGATCCAATGGTTCCACTGAAGGGGTACCAATCATTCCCTCCGCCAAATGTCGGACCGTATTGACCATTGCCAAGGATGCCATTGACAGTGGTACAACAGTTGGATTTTTTCGGACTGTATACGTTAGCTTCATTCAAACGGAACAGAAAAGCGGCTGGATCATTTGAATAGTTTCCATTCTGATGCCATGGCATCGCTGTATATCCTCCAAATATGTAGCCAGCGTTATTTGTAGCCACGGTAACTGTGGGGCTCCTTCCATTGCACTTCTGGTGAAAGGTTGCTGCATTCAATTGTCCACCATCCCGCTTGGCACTGTATATCAACTCAAACTTTCCAGTTGCCCTTCCAATCCATTGTAAAAGTTGGGTTCTGTGTTCTTTAGTTAGAGTTGTGTTCTTATTCTTTGCTGCCATTATGTTATTCTCTCATTCGTTGTAGTTGTATTAATCAGTACACTCAACTTGAATACTCATGCGAACAAGATGATAATGACTTCGAAGAAATCGTATCACAAAATACACACAGCATCAGGGCTACATGTAAGTGCTTTATACTTTATTTGTATTGAAGTGTTTTGCTATGCTAAAACAGTATTGTCTGACTGTAAAGTAACACTTTCGTTTTGGAAAAACAGCATGATCATTTATCATTCATCCTACACAAATCGAAACTGAATTAAAAAGCGAAAGGATATAAAGCGTTATATAGTCTAGAAATACATGATATAGAACTATGTCTGATCTATTAAGGTGCCATGGAAGTTAACAGGAAATGACAAAACAGGAAGTGACAAAGCCATGCTGGATTTTGAAAAATTTTTGAAGCAAGATATCAGAGTTCTGTTTGGACCTCTAGTCAGTTTTACTAGTTCCACATATCATTTACATGACTGGGAACACAATGGAAATGGTCAGAATGACCATAAAAATGATGAAATAACCTTTTCAGCCCTCTGAAAATGTGACTGAAAAATAGCTAAAAGTAGGTGCTCAGGAAAGGTCACTGAACAGAATCTTTCGATTTTTTCAGAAAACGTGCCCAATATATTGCTCTAAATGATACAATCTTTGAAATTTTAAAAAATTGTCTGAAACAATAATGGCTGTGGTAAAAAGGTAAATCGATCAATTTTCGATTCAGTTTTTTTCATTTTTTTCTTTTTCTAAGAATGATATCAAATTTTTTTAAATTGTATCATTTTAAGCAATATATTGGGCAGATTTTCTGAAAAAGTCAAAAGATTCTGTTCAGTGACCTTTCCTGAGCACCTACTCTTAGCTGCTTTTCAGGCACATTTTCAGAGGGCTGAAAAGGTTATTTCATCATGTTTATGGTCATTCTTACCATTTCCGTTGTGTTCCTGGTCATGTAAATGATATGTGGAACTAGTTAAACTGACTGGAGGTCCAAACAGAACTCTGTTATCTTGGTTCAAAATTTTTTCAAAATCCAGCATGGCTTTTCACTTCCTGTTTTGTCATTTCCTGTTTAACTTCCATAGCACCTTAAGAGGAATTTTTGGAAGCGGCAAAGTCAAAGTAGAGAAGGATGATGAACCTAATGAGCCCACTGAGGGCAGCGTGACATGCATGTCTGGGAGCGCGACAAAGGTCAAATGCAAACATTCTGAGAATACTGACGATAGTAGTCCACATAGTTTCATTGTGCTGGAACATAAATCAGTGAGTATGTATTTGTTATTGATAAGGTCATCATGTGACGCCACTTGTACTTCCTATTAACATGTTGACATACTCTACCTACGGCAACATTTGCATGAGTGTGTGGGACAAATTCAAATCTATAGTGAATGTATGGAATCCCTATTTAATATAACCCATGTCATGTGTAACATCAAACTTTGACTATATTTGTAATACTGATATCGTATCTGTACATGATCATACACTCCCCTCCATCAGTTTGGCAACCTTTGCTCCCCCATTGAACTACATTTTTATTTACTTATTTGTCATATATCATTTAAAGCTTGTCCAAAGTTACATTGATTTGCCAAGTATCATGGTTCAACCCACAAAAAATTCAAAGGTAAAGAGGCTTTAACAAAAGAGGTTAGTGAGGGTTATCCCGTTCCAGGACTATATTGTCCTGGTACGGGATAAAGTGAGGGTAGATACTCCAAGGATATTCTTCTAAAATGACTTAAAATGTTTTATGAGCATTACCAAATGCCATACCCCTATTTGAAGTGTATTTAATTAAGGTCATGTCTTGAAAGAATTGCTGCTGTTAACATGGCCAAGGGAGACACGCCGACTACTGATTTTCTGTAAAACTAATTAAAGCGTTAATTTTGGTAAAACACCACCCTTGGTATACGCAGCTAACGAAAATTGACCGGTACGGGTCAAAAGCTGGACCGGTACGGGTTAACGGTTTTATTTGAATTTAAAATAGCCATAACTTGCTCAATATTGACTTCCTCGTGTCTAATTTGAAATATATGATGCCTCCCGATGCTTTTAAGTACCCCAATTTTTTACAGATTTTTAAACGGACCAAAACTCTCTAAATGCGCATTTATGCTCTTTTCTCTCGAGAACGACTGTCTCATTTTCACGATAACTTTTATTTAGTACTTCTAACATATAAGATCTATTTTTCCCCATCAAGGTATGATGTAAATGACATGCTATTTACATCTTGTGAGTTTCAATGACGCGCGTTGGATTTTATAAAAAATGCCAAACTTTGTGACAAAGAATTTCATCCTGCTTGCAGCGAGAAGACGGACCGGTTCAGGGCAATCTCCTTGCAGCGAGAAGACGGACCGGTTCGGGGCAATAGCTGATAATGCACCCACGCTTCGCCTTCGTGCATTATGTAGATGGGTTTAGTTAGTACATACACTCAAGCATTTATATTTCAAATATAGAATGATACATGATTCTTTATTCTTTAAATGAAGCACTTTTCGTCTTTTTAGTTCTTTGAAATATTAAATGCCTGTAGGAAAACAATGCAGAGGTATCTCCAATGACAGTTCTGAATGAACTTCATGGTGCAATGGCAACACCCTTACTTCAACTGTCGCAGATGATTGAACGGATATACACAGAAAACACCCGACTTGTAACAGAAAACAAAGACCTTAGGCGCCAAATGGATCTGATGAATAAAAAACTAGAACATTTGGAGGGTGAAAACAAAGACCTAAAGAAAAGAAGTAATTCGAATGAAAAACAGACGTGGTGGAAAAGTGAATCTCAGCAGCCAAGCAGTTATCGCACCAGTGGTGTTGATCGTACCGGAAATAGCTCCAATACAAGTGCAGTTCTAGGGAACCGTCCCTTTTGGGCTAAATCAACTCCACCCAAAGAAACAGGTAAATGGATGAAAATGTCAATTAGATGTAATGTACATACAATCAGCTTATAAAAAATATAACATTTTTATTTGACTTAACATGTATTTAGTTACTTATCCCAAATAACTTCAATCCTTATATGGAAATATATTTCTCATCTGAAGAGTTACTGTCTAAGATAAGCATTGGGGATGAAACGCATAATAATACATTCCTATATAGCGTTGGCACCATCCGAACGCAGGGCACCAGACACAATCCACTCGAAGTTGTTAATGTCTGGAGGACTGTGTTCGGTGAAAACGCTGACAAGACTAGAGTCGGTTATTTTTCAGTGCGGTTTAGTGTGATTACATCAACAGAACAGCTGTATGAGTTGGTACAGAGGGTCCTTGCTGAAGTCCAGGGCCATCTACCGCACAATGTTGATGTCAAGATGGTAACTACAGAGAATACCACGAGGCCTACATTGCTTTTTTGTCTGAAAGGATCACGCTTGGGTACGGATGTTGACCAAGCTGTTAAACTCGTCAAAGGTAAACTTCACCCTTAGTACATGGATTCTGGAAACTTTGTGGAACAAAGCTTCAATATACGATGAGAAATCGGAGAATTTTAGACAAGGGATTGTTTTAAAGAACAAAACACACATCATCTTTGCATATAAAATTGTGGACGAGTTGGCTAAATCAGAATCAAAATTCAGTTATTTCTATCAGCGAATTTTATAAAAAAAATGGGAAAAGCTAAAACTTAGGGTTACTGATAATTGTGAATACTTTGTGGTGAGATCATTGATAGATGACAAAAATTGACAATCTTCACTGCGTTTCACCAGCACGTAACTCAAAAAACTTCTATTGGCCCCTATACGTATACTTTACACAATATAACTTTCAGATCATTCTGCAGTGATGTTGATAGTCGTTCACCACCAAGCTACCCATGTTGCTTCACCAACACCAAGCCAACAGATTCTGCCTGAGAGTACAAGGAGCAGATTCCAATGCATGACGGACCTTCTGTTTTGGAGTAATGGCGGATACTATACATGTAGAACTAATGAAAATGCAATATTGGACATAACCAACTATTTGAAACCAAAATAAAGGCATGGCTTGTAGGCTGGTGTCATGTATCCCTTTGTGTGGTCATACTAATCACGAGATACTAATGTACAAAACATACATGCATGGTACATTAGGAGTAGTTCATGAAAGGCCATATAGTCAACTCTATACTCGAAATAAAAACAAAGACCAATGTACGTGGACTTGCAAAAATCATTGCTATTTTCAAGGCACCCCCCGGGCCCCCAGCCCCCCCCCCCCCCCTTGGGTGGGCCCAGAAAAAAAAATTGGGCCCAAAAAAAATTTTGGGCCAAAAAAGGCCTTAAGGCCCCAAAAAGTCGGCCTTTTTGGTCATTACTGGGCCGCAAGCGCGGATGTTTTTTTCTCTGACCTAAAATTTGGGCCCCCCCCCCTTATTGGTTCCCAGATCCGCTCCTGCAAGGGATATACAAGGTACTGTTAATGCTTCATGCGATTCATTTTTGAGACATAGCCTCGCCTATCTTATGCCTCCCCTATCTTATTTTGCCTCACCGTTCCTGCCACGTCCCTGATGAGTGTTGTATACACGGAACTATTAGCACAGTGTATTAGTATAGTTTCCATTGATTACCAATAAAAAAGCATAAACGCCTAACTATATACTTATGTAATATTTTATATGTTATTCTTCTAAAACAGATCCATTAATAAATTACATCGACACTTTCCATTTTTGTTTTACTCATTCAGTTGGGTTTCACATCTCATTCCAGTTGTGTTTTCTGGGCATCTACATCTGGGATCCCATATGTCATTGCCAAAATCTTTTAGGTAGCACACACCTCCATTTAAACAAAAGCCCAAAGAATAATACCAGTTCCATCTTGCGCAGTCTGCTTCTGCAATGGCAATATTGAATGCATCAATTCTTCAATTATTTTTATTCATGATGAATGCGACCATATTTGATCTTCACTTAATGTGTACTATTCTATGTTGATATTACATGTATTAATATTTGAATTACAAGGTTTAGAGAATATTTATTTTTTATGAGGACTGCAGTTATGTGTGATAATAAATGAAAATAGACAAGTGTATCATACAAATATACATACGTTCGTTTCTGTCGCATGTTGCACCAAACCACCCCTCGTGACATTCACATGTGTAATAATGTCTGTCTCCATCGTGGAAAGTACATTCACCATTCTTACAATACTCTGGCATTGAACAGTATTCTTCTGAAAGAGTAGATAGCTCGGTGTAATATTAAGGATGCTTCATCCTAAGTTTAACCCAGAGGAATTCACAAATTATGACTGAAAGACTGTGGTGGAGCTGTTGGTATGTGTACTTAACTTAGAATTACCAATGCGCTGTGTAGGATTTGTTCAGAGGTCCAAACAATTAACGATATTATGTTGATCAAGCGTTTTGAATCTTCCAAGGCTTGAAATAATGATGAGAAATTAAGATCTTGAATTGTATTCTCATCATGTGTAGTAAGAAAGATTATAGACATACCTGACGTTTCATTACAAGAAATACCAGTGGTGAATGGTCGACATTGGCATTCGGGTTGAGCCATATGTTCTGCCATATAGTAGACATTTGAAGGTTTACAATAAGAGCCACCTTTACACATTTCCTCTTTATTAGCTTTCACAAAAGGACTTTCTGTAAATTGATTGTGTATGATATGTGTAGAATATTCATTGAACGACGCTTTAGAATCATTGTATTTCATGGTTTTAGATATGGTTTTAAGTGGTAACTTTTATGCACATTTTCCGAAGTCAAGGTGTTTCTGGATCTCCGATTGCCTAGATTATGACACAGGATGTTGATAATATAACGGGCTTTTGTCAATGTAACAAAAGCGAGGGGCTGAATATATTAAATGCAACTTTATTCACAAAACAGATTCCAAATCGAAGAAACTTATTACAACTACACTATATTTTCTAGCTTTGTGCCAAATTAAAATCTGCAACTTGACTCATAAGTAGGTTTAAATCGAGAAAACAAAAAACTCGTAGCCAGGAAGTTCATCCATTTTGTTACATTGACATTCCGTCAAAGTAACTAGTTGTGGAACGGAGTAGTATTATCCGTAGGAATGAGGCCCGGGAAAGTCAGGCCAATGGGACCAATCTAGGCCAATGGGACCAATCTGAGCCAATCTGGGTCAATCAGGGTCAATCTGGGACATTCTGGGACAATCTGACGCAATCATGGGCACTCAGGGACAATCAGGGAGCGATACGGGAGCCGGCGACCAATAGGCTGGCTCGAACCGATAACGTTTACTTCATTTAAAGATAACAAATTCCACCATCTGAAGATAACAAATTCCACCATCTGAAGATAACAAATTCCACCATCTGAAGATAACAAATTCCACCATCTGAAGATAACAAATTTCACCATTTATGATTTTTTCAACATTTTAAAGATAAGGTGATATACTATATAATGGCTGAGTTTTAGACAGGTCTGCCTAATCACGTCATCTGCAGCAGAAAAAAAATAGGTAAGTTGAACTTTTTAAAAAAACAACTTAAGGTGCTATTCTAGGCCCGCATTAAGGGATATGAAAATTGGATGGGAAGCTGAGGAGCTAAGACATCCGCCCTACTGAGCTATGTAGAGCCATTGATGAATACGACTGTTAACCACCCGCTTATATACTGATTAGGAGCTACTTGGGCTGGAGAATATGTCACTGATTAAGGAGACTGAAATGCGATCGAGTCTCGAAACACGAGTCCAAAAATGTTTTTAACCCAAAATCAGAAGGACCGAAAATTAAAATCCGTTCGTCCGTTTAACATGGCAAATCCCATTGGCGCTGGGAAACGTCAGAAATTAGGGGGACCAAAAATATGTTACGGTCGAATTAGGGTACTCAAAAGCTATTTCAGACCAGCATTTAGAGATCGAAAAGCATGTGTGTGAGAAGTCTCCACGTCTATGGCATACAGATGAACTTAGTTGTTTAAAGGAGCCGAGCTCCTTTAAACAACTCGCGTACCGTACAGAATCCGAGCTGTATACTAGAGTATGCCCCCAGTAAGCAGCAGCATGATCGGGGAGAAACAAAATGACACAAAAAACGTAGGCATTGATGTATATGTTCATTTTATTTTAGCCAGAAACATTCTAAGTACAGTCAATACAGCTTTAATTCGTCTCTTCGCCCTCCGTCTTTTATCCCTCAAGCTGACAGCTCTGTTTGCCATGAATTCCAACGTTTCTCTATATGGGAGGAGTTTTCTTCGCTCCTCTTGGGACAGAGTCACGTTTTGAAGAAGGATGTTGAGTATCACTTCAGAGATGACTTTAACTTGAGCCAATGTCATTGTTTTCAGCAGCACGCGTCTCTGTTTTGTAGTAGCTTCAGCTAGATATGTCAAAAATGGAACTTGCTTTCCAATTGCATTCATGTCACAAGGAGACCCACGAAGAAATAGCGTTTTTCTTTGCTTCAGTTGTATCTATCAATTTTTCGGCTGCTCTTTTGCGTGTTTTATGAGCTGGAATACCGGGAGGAACGAGGTTGATTTTTCTAGCTCCCTTTTCAATGGCAGGAACTCCTCTCTCCTGATCCCTATCAGATATGTTTTCACCAGCTGGAGTGTTTGTTCTAGGAGTTACGTTAATAGGCCCAGCTCCGTTCTGCTTTTCAATGATGCGTGGTTCTTTCTGCTTTGGTGATGACTGATCTAGTAAACGTTGATATCGTTCGTAAGCAATCAATACACTTCTCCCGCTCATGTTCGACTGAATCCTATCCTGAACTCCCTCTCTATTTATAGCTGCGGATATATTATTGTATCCTGATTAGGAAAAATGCGAGTTCTGACTCTGGTGACGTCATCACTATGAGGAAAGAGATCCAAAAATAGGTAGCCGTATGGAGCAGAGGTGGCATCGTGGTATGACTCCATCAACTGTCTCCACTTTGTAGGACTGAGCTGTCTGGCTAACGTCATGATCTGAGTCTTGTCCCTCAAAGCTTTAAACAAGACTAAATACTGCGTATTGAGCGCTATGGTTCGAGTACCTTTGTAAAAGGCCTGTTGACTTATAAACAGCACATTCAAGCATCTATGGTGACAGCCTTGAGTAAACATGAGTTCCATCTCCTTGTTGTTAGCTACCTGATGAAGCAGGTCGTCCAGAACTATCACCGTACTCCTCCTATCTTTAGTCAGCTCATCTATCATTTCCCGACTAGGTAGGCCCTGGTGCAATTGAACATTTTTCAACTCCATTTCCATTTGATCGAAAAGCGGTTGATGAATGCCGTAGCAATACAGAACAGCTTGTGGTCCGGGAGGTTCGTACATGCCAGATAGGTTTTTCAACAGTTTATAAACGAAATGAGTCTTCCCGCTATTACTGCTACCAATGATCGAGCAACTCGTGCCATTTCGAAGTTTAATGAGGCTCTCCGTCTGCCACCAGTCCATGATTGGTAATGTTATGAAAATGGGAAGGCTCCTTCATTTATATATCTCGTACATCCTTCGCTGGAATCCACGTGTCAAACTTGGAGGGCCAACCCTGCCAGTGGACTAGGGCTTCCTTTCCCCTCCCTCTCTTTCTATACTTTAACACAGATTCGATTCTATGCTGGGCTGGTTCCTCAGAAATTTTCTGCATTTCATCGGCGTAGAATAGTCCCTTGATTATTTCTCCTTGTAGATCTTCCAGGTAATATGTGGGAGGATCGGTAGCATTCCTACTCTTGATTCTAAAGTATTCCGTGGACCATTTCTGCTGATAGCCGCGATCGAAAATTCCCTTTGTAAAAGCCAGTCTCACCAAATCACCAATGTCGAAGCGATAATTGACAGCTTCATCTCTTTTAGGCTTACTCATGAAAAGGGTCTCGAAAACCTGCAGTTCGTTATCATCATCAACATCCGCAGGAGCCATTTTGATGCTTCTATGGAATGAGTGATTGTAGCTATCCACTATAGATTGGAGTTCATCGATATAACGATTCGTGGCGTTATGGAACATATATCGGTAAATTTTATGCTTCAATGAACGAATAACTCTCTCCGCAAGGTGACTCTTCACGGTCCCTTGCGTCAGGAAGTGCCACACCCCTACACTTTTGAAATAGGCTTGAATCTTTTTGGATCGATACTCAATTCCTTTATCGCTGCGCAACCTACTAGGTTTGTCAGTGGCAAATATCTTCTTGAACGCCTCGATCATATCTTCGCTATTTTTGCTTTTGATTGGCTGCACCCACAGGTACCTGCTTAGACTGTCAATCATGATGAGAAGATATTTGAAACTGTCATTTTCCTCCGCATATTTATCCATCATGGCTAAATCTGTATCAGCTTGTTCTAGCATATGTCTCACCACTAGTTTTCTACGTTTAAATCTAGTCTTGACTCCCCTGTATAGACTGTAGGTTTCTTGTTGACTCAACCAGTCCCTGACATCAGCCTGCTTGATTCCCCGACCCTTAACCTCTCGCCAGAGTTGTTTAAAACCGCTGTAAGACCCCGGTCTACTGGGATCGAAATATATTGTTTTAAGCAGCTTAGACTGCAGCTTGCTCAACGTCATGATAGTGAATGAATAAAACACAATGTAGGCTACTCATTTTATTTATTTATTTCATATAGTGATAATAGATATTGAATGGTTTCAACGACCTCCTGTTCATTTTTATACAGTACATTATTCACGATATAGTCCATGGAATAACCTCGGCATCTCAACAACAGGAACATAGTGCAAAAGTGTCCACAGCTGGAACTGTTTAGATTTTGCACGCGTATGGCATTATACTGCTGTTCATTCGTGTACGCGGTGAGTCCATAGACATCTGGCGCATTGCCCAACGGATCAAAAAACTCCAGTTGTTTATGTCCAGCGTAATAACAGGTCCAATGTTCTCCAGGGTGCCAACTCTCCTTGGTGTTGAGGACGTAACACTTTCCCTCTTTTAGACGATTCAGCATATGATCCTTAGCATAGACTCCCTTGAACGATGACTCAGTGTCAGGATGCGTATCCAATATGAGACTTATCTGCTCAGAGTCCATGGTCACTCCAGAATTATATTTCTCGATAAGTCTATTTGAAATTTATCGGGGAAGGTTGCCAGCATCATCAAGTTTATTGGTTCCGCCAATGGTTCAGTAAACTGCGCACTCACTTTGACACTGCCTTTCTTGACTAAAGGAAAAGAGAATGTTTCGCTGGTTTTATCTTGAGCTTGGATATTGTACTTGAAAATGGCGTAACCGAAAGGGAATGACATCTTGTCAATTATCAAACCCTCATCATCGTGGAGGTCTGAGAATAAACGATCATATTCGTTGGCGTATTGATTTTCATAGGGAGCATCCCCAAACACTGGTCTCAGAGCTCGTCCCGGGACACTGGTACCGTCTATGGCGACTTCTAAAAAGTTTACTTTGAAGTGATGATAATTGAATGGGTTTAGGTTGTAAGCCCCACTGGTAGCCTTCGATTTGGTGAAAAAATCAACAGCCTGGATGGTACATTCCCTTGGAAGCAATCGTGTATGCTATAAGAAGTCAGCCCCTGGGGAACTATCCATGAACGTATCTGATTATGTTCATAAGGGTATACAGCGTTGCGTTCTTTCAATTCCATGTTATACGATGTGAGAATACCAGGAGACACAGTTATCATAGGAACAAGGAGATGAGCATCAAGCAACTGAACTCTATAGTCTGCATCTGGCTCATTCGAAATTAGGTTGAAGGCATCTTCGCTGGGTGTCAGTTTCACATTGATCGGTACGCCATTTAAGATATAGCGATCCATTTGAAACAGGTCGTGTAAAATAGGACCTTGCAGCTCCACCTCTCTAGATACCATCACAAGTGTAGCTCTCCTCTTTAACCCTGTGTTGTTCCCAGATATGGTATTGCTATCATCTATGAAAGCTGAATTCTGAATAGTCCCTTCGTCCTTGTAGAAAAATTCGTTTTGCAATCTTGAGTTATGAGCCGCTGGTGACTGTGTCAGAAGTCTGTTTAGATGAGCCTTATAGGGGTAATAATTGCTGGAGGAGCTAACCACTTGGTGCTGCAGCATGACTTCTACTCGCTGCCATAAGGCATGCATCCATCCAGTTACTGGTGCTACGTTTGATAGAGAGGGAGATATATCCAAATTCGATCCATCACTCTTGGTGATCTTCAATTTTAAAAAGAGCTTGACGTCCTTCAGATTGATGAACTGAGAAGAGTTGTTTGGGATAACAAACTCCACTGGCGTTCCACGTGACAAGGGGTTCACAGGGCGAATTTCCACGAAGTTGACTGTTGTCACACTGCTTTGAGTGCTGGGTGTCTCGAACAAGTTGAGGCTACCATCCAAAATGTCTCCACTAGAGCCATCTATTTTGAATGCCATATTTTATACTCCTCAGTTGTCCTCGTGCGTTTACTCTTGGGTGCTTAGTTAACTACTGGATCACTAGCCTGTCGTTTTCCCTTATATATCGATCTTTGACGTTCTATTTCCGCCTGTGCTCTTTCCACTACAGCCTCAGTTGGAGATATAACAGTGACTGGTTTCTTAATGATGTCAACAGAAATCCACCTATTTCTGTGTTTTCCACGTCCAATTTGAGTGATGATTCCCACCTCTCTATCAGATTTCAACAGTTGCTGCCACTTGTTGGTGTTATCTATATAAGGTACTAGCTTAGGCATTCTTCTAAATCACTCTTTTTAAGTGTATTGTACAAGTCAGTCTCTGGTTGTTAAATGAGACAGATTGGTTGTCACTTCCTCTTATATAGAAATGAATTCTATCAAATTGATTGAATTTCACGGAGGTGTAGAGCACTGGATTGAAGTATCGCCAACCCTCTGCTGCCTCTATCCTCCTTAAGATGGACTGTTTTCTTCCATTGACCACGCTTTCATCCATCAAATCGCAGAAAACATCCAGGTAGGCTACACTTGGTTGGTCTACCAATGCAGGAAGTCCTATTTGCAAGAGTCCTATTTTCCAATATCCTTCTAGGTTTAAATAACTAGGTAATTTCACTGTAAAATGCTCACTGGTGTTAAATGGGAAATATTCTCGGGAATCCCTACTGTCCACGTGTAAATAATGGTCCGTATCCATCCTATGGTTCAATGTAAATGAGTGCTATTTGGACGAAGTGTCTCGTTTTATGCTACTAAAGTCCCCCCCCCCACTAGTTTTTACGTTCACTATATTACTTAAATCAATGTTACTGTTTTCTTCATAGGAATATTCTCAGATAATTGTTTTGGTTACCATTTTATAACTCACCCTGTATGTTACTAATCCGTTAGATGATGTTGTGTCACCCTGTATATAAGAAAATGATTTCAGAGAACATTACAATTAAAGGGGTCATAAAGACTTGAGACGAGTTGGGACTGCTACAATTTTACTTACTTTGATTTATTTCATTAAGCAGTAACTCGAGAAATAATGTTTCAATTTGATTGTTTTGGACCTTAAAGTTTCAAAGACCTTTGACAATTAAAATTTAAAGCTAAAAGGAAACCCTAACCTGCTTTTTGAAACTTTATTACCACTTTAATTATTCATATTCTATAAGCGCGGTTAAAAGTGAGCACGGGTATGTGTTATCTCAAGAGGGTCAACTGATATACAGTCGAGAATATACAGTCGATATATAGCTAGTATGAGTATATGATATCAAAGTCCAAGGCAAACTGTTGCTAAAAGCGTTTACACTCTTGAGAAGTGACTAAAAGAAACCATTTTATGAATTATATATCATGACAATGTACACATATAATGGCTATGGATTTTCAAGAAGTGGGAGTTATGGCAGTTGACTACTATGGGAACACATTCAAGGAGGTGAGAGTTGTTTTTTGAATTGTGGGAACATACTCTTGAAAATCAGATCAGTACATTTTAGCAGAAACGCGGAAAACACGAGCTAAATTATATGTTTCAGAAGTCTCGCTGCTGACTGAAGGGATCTCACAGAGCAGACGAACATGGCACTGTCAACTCAACTTAGAATGTTTCTTGATCGAAATACAGGTCTGAATTAGCTTTGAGAATTCTAATTAAAGTGTGACATATCTTTGGTCCTCTAATTTCAGATGTTTTCGAGTTTCAATGGGGATTCCTTTGTTCAACAGACACATGGGTTTTAATTTTGGGCCACCTAATTCAGTTTAAAAATATTTTTGAGGCTATTATTTCGAGACTCATTTGCATTCCAGTCTCCTAATTTAGGTGAAAAAATATTTTTGGTCCTCTAATTTCTGATATTTCTGAATTTCAATGGGATTCCCCAGGTTATACAGACGTACGGATTTTAAATTTCGGTCTCCTAAATATCGGTCAAGAATATTTTTAGGCTGGTATTTCATGACTCGTTTGCATTCCAGTCTCCTAATTTAGGTGAAAAAGTAGTTTTGGTCCTCTAATTTCTGATATTTTTGAGTTTTAATGGGATTTCCCATGTTAAACGTATGGATTTTATTTTTGTGGTCTCCTAGGTAATAAACTATTTTGAGGCTGGTATTTCGAGACTCGTTTGCATTCAAGTCTCCTAATGTAGGTGAAAAATATTTTTAGCCTGATATTTAGAGACCATAGTTTATGTTCCATGCGAAATAGAGGCAAGACGTGTTTATTCCTACTCAAAATAAATTGATCTTCTTTGCAGGTACATGGTTATGGGACTATAAAGACTAAACCTAGCAGAGGCATACCTAGAAGAAGCATCTTTACAAAGTAAACTACCAAATCTATCGGATTATAATGACTGTTTACTGCTATCTTGTAGCGTGCCAACAGATGTGTCAGCTTGAAGGATAAACGATCGGGACTAAAGATACGAATAAAGACCTCATTGACTGTATAAAGAATGTTTCTGGATCTAGATTAGTAAAAACAAGTCTGAAATTGCATTTGAGAATCGACTTAACTGTTTTTCTGTTGCAGATGACGTGATTAGGCGAGTTAGACCTGTCAACCCATAATATAGTATATCGCCTTATCTATAAAATGTTGAAAAACCGAGGACTTTGGATCCATTTTATCTCAAAATGTTGGAAAACCTTATCTCTAATGATGAAAAATGTTATCTTAAAATGGAGGAATTTGCTATCTTTAAAACTGGCTAAATAAAGTGTGTCATTTTGTTTCTCCCCGATCATGCTGCTGCTTACTGGGGGCATACTCTAGTATACAGCTCGGATTCTGTACGGTACGCGAGTTGTTTAAAGGAGCTCGGCTCCTTTAAACAACTAAGTTCATCTGTATGCCATAGACGTGGAGACTTCTCACACACATGCTTTTCGATCTCTAAATGCTGGTCTGAAATAGCTTTTGAGTACCCTAATTCGACCGTAACATATTTTTGGCCCCCCTAATTTCTGACGTTTCCCAGCGCCAATGGGATTTGCCATGTTAAACGGACGAACGGATTTTAATTTTCGGTCCTTCTGATTTTGGGTTAAAAACATTTTTGGACTCGTGTTTCGAGACTCGATCGCATTTCAGTCTCCTTAATCAGTGACATATTCTCCAGCCCAAGTAGCTCCTAATCAGTATATAAGCGGGTGGTTAACAGTCGTATTCATCAATGGCTCTACATAGCTCAGTAGGGCGGATGTCTTAGCTCCTCAGCTTCCCATCCAATTTTCATATCCCTTAATGCGGGCCTAGAATAGCACCTTAAGTTGTTTTTTTAAAAAGTTCAACTTACCTATTTTTTTCTGCTGCAGATGACGTGATTAGGCAGACCTGTCTAAAACTCAGCCATTATATAGTATATCACCTTATCTTTAAAATGTTGAAAAAATCATAAATGGTGAAATTTGTTATCTTCAGATGGTGGAATTTGTTATCTTCAGATGGTGGAATTTGTTATCTTCAGATGGTGGAATTTGTTATCTTCAGATGGTGGAATTTGTTATCTTTAAATGAAGTAAACGTTATCGGTTCGAGCCAGCCTATTGGTCGCCGGCTCCCGTATCGCTCCCTGGTTGTCCCTGAGTGTCTCAGATTGTCCCAGAATGTCCCAGATTGGCCCAGATTGGCTCAGATTGGCTCAGATTGGTCCAGATTGGTCCCATTTGCCTGACTTTCCCATTTGCCTGACTTTCCCGGGCCTCATTCCTACGGATAATACTACTGAACGGTGATGGTCTAGAAGGGCCAGTGTAAAATCAGGCAAAATTCTACTCTTTTGAATATATATATAAATGAGAAATACCAGTACGTTTATCATTGTGCGTTGTTATAACTAAGAATATGAAATAGCATCTCATGTTTAAGTATTCCATGCGACGATAATGAGAAAGTAGTAATATTTCAAATACCAGTGTTACAATGACGACCAATCCACCCATCGTGACATGTACACGTGTAGTAATGAGAGTTCTCTTCCTCGTGTATTTCACAATCACCATGGTCACAGTACATGCCAGCACAAAACTCGTCTGAAGTAAAAGTAAAATTATGCCAAAGCTAAAATATTAATATTACACTTTGAATGGTCTTACAACGTGAAACGTGTAAAAACTTCTGAGAATGTGTAGCTTGACCTCCCGGTTAAAATCGATTGTACTTCAGTTTTATCTTATTAACAGGTGTTCCGAAGATCCGAATGTACCTGATGGTTGATCGCAAAACAACCCGGTGGTATAAGGTCTGCATATACACATTGCATTAGATGTTTCACCATCGACCATACAAAAGGATCCATTCTTACACAAATCTCTCGCGTCCCAAGCAATGCACGGACTTACTGCAGTCGAACAATTACAATACATAATATTAGTCAACTGTATATAAGAACAACAAAGATTAGAAACGTCGGGTTTCGAGTAATTTTATCATTATTTATAAGAAGCAATCAACCAAATATAAGCATGTCAAAATGAATATTAATCACAGAATATAAAATTTCTATAAACAATATACATGCTGGCATCTAACCATCTGGTGAAATGACTGACACCCACTTGCGTATGAAGTCGCGTCGTTCATCGGAAGAATCTGGAAGCACGTTTGTGAAACTCCATGTGTTCTGGGCTGCCCAAGTATTCCGACGGTAACCATTCCGACACTTGCCGAAGTATTCTGGGTTTACTTGTTTTATCAAATACAGTATATAGGTTGATTTTCAAATTGCCATTCAATTTCATGTTTCTTCAAGAGATGACTCAACTGTTGATATGTATATTGCTGCCTCGTGCACAAAAAGCCTTCCATAGCATATCTGTTGGGAGATGGCAGATCCCGGTTGTGCGAAGTTTGCACCACGGAACACCCAGGAGCAATTTAATATCAAAAAAGAATATATCAATATACTCAGGTTGGACTTCAATTCCAGAAATATGCCTAATTTTTAGAAAAATATGACTTGAAAAAATGGATCTCAATTGCGAAAAGTGGATTCACATTTCAGAAATTTACCCACATTTTAGGTCCAACATTTTCCCCGCAAAAATATTTGTGAATTTTCAGTTCTAATAAAATAAGTGAACTCGGAATACTTTAAGGTTGTTAGAATAGTTGGGCAAGAGTCCGAACACTTGGGTAGCTCAAAGTTGGGCTTCCACACACGTTTGAACCATCGATCCGTATATTTATTAGTCCTTCACCCAGATTACGCACGGTACCTTCGAGATATTTCTCACACCAGGGATCTCCTTCAAACTCCGGAACCCATTTCCCATTTTCGCATGTTTGATACCATATTGGCTCCTCCATTAAATATCCTTTCCCTGTGCATTTCCATTCGACAATAGAACCACAATTTCGTCCATCAGAAAGTCTCGTCGTTCCTTCCGCTGGATCCAAACGTTTAGGACGTCCACATCTGCAACTGTCTTTCTCGCACATATAAATAAATGCGTGTATGCAATATGATATCATATTAAAACCAACGAGTTGATAGTTCCATGATAGAGCGCGAATGACTGCTTAAGCATATCGTTTGCAAAGAAGGGTTGATAAGATGATACCAAAATTACATGATGAAGAAATCTATTACCCGAATTGGTACTTTTTCATTTTTATGATATCTCATGACCGGCGTTCGGCGTCTTTAACGTCAAATGATACAACTTTGGAATTCCAACCATGTGGTGACATTTTGCCATTTTGAACTGATGCGATCTTATAATACACATTTATCATGCGATATATCATAGAAAATCAAATGTTAAATACAATTAATATCAATACTGTTTTTGCCAAAAAATAATACGATTTATTATTATCATTTAGCATACACATCTCTAGACATGACATAACGGAGTTAGAACAGAGATATAAATCGTAAAAACTTGTGATCATGCTGGTCACAATGAATAAATAATGTAAAAACAACTAATGCATAATAAAAGATCCTGGTGTCAGGTTATGTATTTACCTGTGCAGTATGTAAATCCTATTAAATTGATAATTATTATGAAAATGTACATGTACACAGTTTTTGTACTCATTGCAATAATGGCCTGTCCCATAGATTGTAAATGTCGCTGTGAGAAAACCTTACTGATTCTATTTACTTTTGTAGTTCAGCAGAACTGCACATAGTTAACTGATAATAAAAAAAATGTAACCATATTACCACATTCAGATATTTAACACAATTACTTTAAGTGTATTTTATTTTTGCAGCTGTTCATTTGATGATTCTATTTCCTATCTGCATTTCATGAACGTTTCCTGTTTGTACAGTATGAATATATTTAATACACCTATTAAACACAAATATACGACAATAACAATAAAACATAAAAATGTCCTCAGTGGCGCGACGCACCCCCCCCCCCCCTCACAATATGTTACTCTTCTACCTTTCCACGGCTAGCTAAGTTTAAGTCCTGCTACGTTCCTGAATGCTTACAATATAAGTAAGTATATAGCCTAATTATATACTGGTATGATATTTTATTAAATTACTCTTCTAAAACCTATTCATTAATAAATTACATCGACAATTTCGATTTTTATTTTACTCATTCAGTTGGGTTTCACATCTCATTCCAGTTGTGGTTTCCGGGCATCTGCATCTGGGGTCCCATATGTCATTGCCAAAATCTTTGAGGTAGCACACGCCTCCATTTAAACAAAAGCCCGAAGAATAATACGTGTCCCATCTTGCGCAGTCTTCTTCTACAATGGTAAATTTGAATGCATACGGTATTGTTTTTATTTTTGTTTATTTATTATTTTCAGTAGATGATAGAAAATCCTCATCACCTTAGGTTGGTAGCTCATTCTTTATCACTCAAATTAGTGTCATTTTCGTGTCTGTCATCAATATTTTTACAGAATTTCACTCGTTTTTCAGATTTATTTTTAATTTTTCGTCTGAAGAAGTCCTACAATGCATCATTACACTGCAAAAAATAAGGATTATATTGCAAAATTCCAAGGAGCGGGATGAATATTACTAGTATAGTATTATCTCCCGCATTTGGCCTGGGACAATATATCCTGTCCGCTCCTCAGATATGCCATATATTTCCGGGTGATATCTACCCCAAACCCTCTAAAGTATGAGATACACATCATATACGAGTATAGATATTTGAAATTATTGAAGATTGGGAGAATACTATTTTTTAGATCTGGTGTGATAATAAAAATGGTGATAGATAGTAAACTCGTGTGAGTATATACATACGTTCGTTTCTGTCACATGTTGCACCAAACCACCCCTCGTGACATTCACATGTGTAATAATGTCTGTCTCCATCGTGGAAAGTACATTCACCATTCTTACAATACTCTGGCATTGAACAGTATTCCTCTGAAAGAGTAGAAGGTTCTTTGTAATCCTGGGAAGTTCACAAATATGACTGTGATACGGTGAAGCTGCCGGTTTGTATTTAAACTACCAATGCGCCGTGTGGGTTTCATTAGGGATCCAAACAATTCACAATAATGTGCTGATCAAGTGCTTTGATTTTAGAGGTGTTCTAAATTATGTAACATCCATTTTAATGGATAATGGTGACATCGGTGAGATATTGAGGAGTCCTAAGTTTGTATCGTGGTGGAGCTGCCGGGGTGTGGATAAACCACCAATGCGTCATGTGGGTTTTGTATGGGGGTCCAGACAATCCAAAATATTATGTTTATCAAGTGTTTTGATTCATGAGGTAGTCCAAATTATGTTATATTAAAAGTTTCTTTTGAAATAATGGTGAGATATTTAGATCATTTTGTATTAAGGAGATGTAATAGACATACCTGACGTTTCATCACAGGAAGTGCCAGTGGTGAATGGGCGACATTGGCATTCGGGTCGAGCCCTATGTTCTGCCATATACTCGACCTTTGAGGGTTTACAATAAGAACCACCTTTACACAAACCCTCTCTGTTAGCTTTTACGCAAGGACTTTCTGTAAATTGAACAATAAAAAACGAGAGTATAATCAAAATGGCGACAATTTTAATGCATGATCTGAGTTTTTGCCATGGCACGCATGTTGAATTGTGTGACAACAAACATGTGAGGCCTAGGAATAAGACACAAAACGTTTAAAATGACCCTTGGTGTACGAATTGTTAAATTTCAGCTGAAACATAGAGATGAATGATTGTCATTATAGTCCAGTAATTTAAAATATAATAATATATATTATAATAAATATAAAATTAATTAATCAATATAAAAGACTAGCTTTAACTAATTTTGCAGTTTTTCCTTTTATATTTGATTGTTACTGGACAATAATACAAGAAACGTGAATATCTTTAAACTTTAAATTCTATTCCTGGACATACGAGTGTCACAATGACGGCCAATCCACCCATCGTGGCATGTACACGTGTAGTAATGAGAGTTCTCTTCCTCGTGTATTTCACAATCACCATGGCCACAGTCCATACCAGCACAAAACTCGTCTGAAGTATTAAGACATTGTCGTTGAATGTCAACGTAATTCACCTGTGATTCAATAGGTGAAAACTGATAGTTGATAAGTTAACATTGTGGGATAAACAGGGGAAGAAGGAGGTACGGATTCTGGGCACCTGCTAACAGCTAACACCCCAGTCACATTTCCTACGGCGACCTTGCGGTCTATCATTTCTGCGGCCAGTAACATTTCTACGCTCGCCTTGGGATTTCTGCGCTCTCATACTTTTGCAATCACATTTCCCACGGCAGCTGCCACGGTGAATTTTAAATTTCTGTTGATAAATACTACTTTTTTCATTTTATTTACATCAGGAAAATTTATAAATGTTATTCATAGTGCTAGGATGTAATATCAAATGAAAAGTGATCGTGAAGCATTGACAAATAATGATTCAATCTTGTTGAGCCAGTTGATTTCTACGGGGACCTCAGAAATGAACAAATATTATAACTCCGAGTAATAATTTCTACGGCCTGTAAAAAACTGGATACGCCGTATGGAGGCCGCAAGGCGAGCGTAGTTTTCCTACGCTCGCCGCAGAAATACACTGATTTAATTGATCTGCGGTCGACGCACGCCCTCCGTACGACAAATGTGACTGGGGTGTTAGGAGGATGAATAAATCCCTCAACATATTTTCTACCTGATGGTTGATCGCAAAACAACCCAGTGGAATAAGGTCTGCAGAAACACCTTGCATTAGATGTTTCACCATCGACCATACAAAATGATCTATTCTTACACAAGCCCTTCTGAGACCAGGCGATGCATGGATTTACTGCAATGCAATACAGGCATTAGACTTGGTCAATGTAATAAAGTAGATAAGGATGAGCTGAATATAAATCAATGTGCTAAAAAATTGCGTTTTGATTCGTTTCTTATGACGCACGACGTGTTTTCCTCTGTCCAAATCGCGCGATAATAATGCGTGACTTTTCGATGCTCACCAAGATTTGATGCACAGTGGTGATGTAAACAATAATGTAACATCTTAAAGTGGCGCCAAACAAGGGATGCTTATCTGTCTGGTGCCTATCAAATAACGATGCGCATCAAAAATAAGCATTATTATCGAGGGATTTTGACAGAGTCATTAGCTTGCTTTTAAATGGGGGGGGAGTGGGCGACTTAAACCAGTTAATTTTGTAAAATCCTATTCTGTGGATAATATCCCCAAAAGGGGGTCTTCCACTTCATGTAATGTAATTTGTACAATATTATTGAATAAAACAAATAAATTGGAAATTGAACAAGTTCAATTTCAGACTCCAGATTACAGATTTGTTTTTAGTTCGTAGATAGATAAATAAATAGATAAATAGATAGATTAAGTTAGATAGATAAATAAATGGATAAGTAGATAAATAAATAATTAGATAAATAAATAGATAAATGAATCAATAAATATATAGAAATATAAATAGATAAAATAGCTAAACAAATAGATAATTAGATATATTAATAGACATATAAATAATTGATTAAATGGATCAATAAATACATAGATGTATTGATTTTTCAATATCTTCTTCGCTACTCGACTTTTTATCAGGATATCAGATCGATTTTTTCGAAATTTCAAAATAGAATAGAACCTTAACCGGAAGGCAAGATTCCAATTTGGTTTCCAGATCCGGAATTCTGAGACTTTGTAGATGATTTTTTTAAAATGGTCAAATTGAAGCAAGTTGAAAAATGACAAATTTTACCATTTTTTGACATCAAATATCTCAAAAACGGTAAGAGTAATCAAAAACGATTTGCCTCTCGGAATTAGCTTTTTTTCCAAGGAACATGATGAAAAAACTATTTGACCTAGTTCTTGACCTTTGACCTAGATCAAAATTTGACCCAATTTCCGACCAACTAGATGATGTACCTTAATTGACCATATGGTTGTCTAAAATTGAATACTTTATGGTTGTTGAGAAAACTTGCTCAGTAAAATAAGAAGAAAAAAGAATAGAGGCAAAAACAATAGACTCCAGATTTTCATCTGGAGTCTAATAATAAAATGTTGTGGGTATCTCAACAATGAACCGCTCGGATCACTGCCTGGATTCGCCTACCTTCCAGATATTTCTCACACCAGGGATCTCCTTCAAACTCCGGAACCCATTTCCCGTTTTCGCATGTTTGATACGATATCGGCTCCTCCATTAGGCCATCCCCTGCACATTTCCACTGGACCGAAGAACCACAGTTAAGTCCATCGGAAAGTATTGTCGCTCCTTCCGCTGGATCCAAACGTTTGGGTTGTTCACACCTGCATTCGTCTTCTTCATCTGTAATTCATCAAACATGTATATTTTAATCTTTGTTTCTGTTTCGATAGCGATTTCTTTGGAGATGCAAGAATTGATATGCGAGGTCGTCTCTGAGATAGGTTTTACTGGATTGGAAATGAAAATGATGAAGGTTTTTGATATCATAATATGATAGATGGCTTCAGAAATTTCGATTTCTTACTTTATGATCTGGAGTCCATAGGCCAAGGGAAAAGTAGTAGTAAGCTTATATAGAACTATATTGAGCTTCTTACTACTCTTCCCTCTGATGGCCTATGCTGGTTAATTTTTTCTCTCTTTCGTTAAAAAATTGCTGATATGTATTTCGAAAATATATCTAGCATTAATCCCCCATGGTTAAAGAGAAAGACTCAATTATGATCCGTTTGATTTATATTTTCTATATTTGGACAATGTGTTTTGATATTTTTATTTTATTTATTTATTACACATTTAAAACGGTGTCACATCAATACAGGGTGCTCTTACAAAAAAACACATACATTTTCCGTCTCAATATACTTTTTGATGGACTTTTCAACAAGAGATCAAGAAGCATATAATGATTTATACACGTTTGAATTAATGAACTTGACCGAACGTCAAACGCTAAAACCCAGTTAGGTTTGTAACCCAGAGGTAAGCGAGAAGAAAATAACCCCAACGTATACATCAATCGTTGTAACTTCATCATATATAATACGAATATCATGAAAATGAGGATATATGAATACTCAGCGTGTCATATCAATTTAGTTCATATGACGCAAAGTACATTCATCAGATGGGGTTTCTTTTTTTCATTTACAACTGTCAGATCTTAATTTAAATCTTCCTGTTCTTGCTAGAAATTTTGATTTACACCCCTGGGCTCTGGAAGTCATTTGGTGTTTCCAAGTACTCCTCAATTCCAGAAGTTAATTTGAGACGTATTGTCAGTTAGACTTGTACTACTTGTGCTCTCTAATGTACACTGGTACGTTGATTGACGTAAGTTGTATTCATAACATTTTTATATTTTCCTTTATTGAATTAAATTAAGATCAATGTGATAATAGAATTACAAAAACAACTGATAGATACATGGCCATATCTAGCCCAAGGTATAGCCCATTCTGGAAAATAATCCTTTAAAATACATGAAGGTTGAAATAACAGCTTTTTGTGATATGATTCAGTCAACATTACACTGAGTTCAGGGCTTAAATCCTTATATCTATCTTATTAATTCTTAACTTAAAGCAAACTAAATGTAGATAACAAGTAATGAAAAAAACTTAAAAACTTATAAAAGGAAACTTTTAAAGGCTATACTAAATATTTACCTTTGCAATAAGCCAAATGAATTATTGCCAGGAAAATGTGCAAACTTTTCTTCATTGTTCTAGTATCTGTCACGTTCTATAGCTTGTTAGTGTATCTGCCCTGTTCAATAGCTTGTTTATATTGTCAGTGCTTCTCTGAACTGTGCAATGACTATTTTTCTTTTAAATAAAGAACACCTACAAATGATAAAGTAAATAATACCAATGAGACGTTTTTATTACAATACAAATGGATTCCCTGGCACTTTAAATGTATCGTCTATACACAGATGTTTCAATGATCAGATGATGGTACTTCTTCTCTATGTTCTGTATTGAGCTACAAATGCAATGTCTTTAATCTTGTTCACTGTGTTTTATTTGGTCACATGCACTTTGTGGTAAGCAATGGTAATATGAGTGGGATAATGGTAATATGAGTGGGATAATAGTATTATGAGTGGAATAATGGTAATATGAGTGGGATAATGGTAATATGGGTGGAATAATGGTAATATGAATGGGATAATGGTGATATGAGTGGAATAATGGTAATATGAATGGGATAATGGTTATATGAGTGGGATAATAGTATTATGAGTGGTATAAAGGTAATATGGGTGGAATAATGATAATATAAGTAATGTAAGCGGGATAATGGTGATATAAGTGAAATAATGGTTATATGAGTTGAATAATGGTAATATGAGTGGAATAGGTGTAATATGAGTGGGATAATGGTAATATGAGTGGAATAATGGAAAATATGGGTGGAATAATGGTAATATAAGTGGGATAATGGTGATATGAATGGAATAATGGAAAATATGGGTGGAATAATGGTAATAAAAGTGGGATAATGGTGATATGAGTGAAATAATGATAACATGAGTGAAATAATGGTAATATGAGTGAAATAATGGTCATATGAGTGTGATAATGGTAATATGAGTGGGATCATGGTAATATGAATGGAATAATGGTAATATGAGTGGGATAATGGTAATATGAGTGGGATAATGGTAATATGAGTGAAATAATGATAACATGAGTGGAATAATGGTAATATGAGTGGAATAATGGTAATATGAGTGTGATAATGGTAATATGAGTGGGATAATGGTGATATGAGTGGAATAATGGTGATATGAGTGGAATAACGGTAATATGAGTGGGATAATGGTAATATGAGTGGAATAATGGTGATATGAGTGGGATAATGGAAATATGAGTGGGATAATGGTAATATGAGTGGAATAATGGTAATATGAGTGGAATAATGGTAATATGAATGGAATAATGGTAATATGAGTGGGATAATGGTGATATGAGTGGGATAATGGTAATATGAGTGGGATAATGGTGATATGAGTGGAATAATGGTAATATGAATGGGATATGGGTGGAATAATGATAATATAAGTAATGTAAGCGGGATAATGGTGATATGAGTGGAATAATGGTGATATGAGTGGAATAATGGTAATATGAGTGGGATAATAGTATTATGAGTGGAATAATGGTAATATAAGTGGGATAATGGTAATATGAATGGAATAATGGTAATATGAGAAGGATAATGGTAATATGAGTGGGATAATAGTATTATGAGTAGGATAATAGTATTATGAGTAGGATAATGGTAATATGAGTGGAAAAATGGTAATATGAGTGGAATAATGGTAATATGAATGGAATAATGGTAATATGAGTCGGATAATGGTAATATGAGTGGGATAATAGTATTATAAGTGGGATAATGGTACTATGAGTGGAATGATGGTGATATGAGTGGAATAATGGTAATGGTGAATGGTAATATCAGTGGAATGATGGTAATATGAGTGGAATAATGGAAACGTGAGTGGGATAATGGTAATATGAGTGGAATAAAGGTAATATAAGTGGGATAATGGTAATATGGGTGGAATAATGGTAATATGAGTTGGATAATGGTAATGTGAGTGGGATAATGGTAATATGAGTTGGATAATGGTAATATGGGTGGAATAATGGTAATATGAGTGGAATAATGGTAATATGAGTGGTAATATGAGTGGGATCATGGTAATATGAATGGAATAATGGTAATATGAGTGGGATAATGGTAATATGAGTGGGATAATGGTAATATGAGTGAAATAATGATAACATGAGTGGAATAATGGTAATATGAGTGGAATAATGGTAATATGAGTGTGATAATGGTAATATGAGTGGGATAATGGTGATATGAGTGGAATAATGGTGATATGAGTGGAATAACGGTAATATGAGTGGGATAATGGTAATATGAGTGGAATAATGGTGATATGAGTGGGATAATGGAAATATGAGTGGGATAATGGTAATATGAGTGGAATAATGGTAATATGAGTGGAATAATGGTAATATGAATGGAATAATGGTAATATGAGTGGGATAATGGTGATATGAGTGGGATAATGGTAATATGAGTGGGATAATGGTGATATGAGTGGAATAATGGTAATATGAATGGGATATGGGTGGAATAATGATAATATAAGTAATGTAAGCGGGATAATGGTGATATGAGTGGAATAATGGTGATATGAGTGGAATAATGGTAATATGAGTGGGATAATAGTATTATGAGTGGAATAATGGTAATATAAGTGGGATAATGGTAATATGAATGGAATAATGGTAATATGAGAAGGATAATGGTAATATGAGTGGGATAATAGTATTATGAGTAGGATAATAGTATTATGAGTAGGATAATGGTAATATGAGTGGAAAAATGGTAATATGAGTGGAATAATGGTAATATGAATGGAATAATGGTAATATGAGTCGGATAATGGTAATATGAGTGGGATAATAGTATTATAAGTGGGATAATGGTACTATGAGTGGAATGATGGTGATATGAGTGGAATAATGGTAATGGTGAATGGTAATATCAGTGGAATGATGGTAATATGAGTGGAATAATGGAAACGTGAGTGGGATAATGGTAATATGAGTGGAATAAAGGTAATATAAGTGGGATAATGGTAATATGGGTGGAATAATGGTAATATGAGTTGGATAATGGTAATGTGAGTGGGATAATGGTAATATGAGTTGGATAATGGTAATATGAGTTGGATAATGGTAATATGGGTGGAATAATGGTAATATGAGTGGAATAATGGTAATATGAGTGAGATAATAGTATTATGAGTGGGATAATGGTAATATGAGTGGGATAATGGTAATGTGAGTGGGATAATGGTAATATGAGTTGGATAATGGTAATATGAGTGGAATAATGGTAATATGGGTGGAATAATGGTAATATGAGTGGAATAATGGTAATATGAGTGAGATAATAGTATTATGAGTGGGATAATGGTAATATGAGTGGGATAATGGTAATATGAGTGGGATAATAGTATTATGAGTAGGATAATGGTAATATGAATGGGATAATGGTTATATGAGTGATGTGATTGGAATAATGGTAATATGAGTAATGTGAGTGGAATGATGGTAATATGAGTGAGATAAGTGTATTATGAGTGGGATAATGGTAATATGAGTGGGATAAATTATTGGTTTATACCTGCAACCGTGTAACATTTCAGACGAGTGTCATGTCAGAAACAGTGATCAATATTTGAAGGTTACAACATACAACCAGCATGACACGAAATTATACATACATATATGTATTATTTACATACCAAGCATTGAAGATCTGACAGCAGGGAATGCATAAAATATTAAACTGGGTATTACATAGGATAAAGAATTCTATCATTTTAAATATTATTCTATGTGGGAAAATACACTGTATCAATAACATTACTAATCAAATTTAAAGCATAATTGATATATTCAGATATCAATCTTGAGATGTTATATGTGAAATCAGATATTTTACTTAAATTATTCATTAGTGAGTATCTTGCTTTCATCTCAATGCCATATTCAAACAAAAACGTTCGATTTTCTTCATTTTCATACTGCACTGTATTTTCCTAAACAATTAACGTGTACCAGGTAGATTATATACCTCCATGCCTAAACCATGTTATGAAACACTGGAATTATTTAATAAAGGTTCTTTGAAATGATTGGATTTACTACTGCATCTCTCTTGCATATAATATTGACCATGCATGTAATCCAACATTAATTAAATTACTGATTTTACATCATTGTGAATTTGTGGTACTCCCACTTACATTGAACCACATTTGATGGTCACACAAAAGCCAACACCAAGCCTACACTGTGGAGAGCACATGCTTAGAGGGTGGCCATGGTGAGAATCTGTTATTCATAGTTTGATTTAATACATATCTTTTTCAAAGCAAATGTTCATGTAGCATGATAGCAGTTGGCACTTACCACAAATATATACTGATGAGATCTATAAAACAATGTGGTTAAAATGATATTAACTTAATTTTATGAGTCTGTTTAAAGGCTTTGTTAATTGTTATCGACAAACCCATTTGTTTTATCAACTGTTTCATCTTGTTTAATGCATTGTTTGATGATATCAGGAAGTAATAGGAAATAATCATTAGGAATGCTATACAATCAGAGCTCTACATCTAATTAAATCATTATGACACAATTCAGGATGTTTACTCAATTATTCATATTTTATTTCAATTAAGTCAATTAATACATTTTTACAAAATAATGTCTATACATGAATGTGTGTATAATTATACTTTGTAACTCAAGCACACAGAGCACATGTTTGCAATGTGGATGGATTTGAACAATTACTCAGTTAACAATAAATACAAAAATATTTGAGATTACATTAGTAAAAATAAAATACATGTACATGTACTAGTTTATTATATTCATCCAAAAACAATACAATGTTAGGCTTGTAATTAAATTTTTTTACCAGATTACCTTCAAGATTTTTTGTTAACATCAATTTCATGAGAGGAGAGGTTTAAAATTTTCATTAAAGAAAAAACATGAAACGGGTTTCATGACAAAACATTGATATACAAGTGTACTGACTGAGGATTTGTAGTAAAACTGAGCTTGTATTCGCAAATGCAACTAACGCATGTCGGCTACCAGATTAACCTGCTATTTTATGGCACTTTTTAACTCATTTAAATATGAATAGTACCTGCCACTATTCCATTCATATTTAAATGAGTTGGTCATGAAATAGTAGATTAATCCGGTGGTTGTCAGGCATTAGTTCCATTCGCAAATACAAGCTGAGTATGGACGGCTTGTGCAATTGAGCATTCAGCAATATAATAAATTAATATAATTCAGGCAACATGACAATGTGCAATCATGGAAGCCATATTTGGCTTTCAGCAGTTGGACTTGGAGAGCCAATGCTTTACTTGGAGAGCCAATGCTTAACTTTACAGGACTACACTTCACTTCCATCTATCATTAGAACAAAACATAGTTCAGTCCAAATCTGATGACGGTTGTCTATTTATGGCAGGAGAATATGTTCTATTCTGTTTCCCTGCAGATGACTTCCTTCCTGTCCCTGGAGGGTGTGGACTATGGGCAGACTGCCCCCTCTCAGGGGACTCGTCAGATTTAAAATCCAGAGAATCTGATAATAAGACATTATGTAATAAGTTTGTGGAACTTCTACCACTATTTACTGATCCTTGTCGCTTTGATCCATGATCCTCATTGTTTGTTTTGACATGACCCCTACTTCCTGGTCTTGACCTTTGGCCTTGTATTTCATTGGTTAATTTCTGAGTGCTCATAAACTGATTTTGGTTGATTTCTGGCAGTTTGAGTCTTGGTGATTGGGAGCTTGTTGGGCGTGACGAGTAATTATTCAAGTATGTATCTGATTGGTTGGATAGGTCGTACTCATCTATGATGGAGGAATGGCTTGAGCGGGAGGCAGATCGTGAAGTAGTTCGAGAATCTTTTAGAAGTTCCCTTAATGTTTCCTCTGATATAGATTCAACAACAAGGTTATCTGCAAGAAAGTAAACAATAACTTTGAAAAGACCTTCTTCTCAAAAATAGAATCTTCTCACATTATTTTACTCTACATACAACGTGAATGAATTAAGTATCAAATTATTACTTTAATTTAATCAGAGAATCCTGCATAAAATGGACACATCCTTAGAGTTAAAAGATCAGATATATTTCATATTTTGTTAAGAAAGCTCCAACTTCATTTCCTATCCTACCTTCATTGGCTGTTATATTTTCCCTGCTGGTGACATCACCCAGGTATCTGGTTGTATCAGGGGTAGTTATGGCATTACTTTCCTCTGTAACAGCAGAGAGACGACTAGTACCTAAGGATGCCCTGGCATCCGCAAGGAGGGCTTGGAGAGTTGCTTCTGGCAACTTTGGAGGGTTCTCATAAATACTGCTTCTTGAGCTGGCTTGAGATCTGAAAATAGGTGAATCTTTTCATTTTACATGTTGTTGGTAGATATTATGAGGTTTTGCTAATAAAAAAAGTTGGGTTATGTTGAAGATTGAGTAAAATGGAATAGCTTAGTTACTCAGATCAGGTTTTTTGAGAATCGGGCAAAAGAGCTTTTTTCAACAGTAAAAAAATAGTTAATTAACTTTAATAAGGAATAGCAGAGTAAATAAGATAGTTATTAAAGTTGTTAAACTATGACTCACCTTGGAGATTGAACTAGTGAATTGGTTTCTATGGTAACCCTGGACATTGTTCTAGAGCACTGGTCTAACAGATCTTGAAGCTGGACTTCTGACAAAGCTGGGGATTCAATCTGTAAATATGTTTATAATGCATCAAAACAACAATCATTGACAACATTACTATATAAACCATGACTTTCATCGTAGATATCAATGTTACCTCTCAATTGTACATAGCTTTTTAGTTCAAAGCTGTTGCTAAGAATATGTACAAAAACTGGGTATATTGGATATCTCTGATTGACCATTCTCAAATGAGTATCCAACCAAAGTAAATACAATTTATTTAAATGTATCACTTTAATTGGCTGTTGATTATTACAATTATGAATAACCCGTACCTCCAATTCAACAGCAGATGTGAGATTCTGTAACTCTAGTTCTATATCATTGAGTCTCTGTTTTATATCCCTGTTGTCTTTACCCTCCTGTAGAGCCCTCTCCCCCAGTTTTTCCACCTCCTGGGAGGACCTCAGATCTGTCCGCGTAAATAAGTGACTCTGAAGAATACAACATATTATTGCATTACAAAAGATTGCATACCTCCAATCTCTCTTGAGAAAGATTGCCCCAATTGATCATCCACCATCATTGTCAGTGTATAATCTGTAACATTTGGAATATGTACTAATAATACCCCTGTATTTAGTACTATTTCCAAGGATAGTCTGACACACATTGTTTTACCTGTTGAGAGTTAGTGGATCTGGGGGTGCTATTTATCTGTTCAAAATCTTCAGGAGGCAAGAGCTCTTTGAGTCTAGAATCAATGCTTGTTAGACGTCTTATATCTGTTTCCTCTGGCATGTAGCCTTCCCCAGGGTGCACCGTTACAGCGAATGGATTAGAATCAATCTGGAAATATGATGAAGGAAAATGTGTCAAAGATGAGATGAAATAAACAGCAATAAAAGCCAACTAGTACATGACTAACCAAAAAAATATAGAAACTTGGAGAAAGATGCATAATATCCTATGGACTAGATGGAAATGTTAAATGATATTTACATTCTTCAAAACTCAATCAACCGTCCTTTTAAAATGGTTGGGTTGATTGCAATTAAGAGTTAAAGTTTATTATTGTTTCTGATGAAGTTTTTAAAACTAACTAACAAAGCCATGTGGGCACGAACAAACTACTTTTAAGAGCAATAATTCATTTTGAGTGATGAGGGAGGTAGCTACCGTTGAGTTATCCACCTCCTCAGGTAAGTCAGGTAGAGCATCTATATCTGTGAGCAACTCTTCTAGGTGTTTCTTCTCATCATCAGTCATAGCTATAGTATTGGCAGCATCAGAGGCAAGCTAAGTAAAGTAAAGCAAATATTTATTCCAATTTGCATCTACAATACATACATGTGTGTGTACATTCATACAGTATATGGTGGCATTCTTGCCTCTAAACACTGTATTGTTTACTCCATTTAAAAGTCAAACCTAAAAACAATCTTCAAATGTAAGCACAGTAATAAATTAGTCCAGGGGCCAAGGTCCACATGTTCAAATTTCTTTAGCACCCCAGAGTTCAGTCATAATTTATTTATATAGCATTTTATATAATTTGATTTTTCCTTATATGACTGGGATTTAAAATAATTTGTTATTTTCATTTAAATAACTTTTCTTAATGTTGACATTGAGGTTCATTTCTTGGTAACCTAAAATAATGGTGGAGAATGAAAACATACCTCTATGTTCCTCTTGAGAAAATCTTTCTTTTTCTTTTTGTGATTTTTATTTCTGGAATGTTTGCTGCTACCCATTTTGGAGTCTCCGTCCTCTTCATCAAAGGGTATCTCTGTGCTGGCATCTGACATTCTGCTAGAGGTAGCCCCTGTAATAATTAGTTTTTCATGGTTATATTCTTTATTCCATTATTTAGTCATCAACTACTTTAAATATAACTACTGAAATAAAACAGATTATAAAAAACTGTTATAATGATCTTAGTATTTATAAGGTTACAAAATTAAATGACCTATACATGTATATGTATATATAAGCTTGTGAAGCAGGGTTAATGACAATCAATTCATTTCTTTCGTTTTAATAATACATGTACAGTGTAATTGATTTGCTTATCATTATCTTGTATAAGCACTTATAACCTGTCTAAAGTTACACTGCTTGGACAAGTTTTTACATTTCGAGGTGTTTACTTAGAGGGATATTTTGCAGATAAGAATATGGGTTTTACTGTACCAGATGGACTGTCAGTGTTGCCCCCTTTTGCCCCATGGTGTCTCCTTGCATTAGCAGCCTGGTCAGGGTCTATGAACTGTGTCTGGAATATAGGGGTCCCTGCAGCCACATCTTCTCTTAGATCTACACCTGCAAATTACAGCAACACAACATTAGTATAATTCATTTAAATCATACACAAATCATGTTGAATGGCCCATTATACTGCAAAAAAAGAAATGTTAAAATCACATTTTCACATTTGCATCTTCAATCAGGTTACACAAATCCAAATTAGGTAACAAATTAAGTTCACATTTTTTGAAAGGGAAACATTAAATTATCTTTTTCAAAATCATAGTTTCAAATTTTGTTTTTTGAAATTAAGCTATCAATTCATGAACATCAAAAAATTTGAAATATACATGTTATATATATTAGTAAGCAGTGTAAAAAACTTAGTTAAAATAAATATACAATGAAATGTATCAAAAATGTTTAATCAAAAAGTGTTTGTGATAAACTCATTCAGTTTACAGATGGTGATTTGAATCATTTCCATAAGTGATACTGCATTGAAATGTTGAATATAGTTGAGTATACATGTATATAGCTCAATGTGAAAGATCATTCTACCAGTTTCCTTTTTAGAATACTGTAGTTGCTTAAGTTTCAATGACAGAAAGATGTGACGTGTATAAAAATGGCAACACCTTGCAACATCTGCATTTTCTTATCATAAAAGATATAGATATTGATGCAAAAGCATTTCCTGTAAAAGAAATCTTTTTAGAAGTTATTTTAAACAAGGCATTAACATGCAAAATGTACCACATGCCATTTGTTACAGATGCCGAACTCCGACCACCAACTGCCATCACAAAAAGGTTGGAGACCACCACAATATGTAACCACTTTTGGTGGTGACATAAAAAACTGCCATGTCAGGCCCGTAGCCAGAATTTTCCAAGGGGGGGGTTCGTTTTTCTAAAAAAATCTAGGGGGGGGTTCACTTTGGCAAAAATGGCCAAAAATCACTCAAAAATTAGTCAGAATGGTGAAAAACTGCATGATTTTGAAAGAAATTTTGGCCAGGGGGGGGTTCGCCCGAACCCCCCGAACCCCCCCTGGCTACGGGCCTGCATGTGTAGATAATTTCTACTGCTACATTATTTGAATATTTCAACACAATGTATGGCAATAGAAATCCATCTTTTTACAACATATTCGTTTCTAACCTCTTCAAATCTCATGTCTGTTGCAAAGACATTTGATGTGAAAGGGTTTAATAACTCTTTCAGTGATACATGCAACAATGAAATATGAATATACAAATACCAATATTTCTATGTTTATACAGAGATTCTGTCAACTCTGTGAAAAATACTGAATTCCTAGGCACACTATGGATACTAGGTAGACTAGGAATGCTAGATGCCCCTGCTTTACTAGAAATACTAGATGTACTAGGTTTTCTAACAGGTGTTTGCAAATCAATATACATTTCTGTATCATCAGCTCCTGAAAGATGTCAGTTAAGAAAACCACATTAAACATGAATTTGGTTGAAAAAATACAGATGTCAGCATTGTCAGGGCAGATTGCATGTTGTTGTTTGTTCAAATATAAAGTCAAGTATCATAAACTGTTTAAATGGGGAAGTATTTAAGGTACAAAGTAAAGTCATGGCACAACAATTTAATAATTTCTAAGTCAAAGATTAAATGGTACTACATACATGGGAAATATTCAGAGATGTTAAAAGATGAGGTTTAACACGCCAGACAAATAATGCTACTTCACCTACGAAAGAAGTTTGAACAAGTACATACCTTCATTATGGCTAGGGGGTGGAGCTAGGGCCAAGAACTTATGCATGTTATATTTCACCTCTCTCTGTTCCTCCCTCCCCTCAGGACGAATATTCTCAATCTCTTCTTTCAGCCTAAAGAAAAGAAATTACACTTGAAAGAGCTTATTTAACAGTTTTTATAAAAATGACAGAGAATACGATATTTCAAGATAAAGTAAGACAAAAATTGCATTTTTCTTGGGATAATAACTGGTACCTTTTCATCAAAAGAATTCTGTCTTTCTTTACTTCTTTCTCTCGCTTTATTCTCTTATTGAGTATTCTGTCGTATTTCCGTATCTTCAATATTCCTTCCCTTATTTTGGGTTCAAGGTTATCAAGGTCACTCTCAATTTTTTTAGAGTCATCTGAAATGTAATAATAGTGCATTATAAATAAAAAAAAACATTAAACTAAAACCTCAATTTTTTTATACAAAAGTACCAAATATCTGTATCAATCAAGATAAATTAAATATTTTTAAAAAAATGAATGAAGAAACACCAACAGATATGTGTTTGGGTGAATGTACATGTCTACTGTTAGTCCAATAACTCCAATTCTCCACTTACAGATCAATTTGAACATCCATACAGAATTTAATATGTTGTATTATTCACATCTGATGTAAAAGTACTAACCTTCAGGTTTCTCCTTAATTGAATATTGAGCTAGCTCCTCTTTCATTTCTCCCTTGACTTGATTCTTTATCTCATCTCTTATCTGCTTGATGATATCTCTTTCCTCATCACTGTCAACATCATCATCATCATTATCACCTAAAGGCAGCCATTTTAAATGTTAATTCTTTGAAGAGTGCATTTTGTATTTCACTTACAGGATGTGGAAGATCATTTCACCTATACTTTGGACAAAAGTTGGACAAGTTGTTTGAGAGATTCCATGTAAAGATTAGGTATAGTGTCATTAGGTATATCATTTAGCTATGTTTGAATTGTAATAAAGAATGAATTTACAGATCAAATTAACTTGTCTTGTTAAAGTAGTCCTTTACATGTGTGCAATTCTAGAAAGTTGAACAAAATTGTAGGTATCATAATTCAATAATTTCCTGGGGAAAAAAACAAAATACATGTACATGTACCTCCAACTGGCAACAATTGCCGTAAGCTGTTGTATTCTTGTAGCATTTCATTGTGTTTCTCATCATCCGTCTTTGCAGAGCTGATTTGTATTCTTCCTTGTGCACCTTGTGTCATGTTCTCTTCAAAATCACTATCTAGATCACTGTTGTCTGATGATGTCAAATCTTCAACTTCAATATCAGAACCCTTAAAATATACAACTGATTACGGCATGTGTTGAAGTGAAATAAATAATAATTTTAGAAACATATTGGCTGGTGTGTCCATATACCAGGTACTATAAGCATATTGAGTGGTGGCTATAATTAATGACAGTTTGTATACATAAAATTATTACCAATAGCCTATACTTGTGAACAGTTTGATATAGAGAAATATACAGCGTGACTAACTCAAACAGAAACACATCAATGAATAATTGATTAACATTGTTGAGCCCTAATTGATATATCAAAATGGTTCTTGAAGAAATTGGTACAATATCAACAACACTGTAAAAAAATACAATATTTTGCTCTCATCATACCATGTCTTGCCTATTTTCTAAAAAATAAATGATATTATCACCATGGACTTCAAAAGAAATTGCAGTTTCATTTGTCCAAAAATTGTAAACAAAAAGATGAATGGACAAGTAGGTAATTCACCCTCCACAAATTTTCTGTAAAATTTACATTGGTATATGGTACATTCTAAGCATTTCAAACTATAATTTGTTAATGTATTTATAATTAATTTTACAAGATTGCTTTTTTCTCTTTTTCTTTTTTTGTGGGGTCGCACATCGCACACATCCAATATTCTACACTCTCTATCTCTTATAATTCATTTAAAAATTTAATATAGCAATAGTCAACATTATAGAAGAATACAATATTGATCATGACAATCATTGAATTTATGAGAGAACTATTCATCAATATTCCACATTGCCTACCTTTGAAATCCCACGATATTACTGTACAATAAGAGGACAAAAATTTGAAAGAGGATGGAAATTCATCCTTTTCAGGAAATTATGACTAACAACATACATGTACCTCTTCATTTCCATAATTGTCAGGAGGTAACACTTCTATGGACTGGTAATTATTAAGACTCCTTCTGTTGATGTCTGGAGTTTCATTAAGAGATGCTCTACTACCAGTCCTTGATGTGTTTCTAGGGGGCCTAGCAATATCAGCCAATATTCCAGGTTCAATGTCCATCCTATTGGTTGGCTTCGGCATTATGGATGAATCCTAAAATGATAATTATGAGCATATATTAGAGAAAGGAACCATCATTTACATGAAGACTAGTTATATAATCAATTTCATAATATGTGTTTACTGATTTAAACTCCCAGGGCAGTGTTGCAAAGTTGTAGTCTTTCATAAAGTCTTCAACATACATGCCCATTGTCCATGTATACATTTGCAGTTGGCAAATCAGATGAAGCTCCTGTCATTTCAAGCAATTCTATGGGGAACATTATCAGAAAAATTCAAAAGAATCTTTTTGGTGATCTTTTCACTATTTTTCAGTCACATTTTCAGAGGGCTGAAAAGGGTCATTTTAAGGGTCATTCTGACAATGATCATTGTGATCCTGGTCATATAAATGATATTTGGGTCCTTGAGAGACGAGAGTATGAATAGTAAAACTGACTGAAGGTCAAAAAGCAGAACTCTGTTATCTATTAAAAAAATTAAAAAGTCCACATGTTCATTTCCTGTTTGGTGTAAATTTCTAATAACTACTCCGAGACTTACTTCCTGCGAAAGCTATTTGGATTTTGATATAATAGCTTTCCCACGGAGCATTTGGACAGCTCAATGATCGTGACCTTTGAAATCGAATTAAGTCGATCCGCGGCTTACTTTTGGTCTCTAACTGTGTCACACATCAGTATCATCAATCCGTGTAAGTATTGGAGCGCTGGAGTACTTCTTTTTCGATCAAGACTTGTAATTGTTAGTCGAGTGAATGGTTTTACTGCCAAATTCCAATATGGCGGTTTCTGCTCGGACATTTTCGTAAATCTCCGGAGGTTGTCCGAACCTAACTAATTCTCAAAATTCATTTCGTTCGTTGCGTATCTCGCACCTAGCAAACCGCCATATTGGAAATAGGTCTGTAAAACTTTAACTCGATGAACAATTTACAAGTCTTGATCGAAAAAGAAGTACTCCAGCGCTCCAATACTTACACGGATTGATGATACTGATGTAAGACACAGTTAGAGACCAAAAGTAAGCCGCGGATCGACTTAATTCAATTTCAAAGGTCACTATTGATCAGCTGTTCACTTCTCCGTTTGAGAGCCATAAGTTTCAAAATCTAACATGGCTCTCGAAGTGAGTAACCCGAGACCTTACAATAGAAGACTTGCTGGTATGAAATTCAGACGAAACAATGCAATATTTCACCATGGGATGCTTCAATTAATACAATTTCTATCATCACAAATATTTTTTGAATAGGTCTAATAAAAAAATGATTATTATTTATACCGTATATAACAGTTTTCTTGAATACATGGCACGTAAAATAACTTCTGACAGCTAGCCTACATGTACAGTATGTTTTTGATTTTACCTCTGCAAATGTCAATGTAAAATGTTTATTGGGGTAAAGACTACATAAGTAAAGCAATGCAAATATTTATGAATCAAAATTAGGATTATAGGAACACAAAAAAATACATATAATAGATGATACATTTATAGTTGACATAATTGCTGGGCAACACAAGAATTTTTTGATTTTTTACAATTTGTATATCATTTTAAGTCACAACAGGAAGGGCTAAAACATTTGCAAACGGGTGCAATACAAAGGATCTAACGGTATATATCATATATCGTATCTTATAAGTAAAATAACTTACATGTAAATGCAAACATCCAGATATGAAGGAGAAATTATGAAATTTGAAAAATGTTGACCACCATCTTGGAATCTGGTGTAAACTCCAGATAAATTGCAGAATTAGCTAGAAGTGTAATATGCTGTATGTTTTACTTCAATGACAACAGATATATCTGAATGTGACATGTGATTTAGTTTCCTAAAAAATGTTAAGTAAATCTTGCTCTTGTATAATTACAAAACATATAGTCTACAAACGAAATTCAATCGCTGGTTTTCTGAAATTTTATCCGCAACATAAACCTTAGATCGGGTGTTACTAAATACCACCTAGGTGTCCCCTTGGGCACCTGGAATTCTAATTTCATTTTAAACCACGTACACATTTTAAATATAGTATTATTTCCTTTGTCATATTAACTTGACATTTAATAGGCATGAAATAATAATTTGTAGTCGAGAATATTGCAAAGAAGATTCGAAAATAAAATGTTTTATTGTTAGAAAAATAGGCACCTGGAATTTTGCTCATGTATGGTCACTTATTTGTAGTAATAAAACACTGTTTATGCTAAAGTGTGCATTTACATTTAAAATATATACATTGGTCTTACTTTAGTTGCTAAAATAGTGAATTTGTAGCATTTTATAGTGAGCAAATTATGAAATATTATCCTAACAAATGACTTTTCGACATTGATCAACATTTTTTAAGAAATTAAAAAAGATCATAACCAAACAGAAATATTTACACAAGCTCCATGAAAATACTTTATTTTGTACAATATTAACACTTGGAAAATGTTAGTTTAAAATAAAGTAGTAAAATATGCCAATAAGCCATTTCAATGGGGACACCTAGGTGTGGGGCACCTAGGTGGTATTTAGTACAACCCCTTAGATCTACCGGAAGTTGAATAAACGTGAAAATAAAAGTTGATCAGTTGATAACCTGTCCGATTATTTGGGTTTATGCATAACTGGTAAGTGAATTCACTTAAATTTACCAAAAAACATATGAAGTGATAACGTCGAAATACAACTGTATTGATTTCATAGTCAGTATTAAAAGATATAAGGTGCTAGATCTTATTCGCTTCAAATTTTTGAATTTTTTCCCTGTGCAGTGCTGGACCCACGGATCCTGAGCCAGATCCAATCCCCATTGGTGGTAGGCTCAATGAAATAATGACAGGATCGGACACGAATCGAAAAATAGATCTAGTACATCCAAAAAATTTAATCCTCGCACTGACCTTTACGTTTACCATCTCCAGTGTGTCGGATAAGCGGTCGCCATTCAACAAATGCCATCAGAAAAATATATCTGGCAAACAGTTTTGATGATGCACTTGCCATATCGGTGATCTGGGATCAAATCAGTCATGAAAACCCGAAGATATGCATATTTCTGCCAAGAAACTCACCAAGATTGAAAATCCACAACATCTGGATATTCTTTCTTGATCAATCCCAAAACGTTTTTTTTCGTGGATTCTGATTGACCGTGCTCTTGATTCCTTTATTCGAGAGTTCTGATTGGCTGAAGAATTTACGTGCGTATAAAAACTGCGCAGAAGGTGTCGCCAAATTTTTTTTTTAACTCGAACATTTCCTTCCTCATTCATCTTAATATTAGTTTAGTAAATTATAGATATTTATCGTGATGATGCAGTGAATTACAAAATGTGCCACTTTTTCCACATTTTAGTGTAAGTTATGATGAAGTACTCTATTATGCTCGCTGGCTTCTTTCGGAAATTATTTTTTATATCAGCAATACTCTACCCATAAGATGGTCTCAAGATATATCTAAGGTGTTTAGGATATTATATAAGCAACTATAACGAGACATCACTGATTGTCTGGGAGAGAAACCTTTGGCATATCTTTTATCGAAAAAAATTCTTGCACCATTGCATTGCAACGCAGCTTCAATTCTTACAAATGGTAGTTGGCTTGTACAAATTGTCAGGATCACGTGATACTATTCTTCAGGGGTTTCAATAAATATTTTTTCAACAGGCTGAAACTTATTTCACTTAAAATAACTTAGGGTAAGGTAAGTAACAGTGAATTTTATTTCTACATATTTGAACAGGCGTAATTGAGATTTGAACAGGCGTTTTCGCCACCCGCCTGTGCTTATTGAAACCCTTGTTCTTGATGAAAAATGAAATCAAAAGTGACAATTCTTAATCATCAGATAACGCAAATATTACCAACAACTATATAATTTTTGTTTTGTTATAATAGATTTATTTCTTCATTAAACATACATTTGTTTAGTACTACAGAGACTTGTTTTGGCAATACAATTAAAATGGCATCTTTAAACGAAAATTATAGGAGCTTTTTAGTATTCAAAATTAAAACATTAGTCTCTCATATTTCAAGCAGCTTTGTTTACTGGTACTGTGTTATTCTCTGAATTACTCTCCAATATAATACCCAGATATAGCTTTTCCATTCAAAGGTACTCCAAATTCCTGTATTATAAAGTCAAGTACAGTAAAAACCTGTCAGTGGTGTAGCCAGGAAGAAAAAAGTCATATTAAGTTCTATAAGTATGATAATAGCATGCCGTCTTGACATTTCAAGGTAACTTGTTCGAAAAATTATGGCGGTGATTGAAATGACATTGTAAAGATAAAAGAGCAACAAAATATTTGTAGATTTCTTTGAAAGACTAATATACATCACATGTTGAATTTTTCAAAACAGAAAAAAACATGTATAAATAGATCAATCCATGCCTTCTCTACCTTACGAGAGGTAGTGAAGGCAATTGCTCTACAACTGAACTATTGGACTGAGTAATTCTTCCACATCATAAGTGGTCAATCAAACTATAAATATTTATTGAGAATTTTGATTAAATTTCTTAAAGAATTTAAAATTCTGCGAATGCAAAAAAACTTGAAAACACATCCTTATTTGAACATTTTTGGCTTGTCCCAGTTGCCTTCGGATGAGGGAAGTTTTACTGTGCCTATAGACGAGTAATTTTACATTTTCTTATCGTATTTTCTAGCTAGGCTGCCTCATCACTGATGGTATCAAGAATATTCTAATGAGGGACTGTTGACATAATCATTCCTTGACAGATACAACTAAACGATGTCGTTACGATCGAAAAAATCTTCTGCATTTTCTGTGTTCAGAAACAAAAAGGTATTGCAAATATTTTAGCGTTACAACTCAATGACAACCATTAGCACTTGCACTCCCAGTAAAATATAAGGATTGATTTTAGGCATATTAATACTTACCTCTGTAATATGTGCATCAATAAGGATGGTTCCTCAGAAAATTCAAACTAGCTGCTTATAGTGGGAATATAAAGTGTAGTTAAACTATCCTACGTTAGATCACAAATATTGAATTGTCTTTATTTGTGCCTTTGAAACTCCACCTTTGAAATAACCTCCTAAATTGCAGTTGCAGTTTTCTAGTTAAATGAGTAAAAAGATCTTGTCATTATGACCAATGCCATTTATAAGACACCATTCTATAGAATGTTGGTCTAACATGTCAGTAAACATGAATGTATATTTTAGGGTGGGGCTTATAATATCCCAGATGAAGAAGTAAAGTCAAGCCGCTTGAAAACAAAGGCATCAAGTGCTCCAGATTTATCAAACCAACCAGTTCAGGATGAAAAGCCACCTAAACCAGAAAAGCCAAAAATGAGAATATTCAGCACACCCACTTTACGAAAAAGCAAAAATGATGACTCATCAAAGAAATCAAGTGGAAAGAAGAAATTGGAAAAAGTTGAGAAAGCTGAGTTTAAAAGAATAAAGGTATGTTGTAACTATTCTTAAAATAATTCTATTTGATTCTAATTGTTATTTGATTTAAGGTAATATTTTTGACCAATTTTGGTAATTCATATGGCTTAACGGAACACATATCAAATGAATATATTTAGTCGCTATATTGCTCAGCTAAAAAATATGCCCTTGCAGGCAAAATGACTTAACTTTGGATTATTTCTAGTTTTCTGGGAATGTTTAATATGAGAATTGGCTGTTTCAGCCCTGTTCACAATTACAATATCTAATGATATATAATTTGTTTCCAGAAAGCCTTGAAAGATGCAGAACGTAAAGGTTCATTCTCCAAGATGAACACAAGGGCTTTCCTTCCCGATTCTGCGCTCCAAAGCCCTTTATCCAGTATAAATGGCAGTTTAAAGAAACGAGTGACGTTCAATGATGAATCTGGCATAGTAGGAAATAAACCAAGAAGCAGACCTCCTATTACTGCAGGTAAATCACTAAATGTAGATATTGGAGTCAGTTTTCAAGGAAAGAAAGTCTAATGACATACCCTGTGAGTATTGAAATACAGTATAATGAAATCACTTGATCCAAAAATTAAGTGTGCCTTAGAGACATTCAAATAAGCAAAGTAGGAGAAAGTCAGATATTATAATTGTTCTGGAACTGGAATGAACTGGGAAAGTTAAAGTTAAAGTCTCTTCCTTCCTTAGTATTTCCAGATGCAGAGAATGGATTCGATGAAACTGATGATGTCACAAATGATGCCCCAGAGAGGCCCCCAAGACCTGGTAGTAAACACAATTTAGCTGAAAATGCCAAGGAAGCCCCACCAATTCCACCAAAAAAGCGTAGAAGAAGCAATGAGAAAAGAGAGGGTGATGGTGACACCAGTACCATGACTCTGACGGTATGAAGGAATTTTGTAATATTTGTAGAATTGATAGATTCTTAGTAAAATAATATCCTGAATTGGAATTGTACTTATACTTTTTATATTTACTTTTTTTGTCAAAAAATCTCATCAAAATGTTTTCCCATGTAAAAACATATACACATTGCTAGATAAAACACTTATATATTAATAATGGTCAAATGTCTGACATCTATTTGCAGGACTTAGAACCATTACCCAAATCAGGCGCCCCCTATATGTATGACAGTACACACGAGGCTAAAAAGCTGTTTGAATGTATGATTCATCCAGTCAAGGTTGATAAATTTTTCAGGTGAGACAGAGTTGTAATTTGTCCACATTTTCAGACCAACTTCATATGTATAATATTTACATGGCAAACATTTATTTACATTTAGTGAACTATGGGAACAGAAACCTCTGCTGGTAAAACGACACATGAAGAGTTATAATGATGGCTGGTTCAGCACAGCTGAGCTTGAGAAAATATTAAAAGAGGTGAGACTGACATTGAAGCTATATGAAGCTAAATATCTAGAGAGAGCTGTTATTGAAGCTATCAAATACAGATTAACATTTTAAATATTTTTAATTGAATTACAATTAGCACAATAATGTTTTTTAGTTCAGCTCAAGCAAAATAATGTCATGAATTGTTGTTATCATTCATAATATTCACATTATTATTTTACATGGTAGTTATTCCATACAATATAATATTCATGTTATATGTGATTCAGTTTGATATCATATTGATTGATTTCATGTATTTCCATGATTATAGCACAAATTACAATTTACAACACAAATCGGCTATGATATCTTAACATTTATTCTTTAATTTTAGGAAGATATTCAATTTGGTAGAAACATAGATGTCACCACATACACCAATGGCAAGAGAGAGACACACAACCCACATGGTAAAGCCTATGCCCCTATTGTATGGGACTACTACCAGGTATGTAGTTTGATGAGGGTTTTCAACACATATTTCATGGTTATTGCCAGTACATGTAGTTTAATTGTGACAAGTTGCTGAAATAATTGCTGATTCTTTATCATGCAATATATCTGACTGAAATTATTAGAGAAGGGTCGGTTACGGTTCGGTTCGATTAACCGCGGTTTTTGGCCTCACGGTTCTACTTGGACCGTCTGATCACCAAGAACCGAGTCCAAAACGGTTCCATCATTCCCGGGGAAATACTTTATTTTCGTGCAGTGTAACATGAATACGAAATTTTTGCGCAAATAATTACAGCTCTATTTCATCTAAATAGCGAATGAAAGTACCATTTAAACGACAATTGAACAACTTTAAACGATCCATACGGTAATAAAATCGTTTCCTTGGATATTTCATTGTTCTTCCACGTCTTGAGGGAACATAATTCTACTTGCCAGCGTGAATTTATTTCGCGCGGAAACACTTGTGTTTTAAAAATGGCGGACAGTTTTCGAAGTCGGCAAAGAGCTAGTATAGAGCTATAATAGAGCCTTTTCCCGCGATGCCTAAGTTGGATGCTTGGAAGTATTCGGTTTCTACGATGAGAATACGTCTACCCTATGTCGGTTGTGCAACACGACATTGAAATACGCTGCAGGTTTCCAATTTTTGTGATAGAAACTTTTTGTAAATTTTTTTAATTTTAAAAATTAAGACTTCGATCTTTATTAGACTTCAATTCATTCCCTATCTTGTAACTGCCTCCTATTACCCACTCATAGTAACATTTTTTATGACTGATATATACACTTTTTCATGTGTCCTACCTCAGGTCCCAAGTCAGGTTGAGAATTTGGGTAAACACCCCCTAGCCCACTGCACTGTTATTCCCAACTGAAGGACATCTGTGCTATCCATATAATTTTAGTTTTCAGGAAACACACTGTCTGCCATGAGGAAACATATTGAAAGGTCTTACCCAACCAGACCCAGTTTAAAAAGGAATCCCTCCCATCTAACACGGGGCAAGCAACTTGTTGATAGCCACATACAAATAGTTCAATTCTAGTTATTTAATTCCATAAATATTCAATGATTATCAGCTATCATCATTCCATATTGATCATTTATAAGATTGAAAATAAAATTATATCCCCTAATAATACAAAATAAAAGTGAAACACCTTTTTATGTTGCCATATTTGTGGCACCAATTGCAATTTATGAGGCCCACCTTATTAAGTATATGATTTAAGAACCGACCGAACCGAGAGACAAGAACCGAGAATCGTACCGAACCGAACCGAACCGTGACCGACCCTTCTCTAGAAATTATATTATCCTGCTTGTTGTTGGATCCAGATCTCAAAAATGAAAACAGTCCACTGAATGTACAACTAGATTTTTGTGTCACTACCAAGAAGTGGTCGCATAATTACTATACATGTTATAGCCACTATTTTGAATGGTATTCAACATTGGTGTTGGCATCTGTAAACAAATGGTTATACTTTTGTAATTGTAATAAGGTGGTGACATTTTGCCAGGTTAATTTCTTGTTTAAAAATTATCATTAAGTGAGGGGACTTTTGGGTCAAACTTACTTTAAGATTTTACTGGTATGACTCCATAAGTTGTTATAACTCCATAATTTTGGGAACGAATCTGAGTTTATTATGATATGGACCTGACTAGCTCAACCCAACTTCAATGACAATGTATTTACAATTTGCTTTCAGAATGGCTGTTCTGTGAGGTTCCTTAACCCTCAGACCTACTCTAGAAATGTCTGGAAGCTTCTCTCCACATTACAGGAATACTTTGGTAGTTGTGTTGGTGCTAACATGTAAGTTTTACACTTCTTTTCTGATGAGTTGATAAAGGTGGAGACTGACTAATGATAATTTAGAAATTTACAAAAATTAAGAATTGCTATCTTGTATTTGTTTGAGAAATCTTTTGTAAGGCCAGACTGCCATAATAATTTATTTGTCTGTTTGGAAGTGCATGGTGGGTTTCCTATAAACCTTAATTGATTTGGGGATGCTTTTTCCATTTTGGCATATCTTTTCACAATTTTAGAGCAAATATAGGAGGAAAAAACTGGTCACAAGGTTATATTTCCAGAAATATTTCTGCTTAACTGACAATTTACCTGTGTAATGGCCTGAAATGTAAAAAAGTGTAAAATACCAGATTACAGTCATTAGCTTTATAACTTAATATTTATTTACCTGAAATAATTGCAGCTATCTGACACCCCCTGGATCTCAAGGTTTTGCCCCCCATTGGGATGACATTGAGGCATTCATTCTACAACTTGAAGGAAGGAAGCATTGGCGCCTCTATAGTCCAAGGTTAGAACAATCAGCATAGATCAGTTTTATTAGTTTTAAATGACTTTTGACCTGGGGTAGAAGTATTTCTTCATTCTTACCATTTATAAACTTATATTCAAGTACAAAGTACATTACGTTCTTAATTTTCTTAATCTTAGACACTGTAATGTTGTCGTCTGGACATTTGACATTTCTTAAACTGAGAGCATGTATCAGGCTATACATATTTCTCTGATTTTAGAAGTGACAATGAAAACCTACCTCGTGAGTCAAGTGGCAACTTCCAAGACACTGATCTGGGAGAGAGCATACTGGACATTGAACTGGAGGCTGGGGATCTCTTATATTTCCCCAGAGGTATAATTCATCAGGTAGGAAACATTCTCCACATAGATATGTTTAGTAAAATTGCAGATTGTTTTATATTTCATGCTTGTATCCATACACTGTATTGAATATTCTTAGTCATTTGAAATACCATAATGGATCAAGATTGATTGTGTCGTGAAATTTGGAAGTCAGTTTGGCAAAAATCATTGCTTCTTTTGAACTTTAATGTTCTAAATACTCAGACATTATACTGTATCAGAAAATTGTGTGGATGCCCACTCCATGCTATATTAATATAACATTATACACTGCATTTGTAACATTTCAGATAACAATATTTGGAACAAAAAGCCATTGCATTTGTACTTTTCTAGGATATCAATATCCTAGTCTTTATTGGCTTTTCTATAGTATTGTACCTACCTGTATGTACATTCTTATTTCAGGCTGACACACCAAATGATACCCACTCCTTACATATCACAGTGTCAACTTATCAGAAAAATAGTTGGGGTGATCTACTACAAACGGTTAGTAAAAATTGCCAGTTCAAAAACAGATATGCAGTAAATAACACCTTTTTTACCTCAAAATAGATAAATTATACACTAACTTTATTATAAAAGAGACATTTGAATAGGTCCACTTGTGAGTTTTCAATAGTCAATTTGATTGATTTATTTGAATATAAGGCACAAATATAGCGCATATATGCATACTAGATAGTAGATCGCATAAAACATTCAGTTATTTTGAACATAGTATTCAAAATTGCTCAGCCTCTTCAAATAAAAATTTACATCAGCCTGACTTTATTTTTCCAGTTAGTGCCTCGTGCATTAAGTATAGCTATGGAAGAGGATGTAGAGTTCAGGAAAGGCTTACCAAGGGATTACCTGAACTACATGGGAATAGCTAATGCTGATTCAGTAAGTAGGAATTATAACATACCTATGATGATGTATAGTGCAAAGTGTACACAAGACAGTGGGCCAATATAAGTTTTGAAAAGCCCGCGCCCGCTAACTTTCTGATTGGTCAATGCCCTCGGTTTTCAGAGATCAATGTCCCTCCCAAGGTCAGGCCATATATCACTGAGACCTCGGGCATATATGCCACGATAGTGACATAACCTCTAATTCTAGGACTCTTGACAACTGTACCTAAGCCTTGATCTACAGTACGGGTATTTTACACATTATTATCCCATCGAACGAAGTTCAGAGGGATATAGGGAACGCCTCCGTCCGTCCGTCCGGGCAATAACTCAAATACTGTTGGCCAGATTTTGTTCATATTTTGTACACATATACCCTATGGGGTTAGAAGTTCTGCTCGAAAGCCGATTTTCAAAATGGCCGCTCATTTCAAAATGGCGGCCATTTTAGTGACGATTTTACAGTAATTTAGGTGCAATATGTAAACTGTAATAGCAATATGTTTTAAATGTAAAAAAATTATAAAGGACGTTAATAATGCTACAAATGTAGATATTAAAGAAGCACATGGCAGCCATCTTGAAAAATGGCGGCCTTTACTCGTTATTTTACCATTTTTGCTGTAACTCGAAAAGTAGTGGAGCGATTTTGTTCATATTTGGTATGTGGATACTATAAGCATTGCACACTGTCTAAAGACACTTTTGGTAGAAGGTGGCCGCCATTTTAACGTTTTTACTATAACTCGAAAAGTAGTGGAGCGATTTTGTTCATATTTGGTATGTGAATACTATAAGCATGGCACACTGTCCTATGACACTTTTGGTAGAAGGCGGCCATTTTGAAAACAATTTTGAAAAATGGCCGCCATTTTAACGTATTTTACTATAACTCGAAAAGTAGTGGAGCGATTTTGTTCATAATTGATATGTGAATACTTTAAGCATGGCACATTGTCTAATAAAACTTTAGGGAGTAGTCGGCCATTTTGAAAAATGGCCACCATTTTTATCTGTGTTATTTTACAAGCATGTGTGCGATTTTTCAAAAATTTTAGAGGTGGCTACTTAAAAGCATATTATTTCTTCTGATGACAACTTGGCTAGTGAGCAACCATTTTGAAAATGGTGGCCTTTCTGGTGTGTTGTTTTATGATATTTGCGCTTCGTTTGTAAAAATGCCAGCCATTTCTGTTCGATGGGATTCGCTACGCTTTGGCGTTGCCGTTGTTCTGGTTGCAATATGTTTTTGTGGCCATTTCATTTACCACTTTATTTTTCTTTGCTTTTTCAATTTTTTGTTGTTCTCGCAATGCAGTATGGCCTTTATTCCATGTTGCCATTAATATTATTTTACTTTGTACATGTATTCCATTCTATTAAACCATTCAATGTTCAATTACTCATATTAGGAGCACCCAGAGAGGAAGGCATTTTTACGCAAGATGGAAACATTGATGTCTAAACTACTCTCTCATGCACCAGTAGACTCTGCGTGTGACCAGATGGGCAGACGTTTCATACACGAAAGCTTACCCCCTGTTCTCACTGAAGGTAAATTGAGATCTTCTTTCTTATTAGTAATCTGACAGTCCTTGAAAATTGAAAGAACTTGTTGAATCTGTTGGTTACCTTTATATGTTTCTGTATGCTTGATTTAAATTAATAAACAATAATAATCAAATGTTCTATTTTTTACTAGCATAGTTTTTGTACTATTTTTGGGATTTTCCTTATTTGTACCAAAATACATTTCATTGTTTTATTTGTAGCATCTATGTTAATGCCTGCATATTATGAAGCAATGCTATCTTGCATTACAGGTGAGAAATCATGCAGTATCCAAGGTAACGGAGACAGGTGGGATGAAGAGAGACATACGATTGTCAACTCTGTAGAGCTAGAACCAGACACTCCTGTTAAAATAATTAGAAAAGGTGCTCTCAGGTAGGCTACTTATTTATATCAGTGTTTGCAATTTAGAACCAAAATACTGCCAATCCATAATTCAAACAATATCAGATTGTGCAGTGAGATTAAAACAGGAAGTCACATCCACTTCCCTTTACTAGAATTTCCCTAAGAGTATGACCTTGAGTATGTCAGTTCAGAAACTGTTTTAAAAGTTTTGTATGATAAAGTCCGTAAGGGATAATGTCTAGTCTATTGTTCAGACCACCGCACTTTTATATGGCACTTTAAATTCACTTATGTACAAGTATATAGTATTCATGCCATGAAATAAGCTAATGTCTTTTCACCAGGTTGGTGTCAGAAGAGGAGAATGTTCTCATTTACCACACGTTAGAGAATGCAAGAGTTCACCATGGGGCTGAGCCCCAAATGATTGAAATCACCCCTGAGGTAAGACACGGAGATTTGAAGTGATAAATGTAGTTTATTGTAGTGTAGTGTAGTGCAATATAGTGAGAGACCTTTTGAGTAAAAGATTCCATCTGTTTTTGAGAGTTTGACTGTTTGGGATATTTGAAGTTTCATTTAGCTTCAAATGGAAAGTGTAAAATTTAAGACGCAATATTTTTGAAATACATGATGACTTGTCAGTTGCAGTTACCAAAAGTATCTAAAGAATGATTTGCGTTTTCTGATCAAATGTGGAAGTAATTGATGGTTTAAGATATACATTGGTTCGAAACTATTTTTTGACCATTTAGAACAAAGCACAATCAGAAATGCTGTCAGTGAAAAATATTAAAACGTTACCCACTATATCTTGTCTTTCATTTTGTGGAGTTGTTGCAAAAGCACTGAGAATGCTTCAGTGTATATTAATATTTCTCACAAGTTATCCACGAAATTTTGTTCTATTTATAGGTGGCTCCAGCTGTTGAATATCTGATTCAAACATATCCTGAATACACAACAATAGACAACCTTCCATGTAACACTCTACAGGAAAAGGTAAGTGAAGTTAATGTCCATATAGTGCAAAAAGCATGTGCACACTGTAGTGTCAACTGCTTGTCAGATGTTGTACACAATTTGTGTTACAAGTAAAAGCTTGTGGCATTTTATTTCCTGAGCTGATGTTTAGGAAACAAGATGAACTTTTCTTATTTGTTCTTGCTCATCAAAAACTATAACATGTTTATTAAGGGCAGTGGAGTAATGCTTGACCTGAATGACAAACTTGAGGCAGTTCATCCCTGCCGTGTGTGGGGTGAATACATTTTCCAGTTGTTGTGTAGTGATGACATTGCTTTTACAACTAGATGTACATTGTCTATGAATGAGGACATTAAGTTGATACCTGTAGTTTTATGTGTACATGTGTACATTGCCATATCATTTTTTGGAGAAAGTTATAAAGATATATGTACCTTGATTGTATTTAATTCCATATGAAAATACATTTATTCAAATTCAAAATCTATTGACATTCAAATATTTTTTGTTTTCCAGATGGACATCTCATCACTGCTTTATGACAAAGGACTTATAATAACTGAAGACCCCTTAGTACCTGATGATGAAGTATCTGACATAGAAGGGGATTAGGCATGAATTAAACATTGAATATTTCTTGTAAAATAAAGTGCTAACCCTGTGTGTTCTTGTCATGAGAAGAATAGTCTCATTTACAGTGTATTCTTGTCATGACTAAAAATGATTGGTGCAAAATATGAATCGATACTGTATCAGTGCATTTCATTATGGATAGTAAAGTATTTTGTTTCTTCAAAGGAAGAGGGTCATTGTTGTATTATTATGAATGAGTCTGAATCATAAACTGTGCTTTTGTTGTACTGCAAGTAGGCCTGTTGATACACTTTATGCGGTGTAGCTTTAATGATGTACAGTTGAAGAATGTACAGTAAAACTAAAACTAAAAAATTCTTAAAATTGAATAAGGTATGTTTTAGAAAAAATGTGACTCTAACCCCCCATAGGAGGAAAGTTAGAGCTGGTCAAAGTAACTGAAATACCCAAAATGTCAGTCGTTTTGACTTGAAGTGATAAACCCCTATCTTCTTAGAATATGAATTTCTTCATCAATAATGACTCAATATACATGAAGTTAATAAGTAAGCTCAAAGTACTGGGAATTGAATAAGCTTTCCAATGATACCTCCTATGATTCATTGTTTCAGAGATGATAGGGGGTAGATCTCCCCCCCCCCCCCCATGGGTGTCATTCTCTTAGCCTGACCGTTTAAGGCATAACACGGCAGTCTATGGATTACTCAAATGTTACACTGAAAGATGTTTGGCTATAAAGTGTTCACTGTAGAGAGATGTTAATATGTGTTTTACTATATACAAACTGAGGTAATGGTTATACTGAGCAAATAGACTGAAAATGGGACTGTGGGGTAATATTAAATCATGTATGTTCAATAATAATAGCATGCCAAATGATTAAACACCAAATGTAACTCTGTAATCAGTATGAATGTGATTCAGCATTCTAATGTCAATGAGTGCTCTTAAACCTTTCCAAATACATAATGCCATATATTTTTATGAAAATTACTTTATTTATAGATGTACCAGTACATGTATATTGCCATAGCTTAAATGAATAAAGAATATTGTATGTTATATACAATGTATATTATAGTTTTCATGTTTTGACATATGGATGAGATTATATTGGAATATATGAACCAGAGAGAAAATACTGCAATGGTCTTTGGGACATGTTTATAGATGGCAGCTCACACTCGTCACAATTTGTTGTATTCGGTTACATTTTGCAAACCCAACATCAAGAAAACATCAACTTTGTGACATTAAAAACAATGTAATAATGTTATTATCTAGATCCCATATATAATTTCTTTGGTATCATCAAAGTCCATGTATTTTTTCAAAATGTTTGAAGCAATAGAGTTATAAAAGGATATTGCCCAGTATGGTTTGATGCACATTCAATATTGTAATTCTGGCGCTATAAAGTGAAGTGAAAAATAGTCGTAGTTAGAAATGCTGTCATGTCAGACAAAATCTGTTCCAAAAATCAGTCTAAGATAACACAATTAGTTCCCATAAGCTCTATTGGTTTACCCATTGAAACATTCCAAATGCTTAATTGTTTTTGTTTTCTTTACTGTCATATCTATGTTTGAATTCAAAGTAGGAGATGTAGCCATCATCATTGACATCACTCTGTTTTAACACTGTGTCCACTAGTACTGAAACAAACATGTAGACTTCAGTTAATGTTTAACAAGTGGGGGAAAACTTCACAGATAATAAAACGCCAAGAACTTCTATTCCAGGAATAAATTCAGGAAGAATTGACAGAATAGTATTTCTCTAAGTCCCACGTATTACTAATGCTATGAATGTATTACCATTTTACATGCTTTGAACGCATTCTATACACAAACATGATTCAGGAGATTCCATCATGTTTGAGAAAGGTATTTAAAAATAACTGGATTACTAGTCACCATGTCTTATGTGACATTCAGGATGAATTAGATAGAATACGATTGATCGATAAGGAATTTTGTAGAATAATCAAAATATCTCCAAAGATCATTCCCTGAAAATTTCATAGAAAAACATCAAATATTGATAAAGTTCGAGCAAATAGTGTATTATTTCTGGGACAACCCTCGTATACTTAATACCAAGTACATGTACCTTCTATTTGTTTGACATATTGGTCTTTAGCATGGTTTATATCAATTGCAATCTGTTCCTGTGATTTCCCCTCTAGGTTTGCTGGTTTGAAGTTGGCAGGATCATATGGCATCATATGAGCAATTGCTTGGTAGATCTCAATACCATCAAGTGTGTTGCTGTCGTCGGAATCATGCTGCCTGAAATATCAATTCCAAATTGATAGAGTTTGTTACAATTAGCTTCACTTGAAGATTTTTGGATTATAGATCAGACTGTATCAAAAATAAATTGGCTGACTCATTATTTTTATAATTTATTTTTCCTATCACTCCTTTTGTAGACTTAACAAAAATGTGCTAACTTACATAGATGTATTGTGAAATTCATAAAAAGTCAGTCCTACTTGAAATAATGAAATTCTTTTTCTTCATCTGTCATGGTTTCAGGATCAACTTTGACCTGCCCTTCATAGTGTTCCTGTATGTGACTGAAAAATATTTATACAATGATCAAAAAATGATTAAAATGTTATTTTGTACGCCAATGAATCAATCGTCATCAACAGATAACATCACAAAAGGCAACATTTAAGTTACATACACAAATTACAAAACAACCCAAATATTTGTACCAATACTTCAATACTAGAATAATGGATATGTTACAAGTGAAAAGTTGAATTTATAGACTTAAAGAGTAGTTTGTCAATCTGAAATTGTGAAGTTTCTGGTTCTTTTATTCAATCACCAATAACACCCTCCAAGTCATGCTTATCTAAAAACTCTCAAATTTTTGAATTTTTTCCAAGATTGTCATTCGATTTTTATTTCATCCAAACAATCAATAACTTCTATATGTGATCAGACGTGAATTTCAGAAGACAAAAGTAGGATTGTAAGGACCCAGTGAACAATCTTATTTTTTCTATTCAATTTATTTCATGATTTCTTATAATAACCGTGTGTCTCACAGTGTTGAGGTGGACCACGTGCATTGCTAACATATCCTTATAGTCATCCTTCCTTAATTAGATTAATTCCTACTTACTGTCCATCGTGCATTGTGTCTGGGTCTTTGAATGATTTGAATGTATTTGCATGAGTCAAGGTTGCTATGGTCAGGAACAGAACCATGCTATGAACCACAGTCAGCTCAAACCTGCAGAGTGTTTAAAAACATGTAAAACACGGTCAACTGTGGGGAGTATAATATATAATTGTTGACATATTTAGGAACTCTTTTTACTTGTTCAAAGTCAACAAAGAAGGTGCCAAATTCAAACAATGGAAAGGTTCAGCTTCTTTTCTTGAATTCCTAAAACTTGATTTTCATTGACTGATGCATCTATCCTTTATGATTTTTAATATGCTTTATTCACATACTACGCTGACATAATATTTTTTACTTTTATTTACATAAAGGAAGATTGATGGCACAAGTTATAGGTTGTTTTATCTATTTTTTATTATTTAAAGTGCAGATTTAGATATTGCATGGGAGACTGAGCCTCGTTAGAGTGGTAGCAAAGAATAGAGAAGTAAATGTTGGAAATCTGCATGCCAATTATAGTGAATCTATAAAAACGTCAACACTTTATTTCATATTGAAATACTTGTAAAGAGCTTGAATGAAAAATGTTTTGCATCACTTACTTTTTATATAGCTGCATCATAAAATGTGGTGTTAATTGTTGAATATATGAAGATGTGTTAATTAGCATGTGTTTATAGTACAGGAGACATCTTTTATCTTATCAGAGATATCATCTTCAGTCCACATTCATATCTACTGTTACATGCAACGCTGTAGATAATAGAGTGATATTTCATGGACATTTTTGTATTGTTATTATACTTTTGTTTTACTATTGTATATTATGAGCATGTTGGAATCTAAAAGGATTGAATTTGATTGCAGTAAATGTGACGAATTACAAATTGTCATTCAAATATTTAATCTGAAGGAAAAATCATTTTGAATTTAGATTACATTTGTATTTATTCATGTAATCTATTTGAAAGTTAAAGTAATGAAAATCATGATAAGTATTTTATTTCATAAGATGTTTATGTCACAATTTAGATTGATCAGTGTACCAATAATATGGGATATAAAATCTAAGCCTCTAATTTGAGAGATGATGGATACTTTATTAGTGTACATATGGCTCCTTATTAGCGACCTCATCTTTTTCTAGTTTAGTTCATTTTTATTTACATACGATGACAACATGCGAGGTAAAGTTAACTTCTACCGAGGATCAAGATCAAAATATTTCTAAAAATACAGTAAAACTTGTGTATATACATATTGTGTCGAGAAAAAACGTTCAGTGTTGATAGGTGTTCACTACAGATGATTCATACAGTAGTCAATAGAGAATGTGTGGAGGAAGGGTGTCCATTAGATACAGATGTTCACTAGAGGGGGGTATTTATACAGATTGCAGAAGTCAGTAGAGTGTGTGCGGAGGAAGGGTGTCCACAAGAGACAGGTGTTCACTCGAGAAGGGTGTTCACTAAAACGAGTTTTACTGGACAATAGTTAGGTCTATAGTGGATTGTTGGAACACAAGTGAGAGTGCAAGAGTAGAATCTGATAGACTAATCACATATTCAATAGATAAGATGAGATGAAATTAATGTTTTGTTAAAGTGTTGCCTAACATTTATAACAAAAACAAACCAACAGACTTTACAAAATTAAATGTCACGATTCTGCATTCATGTACATTTGACTTCATTTATAGTATTCCCTGGGAAATAACAGGTGTTTTGGGTTAACTACACTTTTATCAAACATTCAAGTATTTTATTACATATTTTTACTGTTTATTCATGAACACTGACTTAGCCACATGTACCACAATAAGTTCTGTGGAAATTAAGTTTAATTTTACAGTTGTGTATAGACAAAGGAGATAGTTTGGAGTGTAATAATTATCGTGTCAAAATGCTGTTTTACATTGGCATATATTTTGGATTACTGTCTGTTGATGCTGTATATGGAATTGATTATGAAAAGAATCTTGGTGATCTAAACATTGAGGATGAGGAGTAAGCGCATTTTCATCTTAAGGTGGGCTAAGTAGGGTGGTCTGTAGCTCAGTTTACAAATTGTAAAAAGTCCAACTCGGGGGTTCTCACTCTACTCTACTTCATCCTTAAAGATTTACATGTAGAGAACAAGATTTGCAGATAGAACAAGAGTCAATTTGAGAACCATTTGCCTTATACAATTGTACAAATTCATTGTACATGTTTCATAATATTAATTTGTGAAAAACTGTTCCATTTGATGGGATTCAATGGAAACCTTTTGATATATTATATATTCGGGGCAGTATAGCAAATGTAGGGATAATTTCAAACATTTGTTTCAAACTTTCTCACCCCCTCTATCAATGCTGATTCTACTCAAAACATATACAATTAATTTTCAGATTTATGTTTGTAAACGATATATTCTATTTCTTATCAATACAACTTAAGAATATTTTGCAACTCAGTTTTGTCCCATAAATATGCAGGATTTCAAATATCTATAAGAAGAATCGGTGCCCCATGAATTTCTCTTCTCTGCGTTACAAATTACATATACATGTACCTTTGTATTTGTACGCATAGATTTAGATTTATCAAAAAAACTAGGCTAATCTATTATCTAAATATTGAACTTGTTTATTCTTTTCCAGCCATATACAGGAACATTTAAAGGGAAAAGCAAAGATCGACTACAGAAATATGTCTGAAAAAGAAAAAGCATTTTATTTCTTCAAGTAAGGAATTCGAACATCCATGAGCTAGTGATTGGCCACTTCAACACACTGTTGGATTGATTGGCAAAATTGTCAATGATATTCTACTCGCAACGCATTATTTGTTCAGTTCTTATTGATATATAGAGGTTCAAGTTTTGTAACATAGCTATGGCATGGCACGATGATTCAAAGAGTTCTATGGTTCTTCATTAAAGCAGAAATGCCGCAATTTTTAGGAACCATGACTTAGACGACGATAACAAGCTGGATGGCTTGGAAGTATTCTCTGCATTTGCCCATACAATGCCTAACCTGGAATTCCCAACGAGATGGAAGGGGCAAACTGAGGAAGACATGATTCAAGAAAAACGAGAGGTTAGCGAGAGGCGGACAAACAATCTAGCTAGTAAGCAACTCTATTTAGATTCCTTAAAAGTCAATGTCACGTTATTACTAGAGATTCATCTGAAATATCAACAGTTTTATCAGTACTGTGTTTCTAAAGGATATTTTACCAATTTACAATTACTGACGAACAAAATGTATTTCATCTGACTCCCTCTGTACTGTATGTACTTGTTTCAAACTGAGATGATATCTAATGCTATTTTCATAATATCTTTCTTGTATTTACAGGACAAGTGGACAGATTGCTTGAAAAGGGAGATCAAGATGATGATGGATACCTTACTTACTCAGAATATTCTGTATTATATTTAGCCAAAATAGCTGGAAAATTAAATCTTGTATAAGTATAGAGATTGCTACGTTGATCATTTTAATTTTCGACGTGGTTTTATATTGCCTGATAAAAAATAGGCAATAGCCCTAAGGTCTAAAAGGTCTCCCAAATTATAAAGGACAAGTCTCGGTTTGGAGAACAATCTTCTGGGTAAATAATTTTTTATGAAAAATATAGAAAAATCACCCAAATGAAATTATGAATATTCAAAACAGGACATTTAAATCTACAATATGTAAAAATTTCGAAATTGTCCAAAACAGGCGTAACGTGCAGTAGACTGATGAAATTCGTTCTCCAAACCGAGACTAGTCTTTTAATTTGTTTGTGTTGATTTACCAACAGAGTATGACCCGGTGCCTTCGTTCGACTTGATTTCTTTTAAAGAGAGCTTTGTCTTCATAACTAGACTAATTGTCCATTTCCAGTTTCATGTTTTAGTCATTAGATAGTGTCTCAGTCTGATAGTGGTTATGGTAAAACTATTTGCATTAAAACATTTTCACCCAGGTACTTTTTTGAGGAATTTCATAAAAAAATAATTTTCACTTAAAGCGCTATAGCCATACTTGGTCTTTATCTTATGCACGGATCAAATGCCTGATGTCATCCGTTGTTTTTGTATGATTTCATGGCTGTTTTGATCTTTCCAGCTATGTTATTAAGCTGGGTAGATAAGCGTGTGAAAAAGTTGACATTCAATTTTTTTAAAAGGAAGTGTAAAATGTCCCATGTTCGTTTTTTACACTCCGACGGGTTAGTCTTTATCCTATGACGGACTTGGGTCCTTATATATTACAAGTTTATGTCTTTTATTTATTTGGATCAAGTGTCAGAGTATTGTACCATTGTCAACCAATCGCCATGGTGTATTTAGTTCCAGTTCTTATTCTTACAGAGACTGGTGGCTTTTAGTCAGTGGCACACGTATTTTCAATGCTCAATTGCTATGGACACCACCATTATGAAAAACCATGACATCTCATTCCTTCTCAGTCCTGAGAGATGCTATGAGTATCAGAATGGGACACCATCGTCAGTCTTTAAAGTTGTAAATTATATTGTGACAGTCAGTAATGCAAGACTGTCATTTCTTGGTTTTGGGAGTTTCCTTGCCCCTTGCTTTGTCTCTGGGGAAGTATATAAGTGCCCCCACCCCCAGAAGCGTCAGTCTTGCCCCCCTCCGGTTTTTGCGTTATTTAAATGACTGGTATTGTCTATATTGTACGTTTGTGAGCACATCTTTGTATTAAGTAATTTTAGTATGCATTTAAACACTTTGATTTATATAATCTTATATATTTATTTTGTTATTTTATTATCATCATATTTGAGTCAAACCCCCTTAATTACTTTCAAAATTCATTTCCCGACAATTAACTTTCTCCAACAAACTTTAATTAGCCAACCCCTTACGCCTGCCTGCGCTGGTCTTTACAATCCGTTAGGGTGTTTCATTTTTTAAGAATGTTTCCAGATCACAACGGTCCATTTACACGGGGTTACAAGTGCACTGGTCGGTATCAAGCAAAGGTAACGGCCGTCACCTTCGCATCAAAGATGGTGGACGGAAAGTGTCGATTTCGATATTTTTAGTTTTCATCGAATTAAACTACTTCATAGTTGACATAATGTTTTGGCATTTGAACCAAGTCAGGCTTGTTTGTGACATGGGAACCATGGAATATGATAATTTGTTCACATATCATTCATGGGCGCCATAGTTCAACGATATCTCATCATCATCATCAGTATTAAGACTAGTTGGTTACTCCAGTTATTAGTCTCATCTGTTCAAACATAGTTTAGATCTGAGCTTTAGTACAAACTTTAAGGACAAAAAGGGGGGAAACCTATAGCCGGTAGTGTTGATACACCCAGTGTCTGTCCAGAGCTGTCTTGAAGACATCCAGATTTTCTGCCTGTGCCACTTCTGTAGGGAGACTGTTCCAATCATTAATGATGCGTTGACTGAATGTGTTTTTCCTTACATCTAGTCTGGACCTTTGCTTATAAAGTTTGTCCCTGTGCCCTCTGGTTGCACTGTCATGTTTGGTGAAGAATAATCCACTGTCAAGATTTTCTAAATTGTTCAGTATTTTATACACCTGGATCATATCTCCGCGTTTCCTTCTATATGCCAGGGAATAGAGTTTGAGACTACTTAGCCTTTCTTCATATGGTAGATCTTGTAAACCATTGATTAACTTGGTCGCTCTACGTTGAACTTTCTCTAGTTTGCTTATATCTGCTTGATACCTTGGACACCAGATTACATTATTATATTCCAGGTGAGGTCTGACTAGAGTCTTATACAATGGTATCAGTGTATCCTTATCTCTATATGTCAAGGTGTATCTTATGGCCCCAAGTATACTATTGGCTTTACTTGTGCATTTATCCACTTGTTTATGAAACTTAAGTTCATTATCAATTGTAACTCCCAAATCATTTTCTTCTGTTACTGTCGTTAGTTTCTCGCCTTCCATTGTATAGTCATGTTTTGGATTGTTGGAGCCAAGATGCATCACTTTGCATTTGTCTTTATTAAATTTCAGTAGCCATTTGTTACTCCATTCTACTAGATTGTTTATGTCTCCTTGCAGCCCTTGTATTTTCTCTGCAGTGCTGACTGGAGCATATAGTTTGGTGTCATCTGCAAACATTTTAGCTATGGTTGTTACTACATCAGGGAGGTCGTTGGCGTATATCAGAAAGCAGATCGGCCCTAACACACTTCCCTGAGCTACTCCACTGGTTACGGTCCTCCATTCAGATAGTTCTCCATTTATTCTAACCCTTTGTTTCCTGTTAGTGATGAAGTTTTCCATAAGTTTAAGTAGATTCCCTTGGATTCCATAGGAGTTGATCTTTTCCATTAATCTCTTGTGTGGCACTGAATCAAAACATTTCGAAAAATCAAAATATATTACGTCTAGTGGCTCCCCGTCATCTATTAGTTTTGTCCACTGTTCCATGACCGTCAGGAGTTGAGTGCAGCATGATCTCCCAGGTGTAAACCCGTGCTGTTGGTCAGTTAGTAGATCGTTTTCCATTAGGTGTTTAAGAAGAGTGTCCCTTATAATTGACTCCATAAGCTTGCAGGTAATGCAAGTTAGGCTGACTGGTCGGTAGTTACCTGGTAATGTTTTCTTTCCCTTCTTGTGGATTGGAATTACATTTGCTTGCTTCCATTCATCCGGGAGTTCTTCCACCGCTTAAGGGAAGGTAACTGGAAATGTAAGATACGGTAACGGTCATGTTAATTTTCAATACACGGTAACTGTACATCTTAGCTCTCCATTATTAGTCATATAAATCCGACCATCGTATGCTTTATTTGTCATTATTTTTTGATAATTTGGATATTTATTTTTTGTTATTTTCTTGCATACTAGGGTCGTACACACTTCCCGGTTGTAAATTGAGGGAAATGCTTTCCTGGCCTGTTTAGGCAACCAAAATCACACAAATTATGTATTAGAATATGCTCTTCGTCGATAATGTATTTAATCCTACCTTACACACGTCAAACGCTTGATAATTGAAGAAGTATAAGAATTTTTCTAGAAACAAATTTTTTCCCCATGTGTAGATGCATTCTGGGTAATGATTGTGTAAAAGTAAAACTCTAGTTGAAGCGAAAAACGAAATTACAATAAATTACGGCAGCCATATTGAGATCGAGATTTCAACTCGAGAAAGTTTATCATCGTCTTATGACAATTGAATCGCCTTCTCAGACACCAAGGAGGGTGAAGAAACCGAAAACAGATATGTTGGTAATAAATAATTACGATTTCGTTTTGGTTGCATGGTTTCTTATTTAGACTGTATTCAGTGACCTTGAGTGACCTTGAGAGCCATATTGGAAATTGGTTCAAACATATACGAAAATGATTACATTTCTTCAATTATCAAGTGTTTCCTGTGTTTAAGGTAAGATTTAATACATTCTAGTTGAAGCATTGGATCCATTATCTTATCTGTGTAACTTTTGTTGGGCATAGAGGGCAGAAAAGCATTTACCGCAATATACGGGCCTTAAGGTACAGCTGGAAAGTAACATTTTGGTAAAAAATTGCCATACCTGCACATGTTATTTTCTGGTACAAAATTAAGTATGAAGTCATGTGTGTATTTCCTCGCTTTTTTCAGCAAAGTTTCATTACACTGTTTACTTTTAGAATATCTGGAAACAGGTCAATGGTAGCTCCTGTGTTGTCTGGAAACTTTGAAAGAAAATTTGGAAAAATAGAAAGTGTGAAATATCAGAATTTCCTGGAGTTCCCATTGAACCCCTACCAGATATTCTAAAAGAAGACAATGTAATGATACTTTCCTGAAAAAAGCAAGGAAATTGACACATGCCTTCATACTTTATTTTGTACCAGAAAATAACATGTGCAGGTATAGCAATTTTTTACCAAAATGTTACTTTCCAGCTGTACCTTAATATCCTCGACGCAAATGTTGAAAACGAAAATAAAAAACAAATATCCAAATCGTCAAAAAGAAACGTGAAACAACAACATTAAGTCGAGTTCACTTGACTATCCATTATAATCTCTCATAACGTTACCGTCTCACCGCATATCCGTTATCTTATCATCTGTAAAACTGTAAAATCTGTAAAAAAATCCCAGTTACCTTCCTTTAAGCGGTGGGAGATAACTATGGCGCCCACGCATGATATGTGAACAATTCGAACATGACTGTATTCACGCCTTCTATAAACTGTAAACAAAGTCAATGCTTCAGCTGGGTTATATTCGAGATTAATAACCCAGTTAATACGTGTAATTTGTGACGTCATAACGGTGGGTCGTAGTAATGGCGGACCATGATGAATATTCGAATCAATTTGGTGAGTTTCCATGTTCGAATCGTAATATAGACCTCAGAGCAGGGGTAATATCGTCGAATACACCCCTTGGGGCTAGGCACAAAAGCTTTCGAACCCCTCACTTCCTTCGGTCGTTCGGGGTACAGAAAACTTTTGTACCTAGCCCTGCGGGGTGTATTCGACGATATAACCCCTGTTTTTCGGTCTATATTTCTTAAATGATCATACCCCAGGGTTTCCATGTCATATAAGTCGGATTTAGTTCAAATATCAAAGCATTACGTCAACTATAAAGTAGTTTAATTCGATGAAAACTAAATATATCGAAATGGACACTTTACGTCCGCCATCTTTGATGCCAGGTAACGGTCGTTACCTTCGCTTGATACTGACCAGTGAAATGGTGCTGGTAGTTACAAACGGGTGCTGCCGTAATTTGTTTATCTAGTACTGGCCCAGCGCACCTCCCTGAGAAAGTTTCCTCATTTCCCTTGGTATACACAACACAACAACGTCTCCCAATACAGTTTTCCCAATGTCTCTATTTTCCAGTGCAAGTCTCCCGATGCACTTTTCCATTGCGTTCTCCCAATGTCTCAATTTTCCAGTGCAAGTCTCCCAATGCACTTTTCCATTGCGTTCTACCAATGTCTCAATTTTCCAGTGAAAGTCTCCCAGTGCACTTTTCTATTACATTCTCCCAATTTCTCAATTTTCCAGTGCAAGTCTCCCAATGCACTTGTCCATTGCATTCTCCTAATGTTTCAATTTTCCAGTGAAAGTCTCCCAGTGCACTTTTCTATTACATTCTCCCAAATGTCTCAATATTTCAGTGCAAGTCTCCCAATGCAGTTTTCCATTGCGTTCTCCCAATGTCTCAATTTTCCACTGCAAGTCTCCCAATGCACTTTTCCATTGCATTCTCCTAATGTTTCAATTTTCCAGTGAAAGTCTCCCAGTGCACTTTTCTATTACATTCTCCCAAATGTCTCAATATTTCAGTGCAAGTCTCCCAATGCAGTTTTCCATTGCGTTCTCCCAATGTCTCAATTTTCCACTGCAAGTCTCCCAATGCACTTTTCCATTGCGTCCTCCCAGTCTCAATTTTCCAGTGCAAGTCTCTCAATGATGCACTTTTCCATTGCGGTCTCCCAATGTCCCAATTTTCCACTGCAAGTCTCCCAACCGTTGCGTTCTCCCAATGTATCAATTTCCCAGTGCAAGTCTCCCAATGCACTTTTCCATTACGTTCTCCCAATGTCTCAATTTTCCAGTCCAAGTCTCCCAATGCACTTTTCAATTGTGTTCTCCCAATGTCTCAATTTTCCAGTGCAAGTCTCCCAATTTAGTGCACTTTCCGGTGCAAGTCTCCTAAATATAATGCACTTCCACTGCAAGTCTCTTATTGTAAAATGTACTTCCACAGCGCAAGTCTACTTATGTTCAATGCACTTTGTAGTGGTGCCTCAAGGCAGGGTCATTCATTGTTGAATGGTTCATATTTTAGGTTGTGTTTTGTTTCAGACATGAAATGTTCGGTGTAATATTTTGAATTCGCAAAGTCGTATTGATGTTTGCGACTGCACATGATCTCTGCCCATGTGCACATATTGTAGATTATTTGAACATCTGCCACGGTCGTAGTTTCACGTAGTTTACTTATCGCTCGTAATTTTAGTGCGTTGGTGTGGCGTGTCGTGACCTACATCCGAAATTGGAAAATCTGAAAACTCTTTGAAGTTATCTACGAATGTCGAACTCCTGGAACATATGCTGAATATTTTACCAGTCGTGGCGTGTTCAGATATATGAAAGGTTAGTTTTTATTTGCTTTACGCTTGCATGTTTTGAGTTGGTAGGGTCCTTACTGACCCCTCGAATTATTTTTATTTCACAAGTTTCAGTTTCACTTCTCAAATTCACGCTGGTTTTCGGGGTTTAGACTAGTACAGATCCGGAGCCAGATCCAGCCCCTGTTGGTAGTAGGTTCAAAGGATATATGTGAAGATGAGACTCGAGCCAAAAATGCTACATCAAAAAAATGACCACCCAAAAATATGACCTTCGTAACTGACCTTTATTTTTGCCATCTGTCAGACATTGATTGATCAATATTTACCATGTATTCTCTTCTTTATGTATTAGTTTGAATGGTTGCATGATATCCATTATTGAAGCTGTAACTCAAATTTTCCGTGGACATTTATCTCAAATTTTGAGAGCGTAAAGATAATGGAGTGCTTCGGTAATTTCCGGCAATGTCCGATTTTGTTAGTCTCTCAAATTACATGTACGTCACATCGCAACAAACAGCCAATGAAAGTAAAGTATCCCGTAGTCTAACAAACCGTTGTCATTGTTTCTATAGGAGTTTAAAGAAACGTCATGGGACTTCTCGGTTATCTCTGATGTGACGTCATCCGGAGTGGCGTCATATTCTCAGAAAAGGTATTTGACTTCGAGAATAAACATTTCAACAACAGAAATAGCCGAAGCACTCCATTAAATATATGCTCGCTTATTTTATGCTTTTATCAACAGAAGCTTTCTTGGATGTGTGGCTTTAGTGATTGGAGTTGAAGCTAACAACAGTATGCATCGTTTGAGGTACATGTATGACATGTGATATTTATTGATAAACTGACTCTAAAATCAAGGGAAAATAAATTTTCCGAAGATTTCGTGTCTTGTCCTAGTGTATATTTATTGAGCCTAGATACAGAGGAGGTAATCTTGCAGAGGTCCGTGGTTTGGTACAGCTCTTTTTATCAGACGTTTGGATATTTTCTTCCATGAAACAAAACTGGGGATTATAACAGTGTATAGGAATAGTATTCATGTCAAAACTGTAAATAAGATGTCAGAACTCAGTTTATCCATGGTTTATCCTACATTCTGGAAGTCTTAGTTTCATTCAGTGTGGTCATAGCACGGATAATGGGAAGTTCTTCATGCATATATATATAGTGAATACTCCAGGTTTGGCATCTTGAATCAAAAAAAACTGGCTTCGTCCTGTGATGTCGTTATTCACTGACATTGAAACTGGCAATAAATTCTCAATCCGTACTATAGAAAGGTTTAAACTTACATGTATATCTCGATCCCCTGGTAATGTGTTTTGAATTTTTTAGTTATGGAATAAGACCAAGTCTTGAAAATCTAAAGTGGGAAAAATATTCAAAATGGCTGCATTTGTCATTAAGACATCCTTTAGATTGGCCTATTCACTCATGACAGGCGAAGCGAGTTTCAAAAGCAATATTTCCGATTATTTGACCAGATAAGGCCAGTTTGAGGGGAGAAAAAAATTATACTCAAGTATTATTCCTTGAAGTGTTATGTTCATGTTTTAGGCATGCCAGGAGAATCAAGTAAACAAAACAAGTCAAAAATAATTTAATTTACCCTATTTTTCTTTTTTCAAACTTTTTTCAGCAAATTTTACAAGATTGCTTCTTTTCTTTTTTTCGGGGGTGGGGGGGGGGGTGCGACTGCATCCATTACATCCCCCTGGCTACATCCAATACCCATGGGTAGACAACTTTGATTGAATTTTTTCAAAAACTTGCCATTTTGGTAGCAAATTGTATCCCAAAATCTCTCTACTAGAATCTTCTCCAAAGTGTTGTTCAAACATAACACTGATTATTTCAAATCTTTATCTTTACACTCAAATAATGCATATAAAACAATAATCATACATGAAGTTTTCACTGATGGTATGATGGTAGATGAATACTCCAGGTTTGGCATCTTGAATCAAAAAAAACTGGCTTCGTCCTGTGATGTCGTTATTCACTGACATTGAAACTGGCAATAAATTCTCAATCCGTACTATAGAAAGGTTTAAACTTACATGTATATCTCGATCCCCTGGTAATGTGTTTTGAATTTTTTAGTTATGGAATAAGACCAAGTCTTGAAAATCTAAAGTGGGAAAAATATTCAAAATGGCTGCATTTGTCATTAAGACATCCTTTAGATTGGCCTATTCACTCATGACAGGCGAAGCGAGTTTCAAAAGCAATATTTCCGATTATTTGACCAGATAAGGCCAGTTTGAGGGGAGAAAAAAATTATACTCAAGTATTATTCCTTGAAGTGTTATGTTCATGTTTTAGGCATGCCAGGAGAATCAAGTAAACAAAACAAGTCAAAAATAATTTAATTTACCCTATTTTTCTTTTTTCAAACTTTTTTCTGCAAATTTTACAAGATTGCTTCTTTTCTTTTTTTCGGGGGTGGGGGGGGGGTGCGACTGCATCCATTACATCCCCCTGGCTACATCCAATACCCATGGGTAGACAACTTTGATTGAATTTTTTCAAAAACTTGCCATTTTGGTAGCAAATTGTATCCCAAAATCTCTCTACTAGAATCTTCTCCAAAGTGTTGTTCAAACATAACACTGATTATTTCAAATCTTTATCTTTACACTCAAATAATGCATATAAAACAATAATCATACATGAAGTTTTCACTGATGGTAGTCAGCAGTGACCAATCAAATCACTTGTTTCAATTTTTCCTGGAAAATCAACTTGCTCTAGGCAAATGTAGACTTTCAGAAATTCTCACTAGCATTATATTCACTCTTTATCATGGAACTTGGATTCAATCATAGGTAAGATTTCAAACTATCAATTTTCTATCAACTGACCATTGCTTTTGAAAATAATGCATATATATTGTTGGAATCATCTTGATGGAAAAAAGGCGTGTGTCTGTGATCTTCTATATTGAGCTTACACTACTTTTGACTTGCCCTATGAGTGCAATCCCAGCTTTCAGGTGTCCCTTTATTTACAGTTAGACATCAAACCATAAGAAGCTGGTTGGAATTAGAATGAGCTGCCTCACAGTAGATAGTAAAGGATACTACAGTGTCAGCTTTCCAAAGCCCAGTCCTACATGCACAAAACAGGTACTGTAAACTTGACCCAGAAATGTAAAATCCAACTTTCATTTATTATGGTAAATAACAACTTGAGGATTTACAGAAATCACATTTTCCATCTACCTGTAGCTGTAGGATCTGAAAAAGATATATGTGTGGGTTGATATTAGAGGGTATTAGGGGTTGTACCACATAAATATTAGGACTAAAAGGCATCTTCTTGAAAATCCTCCATCTTATTTATTCTCATCATCACTTGATGCTTGATTGCTAAATATCATATCATTTCAATATGATAATTAATGTAGAGTGTAAGAACAGATTTAGTATAGTTGCCTCAAATCTATGTTGATTTCAGCGGTTACAAAGAATAAAGCTGTGCAACTGAGTGTGTGTCATCTATACTGGGCAATATCTCATGCTTAATATATAACCTCCATTATTAGGAATCCATGCCAGTGGTAATGTACATCATTGGTCTTGCCTTCCCTTTTTGTCCCTATTTAGGGAAATTTACTTTTTTCATCATGTAAGCTCACCAAATGATGTCATTTTATATTTTATCCTACACCATAAACTTTTATTCTTTTACCAGTTTCATTTCATGGAGGAATAGTCCAGAATATGTGATATCCAGTTGCACCACCTTATTCTCTAGATTGTTTATACTCTATGGCTTCAGGAAGTACAAGGTCTGTTTGGGCTGTTTGGGAAGATTGCTGAGTGTAAATGTGCTAACAAGTGAGTTTGCATGGACATTACATTACAGATTATTTTAAACATTATTTCAATATTTTTCAACCCCTAGTCCTACTCCTACAAAATAACAGTAATACAGAGTCAGGCCTGTCAACTGTCCCGCAATTTGCGTATTTGTCACGCATTTGCTGAAGAATTTGAAGTCACGCCAGTTTTTTTTGCGTGACAGAAAATGTCACGCAAAATACGCATTTTACCTGGCAATTGTCAAGCAAAAATATTTCTGTAGAAATTTTTTCGAAATATGTTTACGATACGGTAAAAATACGAACGTCGGAAAAAACCGAACGCAATTTGTTCGGATTTGTCACGCGAATCCCGTATGTGTCACGCATGTTCATTGGAAATTTTTCGTACCTACCACCCCCCCCCCCCCCCCCCCCCCCCCCCCCCCCCGTTGACGAAATCGCGAGCGTAGCGAAAAATTTGAGGTGTTCAAAGTTTGGCAAAGGTGCTCAAACTTTGGCCAAAGGTGTTTAAAAGTTGGCCAAAGGTGTTCAAAATTTGGACAAAAGTGTTCAGATTTGGACTTAGGTGTCCAACATTTTGAAGTCACTCATATTAGGTGGTCCCAAGTTGACAGCCCTGCAGAGTGTTTTATATGTATGCATCCCCCTCTAAACTCACACATGTAGCATTGCTGCCACCCTGTAATGTTATATATCATTTTGTTCCTAGAACAAGACAAGATTGCAGTTTCAAAATCAAAGGGTGTCCCTGAAAAAGATACAATGTATCAAAGTATGTGGGTATGGGGTCATTTATAAGCATTTTTATAAGTATTCTTTGGACCTTGTCTGGTGATCTGTTCACTTTGTCCGTTACCTATTTTTAGTGATAAACGTGGTATAATGGTGCCTGGCCTCCCTATTAGCCACTGCATGTAGTGTCTATAGATCTTTGTGAATAACTGTCACAGACATGTGGACTGAATTCTGCCATGATGACAACTGCTAGAAATGTGTAATTCAGAAACTGAAATTTGTCCTTTAAATTGCCCTCAAAATTGCCCCTAAATGAGCCTGTACCCACATACTTTGATACGTTGTTATGTCCCCACCACATAGTGTGGGGCCATATTGTCGGCCTGGGCGCGTCCGTCTGTCTGTCCATCCGTACATCCGGCAGTTTTCTCCAAAACCGCTACAGATATCACCTTCAAATTTTCAGGGATAACTTATGAGTGCATACAGATGTGGATAAAAAAAATTAACTCGATTTGTCTGCAAACTTTAAGAAAAACGGCTTCACAGTTGCTTTTAAAACTTTAACATCTTGTTCAGCTCACTTCATTCTAGATCTGATTAGGTTTTGGACCTGTTAGCTCAGTCATGTCAGCCATTTTGAATGTTTTAAGAAAAGTTAGCGCACGATAATACTTTGTATCATATTGAATGGTGTTTTTCAGTTTTCATACTTTAACTATTTAGTAGCTTTATAAATAATTTCAGGTGTACTTTGTTGTAAAAGCCTATGTTATTGTTAACAGTAGTTATATGTGATAATTTTGTAAAAAGAAATCAGCAAAAACTCATAATCACTTTTTTATTGTCGGCCATTTTGGATTGGTAGATCAATTTCAAATTTTCAGGGATGATTTTTAGTATGAAAATCTAGATCTAGTTTTTGGGCATTCTGGGTAAATGTCCAGGCAGCCATTTTGGATTTTCCGTCCTAAAATCTTGTCTATAAAGTCTTGTCTACGCATTTCCAGGTGAACCGTTTGGTAGATCAATTTGAAATTTTCAGGGATGATTCTCAGTACGAAAATCTAGATCTGATTAGTTTTTTGGCATTCTGGATAAATTTCAAGGCAGCCATTTTGGATTTTCCGCCTTAAAATCTTGCCCGTAAAGTCTTGTCTACGCGTTTTTTGATGAACCGTTTGGTAGATCAATTTCAAATTTTCAGGGATGATTCTTAGTATGAAAATCTAGATCTGATTAGTTTTTGGGCATTCTGGGTAAATGTCAAGGCAGCCATTTTGGATTTTCTGTCCTAAAATCTTGTTTGTAAAGTCTTGTCTAAACATTTCCAGGTGAACTGTTTGGTAGATCAATTTCAAATGTTCAGGGATGATTCTTAGTATGAAAATCTAGAACAGATTAGTTTTTTGGCATTCTGGATAAATGTCAAGGCAGCCATTTTGGATTTTATGTCCTAAAATCTTGTCTGTAAAGTCTTGTTTACATGTTTTCTGGTTAACTGTGTGACGGATCAATTCCAAATTTTCAGGGGTGGGTTTTAGTATGAAAATCTAGAACTGACTAATTTTTGGGCATTCTGGGTAAATTTTAAGGTGGCCATTTTGGATTTTCCATCCTCAAATTGTGACGGTAAAGTCTTGTCTACTCATTTTTAGGATAACCATTTGAAGGGATCACCCATAGGTGGGGACATTTTGTACACATTTGTGTTCTTGTATCTTTTTTTCAGGGAATCCTGGATTCTGAAACTTTACAATCTTATGTAACATTCTATGAGAAACTAAATGACATGCTAGAATGGCAGTGGTACATATATGATTTTAGAGGGGGTTGCATACACATGAAACACCCTTTGGATATTACTTTCTATTGCCCTGCTATTTTAAGTTCAATTGAAATGTGTTTTTACAAGTAACTTAAATGTAAGCTATGTACAGGTTCTTTTCATTTTGATATATTATAATTTTGGCTCCAGAAAATCTGCAGTGAAATATTAAATATGAACTTTCTATCATTTTAAATTAATCTGAAAAATGTATATGTGTTTATATAGTACATGTATTTGGAGAACTTAGAAATTATTGTGTTTGTCTCAACATATTTTACCACTTTCATTCAAATTTTAGAACTGTTACAATCAGCTTTGAGACAGAACTGGCTGCCAGGAAGGCTATTCACACACTTGGAGATAAATTTAATATAGAGGCACAGTCATCCAGACCTGATTTAGGTGAGTACTTTTCCTTAACAAACCCAACCTGAAATAATCCTCCAATCATTAACCAATGTATTTATTTGTCTGAGTATTTGACAATTTTAATTATTTTATCATTCTTAATTGGAAATCATGTTCAAGCTCATTGGCATGTCTCTTATCACTATGACAACAATAAACAACTTCACAAGCTTCTTGGAAGACTGGACAGGAATTCAAAGGATTTTTCAGGATACCACATATAATTCTTACTGCTCTGAGGACGCCACAGATAGAAAATCAGTTGTACTGACCGGCGTGCATTGTACCGAAAAGCATTAAGATTATCATTAAGCAGTAAAATTTTCTAGGTCAATGGTCAAGGTTATCTAATGAGGTCACAAACAATGTTTTCTAAATTTCTCAGAGTTCGAGACTACAAATCAATTTTTTGAGCTGAAAGTCAGAAGTTCAAAAACTGAAAAAGCCCTGTATACACTGGCTGGTGAAATGCTTGAAATGGGGGTGAAATCAGAAACAGCCGAACTACTTGAAAAGATTAAAATTAAAGTGAAGATAGGTTAGCGCATCTTGAAACAACAAGACATATCAATAGAAATGGTCTAAACGTTTGAAAAGCATTGGCGAAATGCTATAAATGAGAAATAGTCGTGTTCATTTTTCTTTTCATTTGTTTCACCTGTTTCCTTCTGAATTAGTCATGTGACTATCAACACACGATACATTTAATCAATTGAAATGATTGAAATACATGCAAGCAATCTTAGTGTCTAGTCATAATTTAAAGTATTATGCGCAACCAGGGTAGTGGCATTTTATAGTTATATTCCTTTTGTATGTTCTTGTAGAGGAAGAAACAGAAAATACTGACAGCATGGAGACTGAAATCTACATAGGGAATATACCAGCACAATTATCAAAGGTAAATACTTTTAAGGCAGTAATTTACTTAACATTGAAACAAGTAAGTACCGCATCTGCAAAGATTTTGAGAATGACTTGAACCAACTTGAAAACCCATTTACACACTTGATGAGAAGGGCTTTCTAATATGGATGATTTAAGTTTTACTGACATTTTTGTAAAAAGAGTAATCTCTGATTACTCAAATATCAGTTTATATGATTTGATTAAAATTCTTTAAGCTGGACCCTACTTTCAAGTTATTTTTATAATGAAATGTTCAAAATGAAAAGAGATTATATTACAAGATGAAATATGTTTTGTTTGATGGGATTCGCTTCTCTATAAGGAGTTGCTGATTTATTATATTATTGTAGTACAGTAGAACCTGTGTAAGTGGAACACCCTCCGTTCTGCCAAAAAGCGTTCCACTTAGGAGGTGTTCCGCTTACAGAGGGTTTGGGTTCGCGGGGATTTTAAGAATATACATGATAAAATATAGGATTTATATATATCACTGTAAATATGATTCTCCCCTTCATTGCAGAGCAGGCATATACTATTAATAATCCTTTTGTTTTACTCAAATAGGTATCTGACATTCATAATCTTACTCATTCTGTCAATAATGTTTTCTGACATTCTAAATCCTCCTCATTCTGCCAGTCTCAGATACAAAGATTTTTCAATTAAGTTTTAAAGACTTGTTCCTACTGCTAATAATACAATTATTTTTAACTGACATTCTTAATCTTACTTATCAAGTTTGAAACAAACAGCAAGGGTTATCAATTAGTGATAGCATCACATGTCCATCTCTACAGGAGGTTAATCCAATTTTCTGAATGATAATCTTATGAAATGCTAATTTGCTGATTATCAAACTAATTAGTGGTTGCATCACATGTTGACCTCTACAAGAGGTTAATCCAATTCGCTGAATTGTAATCCGTTCAAATCCGTATTTGCCATTATCACATTATTACCTGCTTTAGATTGAATGATTATGAATGTCAGATACCTATTTGAGTAAAACAAAAGGATTATTAATAGTATATGCCACCGTAAGTGGAACAGGAGATTAATTCTGTTTAATACATGTGTCAATATTAAAGTTTATGGAAATTGACTGTTCCACTTAGCAGGTTAAATTTTCAATATGGGGTGTTCACTGTTCAAGTTTGGAGGTGTTCCACTTACAGAGGTTCAATTAACATTAAGTCAATAGGTTTTTAAAAGGGGACTTTGAAAAAGTGTTCCACTTGCGAGGTGTTCCACTTACGGAGGTGTTCCACTTAGCAGGTTCTACTGTATGTTGTATTTCAGGAGTGTTGATAAATTCCTTAAATATAAGTAATATGAACTAGTATCTTCTCATATGATTTGACCAGCCTGGTCATTATTTTGAATTGCTAATATTTTAACATGTATACATGACATGTATGCTGTTAATACTTCTTTATCCATTTACTATACTCATGCCTTTTCAGGAGGAACTGACTATGATGCTACAGGATTATCACTTGATACAATTGAGGATGTTTAACAAAAACACAAAAAGGTATGTTCATGTAATATCAGTAATACCTGTATTTGCATAATTCATTGTTTTATATGCAGGATCTGTAAAAACATCTTGGAACATGGGCAATCATTTAGACATGAACAATCTATTGGACAAATGACACTTCTTTGGAATGACCAACACCTTGGAACATGTGCAATCATTTAGACAAGAACAATCCATTGAAGGAATGACACTTGTTTGGAATGACCAACACCTTGGAACATGGGCAATCATTTAGACATGGACAATCTATTGGACAAATGGCTATTCTTTGGAATGACCAACACCTTGGAACATGGGCAATCATTTAGACATGAACAATCCATTGAATGCATGGCACTTGTTTGGAATGACCAACACCTTGGAACATGGGCAATCATTTAGACATGGACAATCTATTGGACAAATGGCTATTCTTTGGAATGACCAACACCTTGGAACATGGGCAATCATTTAGACATGAACAATCCATTGAATGAATGGCACTTGTTTGGAATGACCAACACCTTGGAACATGGGCAATCATTTAGACATGAACAATCTATTGGACAAATGACAATTGTTTGGAATGACCAACACCTTGGAACATGGGCAATCATTTAGACATGAACAATCCATTGAATGAATGACACTTGTTTGGAATGACCAACACCTTGGAACATGGGCAATCATTTAGACATGAACAATCCATTGATTGAATGGCACTTGTTTGGAATGACCAACACCTTGGAACATGGGCAATCATTTAGACATGAACAATCCATTGAATGAATGACACTTGTTTGGAATGACCAACACCTTGGAACATGGGCAATCATTTAGACATGAACAATCCATTGAATGAATGACACTTGTTTGGAATGACCAACACCTTGGAACATGGGCAATCATTTAGACATGAACAATCTATTGGACAAATGACAATTGTTTGGAATGACCGAACACCTTGGAACATGGGCAATCATTTCGACATGAACAATCTATTGGACAAATGACAATTGTTTGGAATGACCGAACACCTTGGAACATGGGCAATCATTTCGACATGAACAATCTATCGGACAAATGACAATTGTTTGGAATGACCGAACACCTTGGAACATGGGCAATCATTTAGACATGAACAATCCATTGAATGAATGACACTTGTTTGGAATGACCAACACCTTGGAACATGGGCAATCATTTAGACATGAACAATCCATTGAATGAATGACACTTGTTTGGAATGACCAACACCTTGGAACATGGGCAATCATTTAGACATGAACAATCCATTGGACAAATGGCACTTGTTTGGAATGGCCGATACCATTATACATATAGATGTATGTTTGTGCATGTTTGGAGAATTAGAGAATGTTTATGCTGTATTCTGATTGATTCAATTTGACATTGACATTGTTTTGGACACACAAGCCATGATTTTACATTGAATAAATGATAGGAATGAAGTAACTCTCCATTTATTCACAACAGTCCACAAGTATAGACCAGTATATTTTGAAGATTCTTAACATAATGTCTTCACTCTAGGTTTGCTTTTGCCAAGTTCATTGGTCTCCATGAAGCATGCCAGGCAGTGATAGCTTTCCATAACAAGGTAGTTTATGGGCGTGAGATAGTGCTGAGACTGGTATGCGACAAACCTGAAAGTGAGGAAGAAAGCAGTATAGTTGAGAGTGTAGAAGAGAATGCGGCTGATGGAGACGTTGGGGAGAACCAATATAAAGGTTTACTTATATTTTTGCACATTTTATATTTTGATCGATTTTATAAAATGCAATACCCTATCTGGAAAACTTGACATAGTAGTTTGCTATGATATGATTCATTTGGACTAATTATTTCTCTTATGTGATTTTAGAGGTGTATACATATTGTTTTATAATCTCCTCCAAGCCATTTTGTGCTATTGTCTACACTGTTCTAAATTTTCATATTTTTCTAGTCACTCACACTTCTTATCCCTATTGTATCTAGACAATACAAGTTGTGCATATTGAAATTTATCTACTATAGTTTTCTTTTTAAATTGAAATAATAAGTCATTGAAATGTTGCTAATTAACTGAAAAATCTCAAAGTAATAATTTAATATGGTGCATTTTTGTGGCTTCAGATCTACCTATGGAGGGAAATGGTCCATATCCCCAGCTGTTTATAGGAAACATACCACTCAATTACAATTTGGTAGGTTGCCAGGCTTCTTGTATATCAAATATCCAATGGTCTTGAGAAATGTTTCTCCTTGCTAGGTAAAGAGTTTAAGAATTTGTCATTTCAATTGAAGAAGGAGTGGGGAATATGCCATATTCTCTTTATAGACACACATACTCCAATACATAAAATGCTTTAAAGTTATGAGTTAAAAGCTAAAATGGACGTTAATTCTGGCCATAGCGATATCCAGAGTACGACGTCTTCTGTGTTTCACGTTACAAAAGCCGCTAGCGCCTTTCGACCATCTCTATTGCCACTTTGGAGAAGCTGGTGAATTTGACGCGTCATCGTGTGAATGACGCGATAGCGCTAAAATATATCCATAGCGTTTTGGAAGATCGCTTGCCATTTCATTAATACTGACCCAAATTTTATCATCTTTATACGAGCATGTTCCTGAAGATGTCCCCTATCAAATGGTACAAGAAATTTGATGACAATTAAAATATCTACGCTACAATCACTGTGTACAAATGAACTTTTCATTTTCTAAAAGGTTTGTTTACCTTGGCAACCTGTACTTTTCACGCTTCTATCTTTGCTTTTATTCCGTTTTGCATCCGGTTTTTTGATAAATAAGAATCATTTGATCAATATCTAACAAAAGAATCATCAATGGGAATTCTAGGTGAAGTATATCTCTTCATCTAGGCCGAAACATATTTTTGGGGGGGCCCAGAAATATATTTTCTGATTTTTACGTTATATTTTCCCGGGAACCATTGCTCCTTTAGACGTAAGTAAATCGTATTCGACTAACTATTCCAATGTACAGATGTAAGAAAGTTGGACAATATGCTATGTAAGGCCATAAGAAGTAGATTCTTTGTTTTGCATGCTGGAAAAATCCAAATCATGCAAGGTTACAAGGAAAACAAACACAAACTCAAGAAAAAACACAAGCTTGTTTGCTGAGAAATATATACATTTTATGGGCATAAAGAGGGATGACATACCAATTTGCAGTGATTACAAACACATATCTATACATTTTATACAATATATTTAAACATAGCTATTATTCAATGGGAGAAATAATGCATTTTCAACAGTGGCGGAGGAACAATATACGCCAAATCGCCAGTGCGTAGTATTCAAAAGTGAGAATAAAAAAGGCTTATTAATTTTTCCTATGTTCTTTATATATGTTTCCTATGTTCTTTATATATTTTCTCATTGTGAATAAATTGTAAAAGTAATCTCGCGCACACTAGCCTAAAGCAATGTTTTTTTGGATACCATATGATATGCTCGATTTTTCAATAGTACTCTTTTAATAGATTTTTGTGCCTCAATGTTATTTTTCTAACCTGGGCCTCAGATAAATAACACATTTTGAAAACTGAAATTCACCAGAGTCTAAAATATTGAATTCGTTTTAAAATATTGAAAGTTACCTTGTTTCTAATATTGCAGAAAATGCAAAGTAATCATTATTGCTCTAATCACTGAACAGATTTTATAAAAATCGAGCCACTATTGATTTTCTTATGAATTTTAAAGGTGAGCTATACTACAATAGCACCAAATATTCGTGAATCGCGTTCTATTTACGAATTTGAGAGAAAAACTTTTTTTTTGCTACTTGATGAATACCTTTGCAATTTTTGTGCATGTTCCGCAATGCTTATACAGCACTTATCTATTTTCTTGCTAAATCACTAAGCCCCTAATTGTCTGATTGTTATTGGTAGTACTTCTTGAAATATGAATGTTGAAGAAAAAACTTGAAACTGTTGATTATTCAATTACGCGTTCCATTGATTTTAATGAGTTTTGGCGATACCTGCTATCTTTGAAAGTACAACTTCAGTTCTGGAAAGGTTTTGGCACCCCCAAGTCACGTTTACCTTGATTTGACCTTTGTGGAGGGTGGAAGGGGGGTTATTTGGTCTTGCGAATTATTGTTATAAAAAGGTTGCAGACCGATTAGGGTTAATTGTCATTGATCACGAATATGTTTCTTTGAAACGATTAATCACACTGCGTTTCTTTACTCTGTATCGTCGTATTGCACGATTCACGATGGAATCAGACAATAATATGTATCTAAATTCATTTATTCAGAAATGGTAAAAAAATCTCATTGTTATCTGGAAATTTGTTGTCTATATTGTTCGAGAAAAAATAACATTTACACATTAAAAAAGTGAGAATGAGTTGTGTCGAGATTTAAAAGACCGGCTTTCCATAGTGATTTTATTTGATGAAAAACATTCGAACATTTTAAATTAGAAAGGTATTGCCTTAAAGTGACGTTTTACGAGCATAAAATAGGCGTTTTGATATAGAAGATTTGACACAATTGTTTCATTTGGCGTTGTGTTGAATTTACACCTTCCTACGCCATGAACGCTCCTGTTTCTCCCTAATATAAATAATAGTAATTAACAACAATTTTTTTTTATATTTGTTTAAATTACGTTCAATTCTTAGAATAATGACTCCAAAAATATGGGGTCGCCGAGCTAATTTTTTTTCTACAGCCAAATCAAAATCATATCCCAAAACACCAAAAATCACATGCCCTTTCTATTGTGTATTGTAGGTAGTCTAAATGATGGCCCAAAAGCGCTAGTTGAAAGTACTTATACATGTACAGTTATGACATAGGCCTAGGGATAAATTTGGTACCGTTGGAAAGCTCATAGTGCCTAGTTTTGAGATTCACTTGTTAAAAATTATGAAAAGTGAACCTCAAGTGCCTAAATGCCCATGTCAATAGTAACCAGAAAATAATGACCAGAAAGTGTTTTTTACACATAACTCCCCGAATATTTCTTCGATTTTGATAAAATTTATATCATATTAAAGCAGTGATCTCCCCAGCATTAAATCAAGTGGGCGCAGCACCCATCTGAGATTTTGAAAACAGGCTTGCACCCACCTGAAAATCCATTTGCACCCACTTAAAAATGGGGAAGAATCTCGAAAAATTGGCATATTTTGACCAATTTTGGTCTGAATTGTAATGAGCCAAAAATGAGAATTTTGCACCTACCTAAGAAAAATCCTGGGGAGATCAATGTAAAGATAAAAAAAGAGCTCTGTTTTGCAAAATTATATTTATGCATATTAGCACATTGATTGCGACGTCATAACTGTATAATTTTGTGTTTTTAAATAGATGAGTATATTTTCTATTTTAATGAGAAAATCACCATACTAATCAGTAATTTCAAGTTCTTTCCAACTTATACTTTATTAGTAATAAAATTCTCATTCATTTCTTCAAAAATGACACCCAGAAATTTATTTTATTTTATAGTCAAAATACACCCAAAATCATTTTGGACCATTTCCAGTCAATAAGTCCAGTCCTTTATTGTCTAAATTGCCAGAATTGGCTATGGATCATTTAGTATCGATATTATTCTTTTGAAAAGTTTCGTCATTGTAATACTATTATAAACAAATGAATATTGTTATTGATGTAGAGCCTACTGCTATGACAACCAATAGTTAAGTCTATTTACATTATGTACATGCAGGCCCATAGCCAGCGTGGTTCGGTGGGTTCCAGCGAATCATCTTGCCAAAGATTGATTTTGGTCATTTTTGGGCCAAAATGGTCAAATGTGAACCCCCTGGCATTTTTTAAAAAGTGACCCCCTAATTGGCAAAAGCTGGCTATATAGGTCTGACATGTATAATAAAATCATGTACATGACAAAAATATGCATAAAATATAGATTTATTTTTATCAGAATAACTACACACCACATTTTCAAAATCCCGAAGAAGAATAAAGTGTTCTGTAGTTCATAATTAAATCACTAGTATTTGTAAATATGGATTCATGGATATCCTGTACATAGCTACATGTGTTTAGGAATGGTGTTTACAAGGAACATATTTTCTTGAGCTGTTGAGAGATATGGTCATTAAAACAGATGTTGTTCTTTTTGTTCTGTGTCCATTGTCTATATTCTGAATGCCATAAATACCATAAATCCAAAGAGAGACAGAAAAATTAAAGTAAGTCAATCTGCTCAGTAAGTTCCACTACTGCCATGGACTCGTTTGTCAAACTCATTATAGTCTCTCTGGTCATAGTCTCCTGTAGCATGTGCTTACATACACTGTAAAAAGGCTCAGTCATACAAGGCTATAGTTCACTTCGAAGGCCCCTGATGGATCACACCTGAAAGTGAATATCACACAAAAGTAACAAATTGCATGTATCACTATGATATAAAAGAAATATGAATGCAGTTACTTCATTCAAGCTTAGCATTGTCTAAATTGGTATTCCAATCATGGTGTTAACAAGACATTAACATGACAAAATCTCATCAACTAGGCGCTCACAATATAATGAGTTCAATCTTAAGTCAGATTTGAATTGCTGAGAACTTGTAGATGATTTTGAAAAAATAAATTGGTCAATTTGAAACAAGTAGAAAAAAAGACTTTTTTGACCCCGAGAAGGTAATTGAAGCTCAAATCTAAAGTCTGATTTGAACTTCTGAGAACTTGTAGATGATTTTGAAAAAGAAATCGGTCAATTTCAATTTGACCTTGAGAATGTCATTGAAGGTCAAATCTTTTTTTACCTTGAGAATGCCATTGAAGGTCAAATCTATAGTTATATTTGAACTGTTGAGAACATGTATGGTTTTGAAAAAAGGAGTTGGTCAATTTTTGAAGTTGGACCTTTTTGACCTTGAAAAGGTCATTGAAGTGGAAATCTCAAATCTAAAGTCAGATTTGAACTTCTGATAAATTGTAGATGATTTTGAAAAAAATTGGTCAATTTGAAACAAGTTGAAAAAGACCTTTTTGACCTTGAAAAGGTCATTGAAGGTGAAATCTCAAATCTAAAGTCAGATTTGAACTTCTGATAACTTGTAGATGATTTGAAACAAGTTGAAAAAAGACCTTTTTGACCTTTCTTGACCTTGAAAATGTCATTGAAGGTCAAATCTTAAATATATAGTCAGATTTATAATTCTGAAAACATAATGATG